CACTTTAGACTTGTATTACTGTACCATTTAAATGCATTGCTGTATTATTTAAATGTTTATATCACTAAACCTATAAAAGAAATTATATCTATATTTTATTGATGTCAAATATTAAAGAGAATTTGAAGTATGATTTTTACATATTTATATTTATCATGAAGTCGGTAATCACGTCATTATATCCTCGTACCATTGTACCACAGTACAAGGGATATGTACACCGAGAGATGTACTCCATTTATCGGTGTTTTTACACTGCGAGTTTAATTCAAGATCAAGTACATTTATTGAGACAATAAAATACATCTCAAAAGGATAGAGTAGTTTACGCTGTTTCTACCCTCCTTTACTTCAGTTTTATTTCATTGTATAATTCATAATTTATTTTTAAGTTACATAATAGTGTTTTTATTCAACAACACAACTCTTAGTTATAAATGGATTTGTCTATGATTTCATAGAAGCATATATGCTCTTGATGTGACCTTAATGGGACTTAAGAATTCATTATCCATTATCAAATTCTCGATTTATTTTCACGAGTTCCTCGACATTTAACAAGTTCAAATGTTAACCTGAATAAAACCCCATAACCAACACCACGACCCCATGGGAGTCTGCCACCATCACGACCCCGTAGCAAGCAGCCACGACTCCATGATATTTAACGGTTGCATTGGTCAATGGTAGTGTGACGAATTCAATGTTACAGTCTCTTGTATAATAAACTGAATTGATTAATAAACACGACTCTGAAGATCAATATCAACTAATAATATACAGGATAAGATTCCCATTAGGGAGAGCCTTGAAGTGGGGACAGCTGAAGAGAAGTCGGTGAGAGGAAGTGCTGAAGTTGTAGAGAAAGGAGCCAGGGCTAAACTAAGTTGCGTGTCTGGAATCGATGCTGGAATCCCACAACTGGATAGACTTCGAGTCGGGTCAGGAAGGGCAGCAATGGCAATGCTTTTTTATTCCAGGTGTTAACAAATCCGTCTCTGGTAGTGTAATGACACTACTACTTTCTTTCTTCTTCTTGCTTCTATGTTTTCTTCCTTCTACTTCTGGCTTCGTGTAATCATCTGATGGTTTTCCTTGTGCTCGGCGAAGTCCTTAGGGAAAAGTCCGGTAGCATGTTCGTTGTATTCTGTGAGGATGGTGCGGGAAGGTACCAAGAACACCTAGTTAGTTCCTGGATCACTCTGCATGTATTCTGCATAACTCGTGTTAAATATACGGCTGATGAGCCGTCTGTAGACAGGAGACTCAATTGTAGTATCGTCACGTTGATAAAGGTCATTGACCACTGGAGATTCATTAGTAGGATACTCCATGTCTGAGGGAGGTGTGTGTGCTTCAGTGTCAGCCGAGGCAGTAGAGTCATCATCAGAAGACAGGTGGAGGTCTGCAGAAGCATCTGGTGTAGGTGCCAGTGAAGCTGGTGTAGTCACAGGTGCAACTGGAGTAGTTGTTTTTTCTGGAGTCGGAACCGATGATGATGTAGTTTCAGGTACCAAAAGGTTGGTAGGCGCTGTAGTAGGATGCAGAGGATGGGGGATCAGCAGACAGAAGATTTGCGAGTGTAGCTGGAGAGATGGTGATATCAGAAGGCAAACTGGTGGTAGTGGCTGTTGCTAATGTAGGGAAGAGTTCCTCTGGAACAGTGAACGTAGAGAGGCTATTTGTAGTGTGGAGTATGTTGAGGATTCGGACGAATTCTTTGCAGTTCGTGCCTGCCAACATTTCAGCCAGACGGTCAAATTCAAAGACGGTTCTATGAACGGTGTTGGGGGCCAGCAACTGGTGTGATGAAGGCTGGCTTGATGATTGACCAGAGAATGGTTGTGGCTGTTGCAGCTGAGTCGATAAATGATTGGCGGACTGGGAGCCACGCCCCCCATTGGCTTGTAGGCTGCATGGAAGCTCCGGGAAGTTAGCTGCTTGCACGTTGAAAGTTGTTGGCGAGTGGTAGAGGTCTGCCTGGCGTCGGACATCTTCTTGATTTCTTCAAGTCTTCGGGGCACTCAACGGAGACGGCAGTATATTCATCTTGACAAAGAAGGCAGTGAAGATAGTCGTTGGTGCAGTCTTTGAAGTGGTGGTTTCCGGCGCACTTGCTTCACTGTTGGTCCTGGGAAGTACACTTCTTTGTGAAGTGCTCGTAGTTGTAGCACTTGAAGCACTGACGAAGTCTGTATTAGTGCTACTTGGTGATCTGGCGAGGTGTACTGGCGATACCAAAGCACCGGAAGCCTCAAAGGTAGCTTCCTCAGGCGATGTATAGGTGACCTTCATGGTGGCGAGGTGGCTGTCATGTACAGGAATGAGCTTAACAGTGACAGCGGTCAAGGAAGGGTTCTGCTCGTTAATGCTGGTGACAACAGCGGTGGAAGCTTTTTCAGAGAGTAAGGAGCTCACTCTCCGAACAAACACCGTCCTGGCTGCGAGGTAGTGACGTGGTAGTGATCAGGTGCGCCTCCTCCAGAGCAGAGAGGGTGGTGGGATCGAGCAGACCCTGTAATGCTGCGGCACTGCTGAACAGCAGTTGGGGTCCTCCACCGTCGACGACGTCCAGTGGTGCAACAGGAGTTTTTGTATTGATCAAGTCTAGGATCTCTCGCCGCGTAAGGGTCCGGGCCCCTCTGAATTGCACCTTGATCCGGTAGATCATGGTACACAGTCTTAGTACCAGAGGGTTGTGCTTTGCTTATGAGGCCTGCTCGTTGCTTCCCCCTATAATGTATCAAGCTGGGAGTGGGGTCTGACCACCTACAGTAAAGCGCTCAATGTGTGTGCCACAGAGCATAGTATTTGTGATACTATCATTGTGCAACTGCATCAGAATATATTTATACAAATGTATCATTATTTCACTCAAAAACTGTCACAGTATAATTGTATTTGTTGTTGTTTTAACCTACTGTAATACTTTACTATTGTTTTATTAATACTAAGCCATTGTTTTTATAATTATAGATCATTTATTATATATTCAAATAGGTTGAATGATAAACTAATGTATCATTGTCACTGTTCTAATTTATCATAGTGCCACTCTACACCTGAATAGCTGTATAATACAACTGTACCACTTTATCCCTATATTGCTGTATTATTTACATGTATAAGTGTACCAATGTATCAGAAATTTAAAAATTATGTTATGAAAGCGAAGGAAGTATACAACATGAGAATATCATAATTAAAATGTCGGATGCAGCCTACATCCTTTCTCGAGATCCAGTAAATAATGTTCAGAAAATTGTATACAACACCTTGAGAAAGGATGCAGGTACATCTGAAAATTATATTGTTAATACACACACATATATATTGGGTCTTTCCTTCATCTTCATTCAAACATTACGGCATTGTAGTAAGCTTCTTAATAATATGAAAATAATTAAATTTTATTTATAAACTTTAAAAGAGAGTTTGAAGTACAACTTTTACATATTAACAATTTATATATGTTAAAAAAAGGTATTAATCAAGCCAATATGTCTTTGTACCACTGTGACACGGATATAGTATCCTTCCTCTTGAATAGTACATCGTATTTTGACGTATAAATAGCCTAAGGCCAAAAATTGGTGTATTATAAATCACAGTGGCTTGCTATATTGACGTGATGTGGTTCCATGCGTTTTCTATTCGTGGTTCCTCGGTTAGGTTAGGCTCTGGCAATTTAGTACGTCAGTTTAGTGACGTTGGGAATGATCAAGAGGACAGATTGGATATATGCATCAAGACTAAGTGTATATACACCACTCGCTTCTCGGTATATATACACTTAGTCCTGGATTAACGTAAATTCTGTGTTCATGGCAAAAGTATACCTACCGGTTGGTTAGTGAACTATTAATTTGCCTTAATAATCTTACATTTGTTGATAGGTGTCAAACTCAATAGTAAACCAAACCATGGTTGAAGGGATATATGCACCGAGAGATGAACCTCATTTATCCGTGCATATACACTGAAAGTTTACTTTAGTCCTGGGCTATGTTAAGGGATACAGTATTCTTGCTTATTAATAAGATATTGTGGTGACCTTAATAACCTTCCAGAGGTTGATTGTCCTTAATGCCAACACCAAACCAGTTCTCATTCTTCTTCCTTAAAGCATTCACCTTTGCAATTATTATTTTTCACAAAGTACTGACAGTCTCTGTACAAAATCATATATACCTTCACTGCATCAGTAACTTTACAGATTCTTTGCAAAGATATTGATCTGATTAGACGAATTGTAATATTTCGAACTAATGTTAAAAATCCTCTTACAGGATTAAAAGTAATTAATTAAAATTAATTAATTAAAAGTTAATTTGGTTAATTAAAAGTACCCTGAAGGAGTTGTAAGTGTGAGGAGTGTTTATTAATCACTAAGTGATTACAGTTCAGTGATACAGGCTTGAATGCCTTTTCTGCTGTATTTCTTTGACAAGTCTTATCCCCAGAGGTGTATATTTTTATGCGAATATATTTATAATATATATGTTGTACCTATTAGCCAGAATGTCGTACTTGGCCTACTATGCAATGAACGATTTGCCTAATAGGCCAAGTTTTCCTGAATTTATATATTTTTTCCAATTTTTTTCTTATGAAATGATAAATCTGTCCATTTCATTATGTATAAGTTAATTTGTTTAAATTTGAGTTAAAACTAACGTAGATATATGACCGAACCTAACCTAAACTAACACAGCTAAGTCAATAATTTATGTTCTTAATATAATACAATAATTATATTTAAAATAAACCAATTGGAAACAATTTATTGAAAATAAAGAAAATCACTCCGCCTATTAGGCAAATCGGGCCTTGCATAGTAGGCTGAGAAGTGCGTTCTGGCTACAAGGTACGACATATATATATATATATATATATATATATATATATATATATATATATATATATATATATTAATATAATATAATGTCAATATACGAATATACAGGGTAAGATATCCAGTAGGGCGAGCCTTGAAGTGGGGACAGCTGAAATTGAAATAAGTTTATTGAGTTAAAATACACACAAAGGGATGAGGTAGCTCAAGCTATTCTCACCCCATTGGGACAGCTGAAGAGAAGGTCCAATCAGATAATCGGTGAGTGGAAGTACTGAAGTTGTAGAGAAAGAGCCAGGGCTTAACCCAGCTGCATGTCTGGAATCAATGCTGGAACAACCCTACAACTGGCTAGGCTTTTGAGTCGGGTCAGAAAGGGCGGTTTCTGCGGTGCTTCTTTATACTAGGTGGTGACAGTCTTCTGTCTTCTTTCTTGTCTCTTATTTCTTCTTACTACTTCTTCTTCCTCCTCTGTTGTCGTAGCTGTATATGGTGAGCGTTTAGATCCTGTAGGTCAGGAGGGATGAGGTTTGATAGGAGAGTGGACTCGTCCCACTCAGCATGGCAATTGCAGAAACGTTATTGATTGATTACTTTCTTTATTATGCACCCCATACCCATCCTGTGGGCGGTGATGGAAAGGGTTACAGAGGCACATAATCGATTCAGGAACTGAATCCTTTAGTTCGTTTAGCCTAGCGTGACAATCTTCTGAAGTTACACAATTGTTAATGTTTGTATATATATGTACATGTATACAATCAAATACACATACATACACACATCGATAATCTATTTTATATCACAAGTGATTCAACAAGAGGCTCACAAGTCATTTTACAAGGCCCTTTACATCTATGGTGAGACATATAGTTACTATTCTTGCTGCTCACCCACCAAACTAGGCAGCAGCTTTACAGTCATGCATGCATTACCTACAGTAATCTAATTTTGGATACTTTGCTAAAACTCCCGGCATTACATCATTATGAATGAAGTACTTACACATTTCTTGGACTCCGTTGATGGTGTTATCTCCTAATTCCAATATTTTTTCACATTTCATTATATAATGACGCAAAGTATGCGAGTAGTTATGCTGACAGAGTTAAAATTTAGTCAAGGCTATATCAGCAGATGTTACAAACTCCCAGAGGTACTTGTAGTCGTGCGTTCACCTGATTCCAAACATTATGTAAACTTTAAAACTTGTATGAATATTCACTTGGGGTTCACTTTTAGTCTTAATTTCTGTTATGTATTATAATGTGTTGAAAGGTAGTTTGCGGTACTAAAGTACCCAAGCAGTTCATAGCCCTGAACACTGTCAAGGATGTTAGTGTCATGGAATGTAATGTAATTTGTGGCGATCGGAGAATTAGGAATACTAGCGGGTTTTATTATATAATATGAACAGTTTCACATACCTGGGGAGAAACGCGGTTGTTTGTGTACTAACTATGCCCCTGTTACCTAGCAGTAAAATAGGTACCTGGGTGTTAGTCAGCTGTCACGGGCTGCTTCCTGGGGGTGGAGGCCTGGTCGAGGACCGGGCCGCGGGGACACTAAAAAGCCCCGAAATCATCTCAAGATAACCTCAAGATAACGTCATACACACACGTGAAATCTGGAACTCTGTGACGAGGAATCAGAACGGAAAGGTAGTTTTCTCGCAACGAAACCTATAAAATAAGAAATAAAATTCTGGCAAAAATTCGAGAAGAACGAAACACAGTGAATCACCAGTCAGATACTGACAAGATTTATGAAGCACATTAAACCAGAATTGGGAGGAGTCTGGAAAAAATCGGAAAGCTGATTGGTGGACTTAAGGCAGAGGGGGAGACGTGTTATTGGTTAATGAAATGATAAAACTATACTGATCTATCTTTGAAGTCCTCCAGTGACGTATTGAAATCTAGATTCACGTACTGAAATGTAACAGGGAGAATAATTATGCTCCTTAAGAAAACAGATCTGCTCATATCTTCTAAGATGATCCAGACTATATATAGTGTATGGAAAATTATTGACCCTTCAGTACTGTTGCAGACAAGGCTGTGAACACAGTGTTTTGATAATGTTTCATCCTCGTGTGGCAGAGTTGTTTATGGTGGTGTGGTGGTCCGGCCTGACCCTCAGTGGTGCATTGGACAAGGCTCTGCCCTGCCAGGTCTACACCACAGAACCTGTCGGGACCACACTGCCCACACTCCTCAGTTTCCGTCCCTTCACCACCAACTGGACCTTCGACCTACACTTCAGAAACCAACATACAGCGCTCATATGGTGTATGAGACTTAAGGCTGATCATCACCACGTCTCTGTCACTCACAACTCTGGAATTTGTCGTCATGACGTCCCCGTGACGACACGCTGGCCCACTGACGCCTTCGGACCCACTTTCCAGACGGTAACTTACATTCGACACAACGATGATAAATTGGAATTGTACATTAAAAGTCGAAGTTCGCCTTCTGTGGTGCAGATGTCAACCAAGCCGGCAGGACGCCTCCACGTCAGCCTAGCGACCAAGAGTCAAATGTCATATTCTTACAACTGTCCTGCCACTTGTTCGACTTCTATCACGACATCGAAAGAATTCCAACTTCTTAAAACCTTTGAGAAGTCTTCGACCTTCTTCATCCTTCCACGACAAACTTCCATGTTAACGGTGTTTAATGCTTCGGTTCACGGAACATCTTGTGTAAACAAGATGTTCAGTGATCAAATTAATCGCAATCTGCTCAATAAGAAACTGTCCTATAAGAAAGATATGTGGAACAGGCTAGATGTTTTTTTTAATAACGGAATTTATCAGATTTTACTAAATGGAGAGGAATTATGTGGAACTTGTCCAAAACATGTCTGTCATCTAAACTTTCGAGTAAATGTATTCATTACAGGAAACTATTCATGGAGCGTTAACTGTGACCCTCGACAGCTGAAAACTGAATCACTGATAACTGAGTCAACCAAGAACACCATAACAACCACATTTGAGTCATCCACTACTAATGTTACGACCACCTCAACCACACCCTCAACTTCTGTTGTCAACTCTGGAGAAGTTGACAGCATCATAATGTATTCCACATCAGTAGCAGTTCCATTAGCTCTAATTTTACTCGTATGTCTCATTTGCCTGTGCAAAAGAAGCAGGCGTGTAGCACAGACTTCAGCTTTGCGAGCTGGAGTGGCAGAAGGTGTAGGTGTTGCTGCTGGTGGCCCCGAAGACCTCGACCAGCACGGTGGCAACATCGACACCTGCGCCTCACCTCCGGCACCTGATCGTCTCCTTCACATCGGGAATTTTCAGAGTTCTGTTGATGAGACGAGCAAGATGAGCCATCCATCGGCTGCCGTCTCCTGCCACATGCTGCTTGGTAGTCTTCCTGCGATGACCTCACTACCCAGACCCCAGGTTGGGTCCTCACTAGATGCAGGCAGCCCACAGCAGGACAAGCAGGGTTATCACATCTACAATGGCGCTTACAATGCCACTTGTCAAGCCTTGAGGTCCCCCAGTGGCATCAAGAGTGCCACCAGCCCATCAGTGATCACTTGTTTCTCTGGTCAGCAGTTATCAGGCTCACCTCTCCCACTCATCACTCATCATGACAGCATCAACAGCTTATATTCACCTGTGGAGGCGCTGCCAGAGGACCGTTCCAGTCAACATATATATGAAGAAATAGAGGGAAGGTTATAGTCAGTAGAGGACCTGCTGAGAATCGTTCCTACATCATATGAAAATGAAAAGCTGTTAGATACCCCAAAATCAAAATTCTTCCTGGTTCTCTCCGTACTTTCACTGCACTAATGTTTCATTAAACAGCTATATATTTATTGGTGTACTTTCTTTTCACTGTAACACCCTTTATTCCATTGTAATAAAGTATTTGTTCTGCTCTCGATATGTAATTATACAAATGTATCACTTTCACTCAATAAGTGAGTCACAGTCTCTGTGTTTTCTGTGCCACCAAGGCATTGTAATTTCATACAATTTTTTTTTTTAATACTGAACGATATCTTTGCCTTCATATAGTTGTAATACTATACCATTGTACAATTGTATTTTTGTAATACTAAATCATTACATTATTGTATCACAGTTCCACTCTACCATAGTGCAATTGTTTATCTGAATAACTTTGCTACTGTACAGAACAACTCTTTACCATTTTATAGTTGTATTACTGTACCATTTAAATGCATTGCTGTATTATATAAATGTTTATATCACTAAACCTTTAAAAGTAATTACAACTATATTTTATTGATATCAAATATTAAAGACAATTTGAAGTGTGATTTTTACATATTTATATTTATTATGAAGTCATTAATCACGTCATTATATCCTCGTACCACTGTATCAGAGTACAAGGGATTGAAATTGAATTGAAATAAGTTTATTGAGGTAAAATACACACAAAGGTACAAGGGATATGACCATCGAGAGATGTGCTCCATTTATCGGTGTTTATACATTCCTAGTTTAATTCAAGTTCAAGTACTTTTATTGTGACAATAAAATACATCTCAAAAGGATAGAGTAGCTTAGGCTATTTCTACCCTCCTCTACTTCTGGTCCTTCAAGGGACGCACAATTGCAGTGAGTACAAATCCATAAATCACATTACAAGAATTATATTTTACACTGCAGATTAAAACAGTAAACAGCATATAAGTGTAACACACTCTTGAGGCGTATTGCTTGTAGCTCCTAAGTATTCTATCATACCATTATCACACATCCAAATAATTGTATGTTGTACACTACTTATTTCAATAGTTATCGATAAGTTTACAATCTAATACATAGTGAAATTGAAATTGAAATTGAAATAAGTTTATTGAGGTAAAATACACACAAAGGGATGAGGTAGCTCAAGCTATTCTCACCCCGTTCAGTACAACGTGTTAATACATACATAGACACACATCACAAACAATAAACATATTACCAAACATTCTGAGAGATAAACATGTACATTTCCTCCTTCACAAGTGGTATGGTATCAGACGTACACAAATACTTTTATGACCTAGTTATACGGATAATACATAGTGATCTAAGGTGTGGGAGTGCGGCTTACTACATAATTTACACTCCTTATCTTTGTCACTGACATCAACACCGTATTGCCAGAAATGTTTGTATCCTACTCATAATCTCGTGTAAATTGAGTCCTTCCATGTACACTTCCCGCTACTATAAGTGATGAACGAAAATGTTTATTATTTCATAATGCTCAAGTGTGTTACTGCTGTCCGCCATTACCGTTCTCTTAACTTTTTATTCAACTTCTTGGATCATCTTGATTCTTGTCTTTGTTTCAAAGTTTTCTGACATACAACACCGACAAGAGTTTTTTCCAAGGATCTCTTTGCCATCTCAACTTCCTCATTCAACAATATTTCCACAAGGGAAGGGATCCACACGGATCTTACTTATACACATTTTTTCTAATGTCTTAACATTCTACACTCTTGGGAGTTTAATCCTGCACCATATTTAGATAGTGAATAAGCTTAAATATACTTTGTGGTTGGTTATTAAGCTCCTAAGATGCCCTTAATATCCTCCCTGAAGTCAATAAGTCTGGAGACTAACACCCAATTAAACTACTGAAATGTTATAACTAGTATACAATGGTAAGAATCTGGCTGTTTACTTAATTTATAGTGCTTTACAACTAAATGTCTTTAAACGAGCTAAATTATATTTATAATTCAATAATAGCATTTTATAGAAGTAACTGAGAGCTTGTGTAAATTTTTCATAATAAGTGTATGAATCTTAACAAGAGACGAAGCAGCAAAAAATTAAACGAGTAAACATAAAAAATGTAAAACATAAATATAGAAAATGTTAACTAATATAAGAGATACTTTTAAAAATATTCAGTTTTGAAGGTATGCTCTACAATTGCTTTGTATACCCAATATTATTACAACATTATTAATATAATTTAGAAAAATATCCCCTTTTTTTACTTACATATTCTGTTTTTATTGTCTGCATTCCTTTATAATTAATATATATATATATATATTATATTTTTGTTGTATCAATTTTATTATGTACATTTTAAGTTATGTAATTTTAATTAATGTAAACTTTATTTTAATTTTAATATGAAACGTATCTTGTATTCAAATCACGAAGGTGTACTCATCTAGAAGTACTTGCCTGTTTGTGCTTTTAATTTCGAATGTTATTAAATGTAAGGTCTCTGTTCTTATGCTTTTATTATATATACATTCAATTTTTTTTTTTTTTTGAGATATATACAAGAGTTGTTACATTCTTGTAGAGCCACTAGTACGCGTAGCGTTTCGGGCAAGTCCTTAATCCTATGGTCCCTGGAATACGATCCCCTGCCGCGAAGAATCGTTTTTTCATCCAAGTACACATTTTACTGTTGCGTTAAACAGAGGCTACAGTTAAGGAATTGCGCCCAGTAAATCCTCCCCGGCCAGGATACGAACCCATGACATAGCGCTCGCGGAACGCCAGGCGAGTGTCTTACCACTACACCACGGAGACTGATTTGTATTGTATAGCTTCAATTACCACTTCGTCCAACCTATTACGATTATTAACAGCCCTAACAATAAAATAATTTTATCAATAATATCATAATTTAGATTGACACGTCTGATTTACACACAGTTTTATTTCATTGTATAATTCATGATTTATTTTAAGGTATTTTTTTACATAATAGTGATATTATTCAACAACACAACTTTTAAGTTACAAATTGATTTGTCAAAAATTTCAAGAAGCACATATGCTCCTGATGTGACCTTTATGGGACTTAAGAATTCATTATCCATTAGCAAATTCCCGATTTATTTTCACGAGTTCCTCGACATTTAACAAGTTCAAATGTTAACCTGAATAAAACCCATAACCAACACCACGACCCCATGGGAGTCTGCCACCATCACGACCCCGTAGCAAGCAGCCACGACTCCATGATATTTAACGGTTGCAAGGGGGGTAGAAATAGCCTAAGCTACTCTATCCCTTTGAGATGTATTTTTTTCTTGTCTCAATAAACATACTTGAACTTGAACTTGAACGGTTGCATTAGTCAATGGTAGTGTGACGAATTCAATGTTACAGTCTCTTGTATAATAAACTGATTTGATTAATAGCCACGATTCCTACAATACAATAATATACGAAAGATACCCATTAGGGAGAGCCTTGAAGTGGGGACAGCTGAAGAGAAGACGGCGAGAGGAAGTGCTGAAGTTGTAGAGAAAGGGGTTGTCCCAGCTGCGTGTCTTGAGTCGATGCTGAAGCAACCCCACAACTGGCTAGGCGCTGAGTTGGGTCAGGAAAAGCGGCAGTGGCCGTGCTATTTTCTTCTTAATGGAGACATTCTGTCTTCTTCTACTTTTCCTCGTTTCGTGTAATCATTTGATGGTTTCTCTTTTTGTTGTACTCGGCGTGGTCTTTGAGGAAAAAAGTTCTGGTGCCAGTGTGGATTCGTCGCATTCCGAGATGATAACGTCGTTATCAACTATGTTAATTATGTTAGCTCTTGGATCACTCTGCAAGTGTGCTTCATACATCGTGTTTATTATACAGCTAGTGAGCAGTCTGTAAAATTATAACGTTATAGTATTTATCCTTTTAAAACTGCTGACTCCAAAGTAAATTTACTTTGCAATATTTAGGGCCTATCGCCTGCTAAAATCATAAAGATATGCAGGCGACGAGTCACAATAACGTGGCTGAAGTATGTTGACCAGACCACACACTAAAAATTGAAGGGACGACGACGTTTCGGTCCCTCCTGGACCATTCTCAAGTCGAAACGTCGTCGTCCCTTCAATTTCTAGTGTGTGGTCTGGTCAACATAAAGATATGATCTGCCTTACGTTCTTTCCGGCAAATACTCAAGATATATACACCCAAAAATACAGATCTTGGTGTATACATCTCAGCCCGTTCTTAAGATGTGCCAAACAAAATTTATAGTAGTTTTGTTTAACCAGAAGTGTAAGAAATTTTCCACCTAATCAGAAGTAGGGTATACATTGTCCCTTAAAAAACACATACAACCGATACATAATATACGACTAGTGTCATAAATCCCTCGTGTGGCAAATTACCCAATCACTATTCACAACAAACTCCCAATCCTGGAGCCTTCCCAGGATTGGGTGGAGCTCGCGTGTGCCACCCGCAGAATCTACCAAGTTATCAGTGTTATAATCCCAGATAAACAAAAAATAGGTGTCTCATATATGTTCAAAAATCACTGCCACATGAGCCACTTCCCGCTCAACAACGAGAGAGGTTTCAATATCATGGTATCCGGGTACATGTAGGTTATCTTGAGATGATTTCCGGGCGTTTTAGTGTCCCCGCGGCCCGGTCTTCGACCAGGCCTCCACCCCCAGGAAGCAGCCCGTGACAGCTGACTAACACCCAGGTACCTATTTTACTGCTAGGTAACAGGGGCATAGGGTGAAAGAAACTCTGCCCATTGTTTCTCGCCGGCGCCTGGGATCGAGCCCAGGACCACAGGATCACAAGTCCAGCGTGCTGTCCGCTCGGCCGACCAGCTCCCTATAGGTAACTACACTAAAAATTTTAAATGCCCATGCACCTACTGGCCTCCTCTAGACCTACCTAATTTTGCACATACTGACCCTACAATTATAATTGGGGATTTAAATGCTATACACAATTATGGGATCAATTCACAAGCACCAACGGTAGAAGAGTGAAGGCACTTCTCGACCCATATGATGATGATCAAATTATCAGTAAGAATCAGTCAACGCAAATATATGGAAGAGTGTTCGATAGGTGCATTGGCTTTAACCTGTCATACACATCCCTGGAAGCACAAACCGAAACTGTCTCTATTTTCCGCTTGTTACAACTTGTAATAAAGTTGTTACATCTTGGCTTAACGTGTTTATGACGTATTAGAACGTTGTTACAACTTGCTATATTGGTTGTTATAACTGGTTAGGAGGTGTTAAAACTTGTTCGAACGTTGTAGCAACGTCGTAGTTTCGGTGTGTGTTTGGCGGGATCTCACGAGACTGATATTATGGATGACTTAATGTCTGACCATTTAGCCATAACAGCTAACATATACGTGGCTTATGTTGACCTACCTAGCTGAGTAGACGCAGGCTAACAGTAAGAAAAGAGCAAGAATTTTTTTTATATAGACAGCATTGAACATTGGTATAACAATTATGAGTCTGAGAATGTACAACAGTTTTATGATGACCTCATGAATAAAACCTATGAGACCATCAAAAATAGTGAGTCGCACCAGCAAGCGGGTCAGACACAACCAGTACTATGATGATGCTAAACTGAAAGAGCTTAAATCAATTGCTAGACAGACTGGTAAAGCATATAAAGAGCCTTAGAACACCTCAAATGTTAAAACTGTTTTGACAACACTGAAGTAGACAGCTTAATTATTTCTGTCTCCCTTTCCTCACTACAAGCAATAGTTTGCAGTCAAGTTCTGAAGTGCTTGTCTCTGAAGCCATACATAGACATATAAGCATACTAAATAAGAGGGTAAATATCAAAATGTTGTGGATTCCTTCTCACATTGGCCTGCAGGAACATAATAAAGTTGACGTCCTTGCTAAGATTGCAGAAATAAAGGCAGTATTGAACGGAATCTTGAGTTAACAAATAGGTCCCTTAATAGTGTCATTGGACGAGAACTCTTGGATGAATTTGAAGAAAGCACAGTACAAACTGGAATTAGCAGATCCATTGTTCACATAATGAAATGTCAAGTAAAACGTGTGTATGGGGCAAGTAACAAAATCAGTAGATTAACAGACGTTGTCACAGCTTGAATGAGACTTGGCTACAAGTATCTCTGGCAGTTCGGCTTGTATAGGGATATAGGTGACGTTAAGTGCAAAGTGTGTGGACAAAGACAGGGGACACACACTCGAAAATTGTATCTTGGAAATGTAGTAAAGTTGAGCCATTTAGAGATAAATCTAAACTCACGCTGTATGAAAGGGCAAAATATCTTATTACTAAGGATAAAATACCTGAAATCCTTGCACTGTATCCATATTTCGCTTCCAGTAGATAAACGACATATGAGATTAAGAAACAAGTAGTGTATTGTGAAGACTAATAACAAACAGCAGCTTCCCTATGACTCTGTAATATCTCCATTGCTCAAACAATTATGTATTAGCGATAAGACCTACACCAGGCACCTACGGCGCCTGGGTTCGATCCCAGGCACCGGCGAGAAACAATGGGCAGAGTTTCTTTCACCCTATGCCCCTGTTACCTAGCAGTAAAATAGGTACCTGGGTGTTAGTCAGCTGTCACGGGCTGCTTCCTGGGGGTGGAGGCCTGGTCGAGGACCGGGCCGCGCGGACACTAAAAAGCCCCGAAATCATCTCAAGATAACCTCAAGAAGATCCCTTTAATGTATAATGATTTACTGTAAATATATAGCTCTTGAAATAGAACATTCTCTGTAACTAGCTGACATTGTAATTATAAGGTGTGAAGGATAGATGAAATTGTTAATATAATAATCTCCGTTGAGGTCTGATAAAGTCCTTTTCCCTGGAAACACAAACCGTAACTGACCCTATTTTCCGCTTGTTACAACTTGTAATAAAGTTGTTACATCTTGGCTTAACGTGTTTTTGACGTATTAGAACGTTGTTACAACTTGTTATATTGGTTGTTATAACTGGTTAGGAGGTGTTAAATCTTGTTCGAACGTTGTACCAACGTCGTAGTTTCGCTGTGTGCTTGGCGGGTTGTGCCCTCTGTAACCCTTTTTTGCGCTACCGCTCGCAGGATGAGTATGGGGCGCACAATAAACTAGCCTCCCCCGGCGGCAACAATCAAATCAAATCGCGCGCGCTTGACCCAACACACAATCGTGATGAGACCAGCCGAGAGGAAAGCAAGTAATTATGAAGTCTTGTAGCGCGAGAGCAGAATGATTCATGAATGCCGAGATGACTAGTTTAACGTGAGGTGATAAAAGCTCACCCTGGCTGGAGGTTGAGGGCAGTGCGGTGTTGCTGATGACGTTCCGAACGGTCGATCAGCTTGATTAGCCCATCACACCATACACAGGTGATTGACGCCCAGGTGATTGACATCCAGGTGATTGACATCCAGGTGATTGACATCCAGGTGATTGACACCCAGGTGATTGACACCCAGGTGATTGACACCCAGGTGATTGACATCCAGGTGATTGACACCCAGGTGATTGACACCCAGGTGATTGACACCCAGGTGATTGACACCCAGGTGATTGACACCCAGGTGATTGACATCCAGGTGATTGACACCCAGGTGATTGACATCCAGGTGATTGACACCCAGGTGATTGACATCCAGGTGATTGACACCCAGGTGATTGACATCCAGGTGATTGACACCCAGGTGATTGACACCCAGGTGATTGACATCCAGGTGATTGACACCCAGGTGATTGACATCCAGGTGATTGACACCCAGGTGATTGACACCCAGGTGATTGACATCCAGGTGATTGACATCCAGGTGATTGACATCCAGGTGATTGACACCCAGGTGATTGACATCCAGGTGATTGACACCCAGGTGATTGACATCCAGGTGATTGACATCCAGGTGATTGACACCCAGGTGATTGACACCCAGGTGATTGACACCCAGGTGATTGACGCCCAGGTGATTGACGCCCAGGTGATTGACACCCAGGTGATTGACACCCAGGTGATTGACATCCAGGTGATTGACATCCAGGTGATTGACACCCAGGTGATTGACACCCAGGTGATTGACGCCCAGGTGATTGACACCCAGGTGATTGACACCCAGGTGATTGACATCCAGGTGATTGACACCCAGGTGATTGACACCCAGGTGATTGACATCCAGGTGATTGACACCCAGGTGACTGACTGCATCTCGAGTGATGTTCTAATACACCCGTTCCCTCGCTGATTTAATACAGATCATTAGATCGACAAATATCGACAGAGATGAAAAGACAGGTTAATGATTATATTCGTATATTCAGATTACCGAGAAACATATATGAAGATGAACAGAGATCTCGAAACTCCAAAGTATAAACGGAAATAGGTAGATTGATAAATTGATAAAATTATATGTAAAGGGTAAGGCGTTTTGATTGGATGTATGGAGGAGAACTTGTCATTGTTCGTGGATAATAATGTGTGGACGAGTTGCTTGTGTTATACAAGGTTTAGGATGTAGAGAAATATGCTTGACTATCAAATTAAGACGTGTAGCAATACGATTTAATGTAATTCGTCATTTGATTGAAATATTTAATTCTAAATTTGTGATAAAACGAATTTAAGTCTGGTACTGAAAGTTGTACAGGTGAGATAATTATGTTGACAGTTTACATGATGTTGAAGATATATGCATTGAGAAGTGTACCCGTTTCTCGGCGTATATATACCTTGAGAGTTTACTCTTCGACTATGTTTCGAACTGTAAACTATTGTAGTGGCTTTAGTAACCATCCAGAGGTTAGTAGACCTTAAGCTCAACAGAAAAACAACCATTAGATTTGTATAATATCAAGTGGCGTAAACATCTGAAATGGTGTTGGTTTAGATTCAACTACTCGGAACACAAGTTCCAAGTAGCACGGGCTATGGTGAGCCCGCAGTGGACTTAGTAATTGATTGATAAAGATTAAACCACCCAATAGGTGGCACGGGCATGAATAGCCCGTAAGTGGGACTCGGTAATTGTTAGTGGTGGTGTTTAAAATTCGCTACCTGGAACAAAAAGTTCCAATTAAGTAGCACGGGCTATGGTGAGCCCGCAGTCCTTAGTAATTGATTGATAAAGATTAAACCACCCAAGAGGTGACACGGGCATGAATAGCCCGTAAGTGGGACTCGGTAATTGTTAGTGGTGGTGTTTAAAATTCGCTACCTGGAACACAAGTTCCAAGTAGCACGGGCTATGGTGAGCCCGCAGTCCTTAGTAAGTCTTGCTCAGCAGGACTGCTGGAAATCCAACAATAACTCTGGAGTTTTCTTAAGTGATTGAAACTTTCGCCACGGAGATAAATATATAAATATAAAACCTACAAATAATTATTTCACATATTTTTGTTTTTAATAAATTGCTATGTAAGTATTCTAGGCTATAAGGATTTTTCTCAAAACAAAAATTATTCTTTGTGATAATTTTTTTACCCGAATATCGCTTTTACTTAATCTTGAAATCGTTTGTTTGAATTAATATAGGAATGTGAGCTACCCTACCCAAAATATTGTGTTATACTCAAATTCTGTCAGTTGAAATGTAACCAATCGCAGGCAAGTAGGCCTCTGACGTCATGCCAGACAGAGGAGCATCAGCCATGCTCCCAGCAGCCTCAGTTATCCTCACAGACTCAGAGTAGAAGGACCTCGGCTAGGAGCATCAGCCATGCTCCCAGCAGCCTCAGTTATCCTCACAGACTCAGAGTAGAAGGACCTCGGCTAGGAGCATCAGCCATGCTCCCAGCAGCCTCAGTTATCCTCACAGACTCAGAGTAGAAGGACCTCGGCTAGGAGCATCAGCCATGCTCCCAGCAGCCTCAGTTATCCTCACAGACTCAGAGTAGAAGGACCTCGGCTAGGAGCATCAGCCATGCTCCCAGCAGCCTCAGTTATCCTCACAGACTCAGAGTAGAAGGACCTCGGCTAGGCAGATATTTATCTTGCTATCTCAGTCAATAAATATATACAGAAGCGACTACTGAGTCTACATTCTACCCGAACAAGGCAAACGAATAATTGACTATAAAGCAAGTGCGAGAACGGGTTGACCATGTTGTGATTACGTATGCCGGGAATAAAATGTGAATCCTATTGTTCTAATGGACCGAATAACTTTCAAAACTAACAAAATCATTACTTATAATGATAAAATAAGAGTTAAAAATCAGCCGCATGAGAATTTTTCACGTCATATTAGGCTACTAGCCACACAACCCTCTATGACTAATCGTCCTACGTGATGATAATTTTTATCACCACATAGATATCTCTTGAGAAACTATGTAGCCCTTCATATAAGGTTGCAACGGTACAGTGGAATTGTTTGAGTGTTTACACTTATAGCACACGTAACTCATTCCAAATAAAAGATTATCAAGATTACAGTGATTAAATATAAAATCAATTCATATTAATCGATGCATATTAATGTACATTATTCAATGTTTATTAATCATTTTGCAATTTAACAAAATATAGTTTGTCAAAATAATTGGGGTGTATTTGTTGGAAATGTAAGAGTTCCAACACTCGTGAAACTTGTGAGTGGCTTTGTACACTATATAATGTTCCTTGTGGACAGATGCAGTGATGGTAACTGGCATGTAAGGCACAAGGATGTATATTGGACGCTTGATATTGTTGTCTGTAATGACTTTGGTCACGCCGCTGTCATCCAACACAGCCGAGAAAACCACCAGACAGCAGGCTGGATCTCTCTTTCCTGACGATGGAGGTGGCAGAGCTTCCGCCAGACACGGACATTATCGTTCTCCTGACGAGAACGCTGACGCAGTCACCCCTAACACGCTGTGGTACCTCGTCAAGAAGAGATACGTCCGTTCTCACCGGATCATCGCCAGAGATGATCGTTGCCAGTCTAGCTCTCCCCTGCATGTTCTGGCCCACCTCACTGACGTAAGTGACGCCGTAGTCACGGAAAACAGAATGAATCAAATGTTGGGAGGCAAGCAAAATAATGTACCTTTGGAATCAGCGCTGCAACAAACCATGCTCCAAGCAAAACACATTCAAAATCATTACAGTGTACCCAAGAACACGACCCGGCGACCTGGTGGTCGTCTCTCCAGAAGTGTCTCTCTCCCAAAACGAATACTGAATCCTGAAATTGTTTTTAACACTGTCGACGGAGCATCATTGAGGGAGATGCTGGTGAGAGTGGTGAAGCGGGAGATGAACGAGTGTGACCTGACGCTGATCTATGATGACGGCTTCAACCTCCCTCATCTTCTCCAACACCTTCTTCCCCCCAACACGCGACAGGTATGCTATACACCTGCTCTCTGATCCAATACATCATATATGTAACCAAGTTGACCAATCCCTCAGAATAGCAAAGTTTTAGAACAAATTATATCACCTAAATATTGACGTTTGCAGAGTATCGGATTTCATAGATTATGCCCGAAACACTATGCGTGCTGTACTGTGGCTGTACAAGAATGTAAGAACCCTTGTATATACAAATAAATAAAAATAAATAAATGTAGGCATCCGTAGATGACGGCATGAAAAGTATTTCTAATTCGGATAACTTTTAGAGTTATAAAAATATATAATTTCTTGTTTTTCAATATATCAAGAGACTATAATTGTGTGTGTGTTTATGTGTATATATATATATATATATATATATAAGTGAGCTCAGGGACTCGATGGCTGTATCATGTACTTGACCCCATTTCTACAGCAGGTGATCCATGTTCATACGACAGAGGACCTACTGAGTGCAGCGTGGGCGTCTTCAAGGTGCCGAGGGTACCTTTTGCTCCTGCAGGACCTCAGACCGCTCCTGCGATTCCTCAACACCACCTACGACTCCTGGGACTACCACGGCCGGTAAATGAAAATAGGGGTCGTGGATGAGCAGTGTACAGAGTATGCTTGAAAGTCGTGTTTAAGCATGTCATGTTGCATATGTTGGAGTATGTTGCATAGGTCGTGACTTGTTGCAAAATAATAAAAAAAAAAAATTAATTACTGCTGAGAATGTTTACACTCGGGATAATATGTAGAGGTAGACATATCACGGTGACGCAGCATGGGATTAGTAACCCAGCATTTCATGAGAAATAACCAGGGAGCAATATTGCAGGTACCTGGTGGTGGGGTCGTCTGGTGAGGACCTGGTGGCCGTGGCCAGCTCCTCCAAGGGCAGGAAGACCCAGCATATTGTGGGTGTCGTCAAGGTAAATACGTTCATCTTGGGCACTCGGAGCGTTTAGGTACTCAAATAGACTTTAACTCTCAGCGTAAGTTTGACATTATATTATAGCACCGATTCAGTAAACACACAGCTTGACCTCGAAGCAGAGTTTGATCTATTCCAAACGTGAAAGCTTAGGGATTCGAGCAATTAGGGAGAAAATATATAGGAATGTGAATGTAGCTGTGTGTATACACTTAGCTATACATGCATGCAGGGCGTGAACCACGGTTCTTGGGTTCCACCTCTCGTCCTATAACCGTGCGTGTGTGGTTGTTTTACAGCACTTGGTGTCTCCACCAAGCATAAGAAATATTGCCGGAACAACCGTGGACATTTTCAAGAGGAAACTAGATTTATTCCTCCAAGGAGTGCCGGACCAACCGGGCTGTGGTGGGTATGTGGGCCTGCGGGCCGCTCCAAGCAACAGCCTGGTGGACCAAACTCTCACAAGTCGAGCCTGGCCTCGGGCCGGGCTTGGGGAGTAGAACAACTCCCAGAACCCCATCAACCAGGTATCCCCTTCTCCCCTAGTCCGTCGGCAGTGCGGGGGAGTGGAGGGGGTATTCGAACCAGCTGTACTGGGGTCTAGGAATGCATGTCTTCACGACCTGGCGAGTGAGTTCCTTCACGTCCCAAGCCGACTTCTTCCCCGACAAGCTGTCTGACCTCCGGGGAGCTGTACTTAAGGTGCGTTTTGTAGAGTGCTTTCCTCTTGAGTCTTGTTCAAGGTTCATTGTTCTGTTGAGTATATGTTCTTTGCTGAACGTTTCTCGATGGAAGAATCTTGTTCAAAATTTTATCTTTTTTTTTTTTTTGCAAGTGGTTCTGAACGTGGGGTTATGTTCCAAGGTGGCTTTTGTTTGTGTGTGTTCTAAAGTGGCTTTTGTTATTGAAGCGGCTTTGGAACGTGCAGATACTAGAGCTATCTTGGAACAGTTTCACTATCACGCATGGTTTCATTTACCACCATGCTTCAGAATACACGATCCCACATCCTCACTACAACACCACACCTTACCCCAGCACCACAACTCACCTCACCACACCTCACCACAGCACCACACAACACATTACACCACCCACCGAGTGATATATAAACCTAGCTCTTTAGTGTCTAGTTGACCTAATATTGTTATTTTATATTTATTAGTAGTAGTAATACTAGTACCTGGTTGTGGTAGTAATTGTAGTGACGGTAGTATAAATAACAGTAGCAGTAGTTGTAGTGTAGGTCACAGTAGTAGCAGTAGTTAGCTCATGACCTAGGAATGAGGTTAGATCATGACCAAGGAATGAGGTTAGATCATGACCAAGGAATAAGGCTAGGTCAAGACCTAGGAATGAGGCTAGCTCATGATCTATTCCCTCATTCCACAAGGTCGTGGCTTTCGTGTGGGAGCCGAGCATCTTCTACTTCCACACCAGCAACGGTTCCGTCCTCTTCCGCTATGGCGTGGACATCGAAGTGACCAGACTGCTCGCGCGAGCCCTCAACTTCACCCTCGAGTTCCTAGAACCACCTCCAGGTATAACTTAACGAAACGACAACACGCGAAGTTGATATCATTTAATGCACAATGAAAATAGCAATAGATTGATGAATCTACGAATGATTATTGAGTCAGTACAACGGAATCCAACACCCATATATCTACTCAACTTAGGCACACGCATTAAACCAGTCGATAGTACATAGAATTGCATAAATATGCATATTTACATATAGACACCCTTCACGGAATTTTTGTATATCACAGCGTCTATTAATTAATAAAATGATATTGACAGGTGAGCTCTGGGGCTCCGAGAGAAAGGACGGGACGTGGACAGGGATGATGGGATATTTGGACACGGGCGTAGCGGACATGGGCGTGGCCAACCTCTACGTGTCTATAAGTCGGGTGGGCGTCCTGGACTTCTCAGCTCCCTATGACTCTGAGGTAAGCTGCCTGCATAGAGTAACGTGTTGTATTTGTGAAAATATGTATGCATCCTACATATTCATTCTCTGTATACATTTTATGTGTGCATTTCTTTTGGAGAATGAAATGTAGTTGGTTGATTGTATATAAAATTATTAAATGTTATGTATATCAAGGGGGTCTGGGGTCTGAAATCACGGGGTCAGGGGTCTGATAACATGGGTAAGGGGTCTGATATCTTGGGGTCAGGGGTCGGACGTTACTGCCTTGTACCAGTAAGTCATAAATAAGTCTTGTTGACCAGACCACACACTAGAAGGTGAAGGGACGACGAGGTTTCGGTCCGTCCTGGACCATTCTCAAGTCAATTGTGAGAATCGACTTGAGAATGGTCCAGGACGGACCGAAACCTTGTCGTCCCTTCACCTTCTAGTGTGTGGTCTGGTCAACATACTTCAGCCACGTTATTGTGACTTAACGCCTGCATAAATAAGTCTTGATGCCCAAGCTCTCGGAGCCTTGTTGAGAGTCTTGTATGATGGCAGGTAACATGCTTCCTGGCACGCAGGGAGTCTCCGGTGCCTCGGTGGCAGGCTCTTGGCTACCCCTTCCAGTGGGGCGTGTGGCTCGCTATCTTCGTCTGCCTCTTATTCTCCGGTCCGGCAATCTTCTTCCTCGTCTCAAGGAGCCGAAAATTGTAAGACTTTAAACAAAAATTATCTTCGAATTTTGTCCATATTTGCTTTTTTTTATTATCCTGCATATATTTTTGCCTTTTCTCTTTGAATATAGATAAACAATAATATTAAATATGTAAACCCACTTATATCAATAAGTTAATATTTTCACCCACAGCGGTAAGGAGTTAGGGAGTCTGAGGACCTTGAGTGGCTCCTGGATCTACAGTGTAGGGATGCATCTTATGAAATCCCAGGCTCACCTTCCTCTCACCATCACCACACAGGTGTTCGTCACATTCCTCTGGCTCTACACCACCATACTCACCATCGCCTACTGCACCAACCTCACCGCCTTTCTACTCGTCAGCAAGCCTCCGAGGGCCGTTGAGTCTATTAAGGAACTTTACGATTCTGATCTCAAAGTAGCTGGTATGGGCGAGTTCTATAAAGATGAGCTTGCTTCGGCCAGCGATCCGTATCTTAAGGTTAGTAGATCCTAGCCCAAGTTTATCATATCTTTGATTCAGTAGCTCCTGCCTCAGGTGCAGTTACCTATGTCCTTGTGTCAGTGTGTCGTGCTTTTTGGGCAGTTACCCATACCCCTTGTTTCATTAGCCTGCACCCCCCCCCCCCAAACTGCCTTATGAATTGTGATCTTTATCTAAAAGACTGCAGAAGCCTGTTTTGATAGTATTATATTTTACTTTGTTGATAATTACTTTAATTTTATGGATGCTTACCTTGATTTCAAACTAACTTCAAATGTAAAAGTTTGTTGCTACGAGAGTATGTAAATGTTCATAAACAAGACTTACAACATCTGCTCAATTTGTTGTTTGATATTTTAATACATTTTTGTAGAATTATTTTGCAATGAACGTTTATCAAAAAACTTTTTTAGTTGGATTTATAGAATAATTTACAATTAAAAGTTATCGCATGTTGATCAAGTTATTAAAGTTACCCCATATCACAATTCAATTTATGCAACTTATTAGGATTCGTATCCAAAAAAAAAATCCGTGGCTAGCGAAGTCTGCTCATGATCTATTGATCCCGAGTTCGAATCCTGAACAGGAGTTTAGCTTCGCTTCCTTGCACCACACTGTGCCTCTGCAAAAATTGCAGAGTTTTCTTGCATGGAATATAGTTTAAAGTATAGCAGTAAAGGGTATGGCTCAAAAGGGCCACCACTTACGGGCTATTCATGCCCGTGCCACCTTTTGGGTGGTTTAATCTTCATCATCATCATTCCTCTTTAACACGGGAAACATCTCCCGTCACGCAGGGTGCAGTTGCACCTCCACAGATCTCCAGTATCAGCTCTTGATACTGGTAATGGCTCAAAAGAGCCACCACTTACGGGCTATTCATGCCCGTGCCACCTTTTGGGTGGCTTAATCTTCATCAATCAATCAGTAAAGGGTTTCAATTCAAGTCTCTGGCAGAGACTGGCGAAGATCTACGAGGGGCAGACGTCGACCGACGCGGCCTACCAGAAGGTCCTGAAGGGTGAAGTGGTCTTCCTCCAGAATCGCGCCTTCGTCGAGTTCATCGCCAGGACAAAATTTACGAGTGGCGGCGTCTCTCAGATGAGGATAATGAAGGTAATCCCTCTAGTGTGACGTATTCTCTCGAGTAGTACCTTGAGGATTAGTCCCTCATGAGTAGTCTGTCAAGTAACAGCTGTTCTAGCGCAGCCCGTCCTCTCGAGCAATCCCAACGTCAATAACCTGGGGCCAGATTCACGAAAGCACTTACGCAAACTCCTACGAACCTGTACGTCTTTTCTCAATCTTTGGCGGCTTTGTTTCCAATTATTAAACAGTTATTGAGCTCCGAAGCACCAGGAGGCTGTTTATAACTATAACAACAGTTGAATGGGAAGTTTTCATGCTTGTAAACTGTTTAATAAATGTAACCAAAGCCGTCATAGATTGAGGAAAGATGTACACGTTCGTAAGTGCTTGCGTAAGTGCTTTCGTGAATCTGGCCCCTGATGTACTAAATTGCCCGTAAACTACCTGAGGACCTACGAATAGAAAACGGAACATCGTCACTTTTGCGAGCCACTGTGACTTTTAGTAACATCAATTTTTCGCCTTGGGGGATTTATACGTCGAATTACGGTGTACTATTCTAGAGGACGGGTTGGAAAAGCGATTAGTGTGTCCTCTACGGTAACATATCAAGACGAGTCAGCGCTAACCTTAAGTGGATAAGTGTGTATGGCCTGACAAATTTAAGTGTACTGTAGCTTGGAATATAACGCTGAATTGCATTATATTGCAGAAAACTACAAATAAACTTCATTATACCATAGAAAACTGCAAATTAACTTCATCACACAACAGAAAACTACAAATAAACTGTGTTATAGAAAACTACAAATAAATTGCATTACACTGTATTCCATCGTAAACTTTTGTATCGTATACAGGAATGCTTCGCACCCTACAACATCGCCATGGGGTTACAGCGTCACTCGCCTCTCAAAACCAAAGTCGACGAAGTAATCGGATGGATACAGCAGAGTGGCTTACTGAGGAAGTACTTCCTGGACTCTCTCAGACTTGCGGCCTCGACCAAAGTGAGTCTTCAGCTGGTTTGTGTGTTAGTGATAAGTGTTGTGTATGTGTCGGGTTGATAAGTGTTGTGTGTGTCACTGGTTTATAAGTGGCGTATATGTCTCAGGTTGATAAGTGTTGTGTGTGTCACTGGTTTATAAGTGTCGTATATGTCTCAGGTTGATAAGTGCTGTGTGTGTCACAACAGTTAGCTTACAATTAATTTAAAATATGATACATATTGGAAAAACAAAAGAATGGTTTACCTTTTAGAGCGATAGAATAGATATTGTGGCACAATTTATATTATAAAATTAGAACGGTGAAAAGACAAAAGTAGAACTAATATAAACTAATCATGCCATGAAGTTACATAAATTTGCGCACCCTCTACATTCTACACCTCATGCTCCTTCAGGAGTACAAGGGCGGCGACGACACGGGCGTGGATGGACAGAGCGATTTCAACCACGATGGCGGAGTCATTCCCTTGAGTCTGGATCACCTGCAGGGAGCTTTCCTCATCCTCGTCGCCGGGTGCCTCATTGCTGGATGTCTTTTCCTCTATGAGATAACGTGTTAATTCTGTGACATCGACGCAAAAGCTCTCACGGTAGCTGGCCGTAATCTTAACTTATTTTATTCTTAACGTTCAGGGGCGCACACCGCAATTTAAGGGTTATACAACCAAGAGGGTATTATTTCTAGCAATTGGTTTGCTGTTAGGTTAATCTCTATCGGTTACTTCAAATGCTTACTGACCAACCAGAGAATACTTTAGTTCGGAATACTGTTCACAGCAAAAGTAGAATCTGTGCTTGTACACTGAGATATAGGGTACACTTCTCTGTGTAAGTTTATGTTGGCGCCTGGTATTGAACTCTTTAAAATACTAAAAGCATTGAAATATTGAATTTTCACTGTTTTAGACAGAAAGTCTCGCAGATCTTGCAGAAATAAATCCCACTACACTGTAATACTCGCAACTTTACAACCTTCCACTCCTACAGTTGATAGACTCCTTATTCTTCCGGAACTGTAGTCGTCAAACTCTAATCGTCATGTACTGTAGTCTTCACCACTGTTTATTTAAAATGCGGTAGTCATCTTTAATTAAGCCCAACACCAATCCAAGGGATTCAGTGCTGTAACTTTAATTTATTATCAAATTTTCAGAACTTTACACCTAGGTACTAATCCCGTGATTCCTAGATTGTCTATGCCTCAGTACTGCACGTTTCAAGGTGATAGGAGTGTAATTGTCATTACTATGAGTAGCGCCATCAATGCTGAGGTTGGCGCCATCAGTACTATGGGTAACACTGAATAGCACTATAAAACTCGACCTTGACAACACACTGTTAGGAAAGCTTAATAAAATCAATATGAGTGTTTCAATATCCTCTTTACTATATTTTTTCTACAGCTTGTGAAACCCATATGTTTAAACTAGTCAAGTTCAAGTATGTTTATTGAGACAAGAAAGAAATACATCTCAAAGGGATAGAGTAGCTTAGGCTATTTCTACCCCCCCCCTCCCCCTTTAAACTAGTCAAGAAAGAAATACATCTCAAAGGGATAGAGTAGCTTAGGCTATTTCTACCCCCCCCCTCCCCCTTTAAACTAGTCGTGCAGTGCCGGACTCGGATCATGCAGGGTCGGTGTTCGATGCTCTAAGTGGTTGAGCACCGGTCCTTGACTGCGTCCTCGTATCCCAGTTCTTAAGTCTGTCATCTAATGTCTCTGATGGGCTATTATGCCTCTGGATCTGCTTCTGATAGCCTATTATGTCTCTTGAGTCTGATGCTTCTGGTGGCCTATTACGCCTCTGATGGTCTATTATTCCTCTGATGGCGTATAATATGTCTGATGGCCTATTGTACCTCTGTCTCTGATGGGCTATTATGCCTCTGACTGGGTCTGCTTATGATAGCCTATTATATGTCTGATGGAGTCTGATGCTTCTGATGGTCTGTTGTGCCTCAGATGGTCTGTTGTGCCTCAGATGGTCTGTTGTGCCTCTGATGGTCTGTTGTGCCTCTGATGGTCTGTTGTGCCTCTGATGGTCTGTTGTGCCTCTGATGGTCTGTTGTGCCTCAGATGGTCTGTTGTGCCTCAGATGGTCTGTTGTGCCTCTGATGGTCTGTTGTGCCTCTGATGGTCTGTTGTGCCTCTGATGGTCTGTTATTCCTTTAATGCCTCTTATGCTCCTGATGGCGTGGAGCAGGAGAGTGGTGGAACGGAACAGTGGGAGTCGTGGAAATGAGCGCCGGGTGACGTTTATCACCCTCTGTTTATCTCTGATAGTGAGGTACGACGCTCTGATAGCGATTAACCTGAACTACTGGCTCATCGACGACTTTTTTTGTTTAATTCCTTTGTAAATGTGAAGGATTTTTTTGGTAGGCATACGAACCAGCAGGGGAATCTTCCATAGACATGTTTTCTTCAGTTGGCCTAGGGTATATCCTGTTGCAGGCGATGAGTCACAATAACGTGGCTGAAGTAGCCGGGTGATCGACTCATTCTCAATCGACTTGAGAATGGTCCAGGACGGACCGAAACGTCGTCGTCCCTTCAATTTCTAGCGGTATATCCTGTTTCTTCCCGAAAAGTGGGAACAAAATCATGTTCACATGAAATAAAATAACAGCAGCAAAACAAGTGTCCAATGTATTACGAATTCTAATTTATTATTGTAAAATCAATAAAAGAATAAATTGCAAATTAAATATTCTACACCATCATTATAATCAATGAGTAGATGAAAAGAAATAAATTAATTTATTTCATAAACATTACTGGTTGACATGAACAATTCGTCCTCAGGGTGGAGGATACCCTGTCCCTCAAAATACTCTAGGAGTCTAGGTAATTACTTCAAAACCAGTACGTATATAGTGATGTTATCTACTCCCTATCTTAGGTTTGATTAGGTTAGTTTAGATTAAAACAGTGTATTATTCTATAAATATATGAAATTAAATACTCATTATCCCCCTAGAATTTATGATTAGAGAAAACGTATGCCTAGGTCTTTTCACTGAAAACTAGTTTACCAGTGAAACCTAGGATTCATAATACAACGCAGTTATACCTTGAGAATATTCCATATTTATGACAAAGGTTCATTAATTGTTTACCAGAAACTATTACTGACACCGTAATATGCTTTCAAACCATTACAAATATCTAGATAACTATCCATGTGGTCTGAGAGGGAGATTGTTGTCTCGATCTAATCACGTTTCCCCGAAAACAGGCTGAGATATAATGCCTCTGGTGCCTTTTAGTGGCCTCTGATGGCATCTCGGGGAGAAGTATTATGGTCTCTTTCCCCAGCTGACACCCAACCACTTTGACTAGAGTCACTAGACGATAGAGCTATGGCTTCGCTTCTTGTAGGTTGGCGTTCAGTCTACGACACTACAAGTGGCTGGGCTCCGTCCTTTTCTAAATTCTTATCATTATTTTCCCCCAAGTCCTAATGACTTCAGAGTCGTAATGTTATGAAGAGGACAGAGGAAATTCCACGAGTAATTGGTGAATTGCCTAATAGGAAGAATGAGTTGGCTGCTGCCGATATATATATATATATATATATATATATATATATATATATATATATATATATATATATATATATATATATAGTGTGTGTCGTACCTAGTAGCCAGAATGCACTTCTCGGCCTACTATGCAAGGCCCGATTTGCCTAATAAGCCAAGTTTTCCTTAATTAATATATTTTCTCTAATTTTTTCTTATGAAATGATAAAGGTACCTATTTCATTATGTATGAGGTCAAATTTTTTTTATTGGAGTTAAAATTAACGTATATATATGACCGAACCTAACCAACCCTACCTAACCTAACCTATCTTTATAGGTTAGGTTAGGTTAGGTAGCTGAAAAAGTTAGGTTAGGTAGTCAAAAAACAATTAATTCATGAAAACTTGGCTTATTAGGCAAATTGGGCCTTGCGTTCTGGCTACTAGGTACGACATATATATATATATATATATATATATATATATATATATATATATATATATATATATATATATATATATATATATATATATATATAAAATTCCGGTCGCAGTAATCAAACAAGCAGTAAACCGACTTTTGAGACCGTGAATCATTTCCTCGATATGCATGAGGGAAGATGGTGAAATATCTATTTTAAAACGTGGTTAGTGACTGCAGGGTTTTCTTGGAGGTGTAAGGGAGCCTGTTTTGGAGGTCTGGAGGAAGTGTCGACTTCTGTTGCACCCATGAACACCGCCTTCAAGAGCAATGCAATGCTAATTTGTTCATGGAACTTACAAGAGTACATATGAAGCTATTTATGTATATCCACAAATAATATATGATATGCACATACAGATTAGTAAATAGGATGCCAAAGGGCAAAATACCATGGAAACACCACCCTGGAAACACAAACCGAAACTGTCTCTATTTTCCGCTTGTTACAACTTGAAATAAAGTTATTACATCTTGGCTTAACGTGTTTATGACGTATTAGAACGTTGTTACAACTTGCTATATTAGTTGTTATAACTGGTTAGGTGGTGTTAAAACTTGCTCGAACGTTGTACCAACGTCGTAGTTTCGGTGTGTGTTTGGTGGGCATGTACTGTACTTGTTAATGAGACCGTCAGGGCTCAAGAATGCGTGATCTGTGGTACATTCTTCGAGTAGTTGTCTAAGAATGCTTTATGAGATGTCAATAGGAGTGCAAACCAGATCTTGATAAAATTGTCTACCATCATTCCAATAATTATATCCACGGGTTTGGTTTCTCTAGATTTTTAACTCGCACTTGCATAAAAGAAACATAAAAAATTGATTATTTAAACATTTTCACACATGTGTGATCAGTTGATATGTTGACCAATCCACACACTAGAAAAATGAAGGAACGACAACGTTTCGGTCCGTCCTGGACCATTCTCAAGTCGATTGTGAGAATGGTCACAATCGACTTGAGAATGGTCCGGGACGGACCGAAACGTCGTCGTCCCTTCATTTTTCTAGTGTGTGGATTGGTCAACATACTTCAGCCACGTTATTGTGACTCATCGCCTGCATCAGTTGATATTACACCGTGCAAGGGCTAACAACTTCATCTATTTTGGATTCAGTGTTAGTGACGTCCTCTGGTACTCACCAAGTTGTGCTTGCGGGGGTTGAGCCTTGGCTCTTTGGTCCCGCCTCTCAACCGTCAATCAACTGGTGTATATAGATTCTTGAGCCTACTGGGCTCTATAAAATTTATATTTGAAACTGTGTATGGAGTCAGCCTCCACCACATCACTGCTTGCTTCATTCCATTTGTTAACTACTCTGACACTGAAAAAATTCTTTCTAATGTCTCTGTGGCTCATTTGGGTTCTAAGTTGCCACCTGTGTCCCCTTGTTCGTGCTCTACCCGTGCTAAATAGTCTGTCTTTGTCCACCCTGTCAATTCCCCAGAGAATTTTGTAGGTGGTTATCATGTCTCCCCTTTTCTGTTTTCCAGGGATGTGAGGTTCAGTTCCTTCAGCCTTTCCTCGTACCTCATACCTCTCAGTTCCGGGGGCTAGTCTGGTGTCATACCTCTGAATTTTCTCTTTGTCTTGTCTTGTGTTTAACTAGGTATGGCTGGAGTTGCATACCACAGGATTAGTCTGACATACGTGGTATAAAAGATCCTGAACGATTCCTTACACAAGTTTCTAAAGGCTGTTCTTATGTTGGCCAATCTAGTATATGCCGCTGATGATATCCTTTTGAGCAGGAAGTGAAGGAGTTTAAATTCAGCTCAATTATCGATCGACAGAAGGACTGTTCTGTACAGGAGCTAAAGCTGCACCTTTCAAATGAAAATTTGTGAGTGAAGATAAATCACTTGAGAAAATCAGGAGCCGCGAGAAGGATTCGAACCTATGCTCGGGGTACTCCCAAGCAAACGCCTTAGACAACTTCACCACAACATGGTCAAAAACTATACTCAGCTTGGGAGTATCCAATGATTCGAATCCTTCTCATGGCTCCTACTGATTTTCTCATTGATACGTCACGTCACGTTCTTTGCGCGATAAGTAACTTAGCACACAACAGTTTCGGCAGAGTTAGAGAAGAAATTGAATTGAAATTGAAATAAGTTTATTGATGTAAAATACACACAAAGGGATGAGGTAGCTCAAGCTATTCTCACCCCGTTCAGTACATCGTGTTAATACATACATAGACACACATCACAAACAATAAACATATTACCAAACATTCTGAGAGATAAACATCTACATTTCCTCCTTTACACACTAGGGAAGAATACGGTGAATCCTAATTCCACCGTAGGAGGAAGTAGCGATGTTCTCCATGGCTTACAAGTTATCTGGCCAGTAACTGATACGCTATCGTCTCGCTTAGTCTCTGGTCACGTGACCTTCACTGCCCCTCATATACTCGTGTGTGATGTGAATGGTTATCTTTAATGCTAACAATCGTTTCAGCCTGTTAGCCATGGGATATTGTGAATGAATCGCCAGCACTCGAACAGTGAATCATCAGCAGGGGGGGGGGACACTATCCTCAGTAGGAGGATAGACAATAACCAGCAGGGGGGACACTATCCCAGCAACAGGATAGACAATAACCAACAAAGGGATTGGTTCAAGTTCAAGTATGTTTATTGAGACAAGAAAGAAATACATCTCAAAGGGATAGAGTAGCTTAGGCTATTTCTATCCCTTAAAGTTGATCACTAGCAGGAAAGGAAAGACATTACTCTGAAAGAAAACGGGATGCTACCGTGACTCATCTTTCAATGTCACACGACGTTTATGTCGAATTAAAAATGAAATCACATTAATATATGATCTCAACCTCGGTGCTGTTTCAATATAAAATATTTAGCCTGTCTTACATAGTCTAGTGACTGAGACTTCGACCCCAAAGTCAGTTCCGGGAAAGAGTGACGTGAACAAATATTTCGACAACCAGAAGAGGAACAATGTTAGCTCCGTTCAGAGTCGACAGTGATTGGAAAAATGTGGAAAACTAAGCAAATAAATGACAAACATTCATTCAATCATTCAATGCCCCTATGAGTAAAAGGTAAAATACCTCCCCATTCGCAGTAAAATACTGACAGATGCTTTTTGACACGGCTTGTGTGTCACACAGTCGTTGAAATCGTGTTTAACTAACAGTGCCTTGGTTATCAGTAGTCACCTTCGTCGTCATTGGTTATCTTATCTGTATAACGCACATTCTCAGTGTTCCCTCGGTAGTGTAGTGAGAGCCTTAGACTCAACGCTAACACAACCGCTTCAGTATTACAGTAAAAGTGTGTGTTTTGAGCTAAGTTTGAACGGGCCGTTGCTTAGGGGTGCCTCAGTGAGTGCCAGTGTGTCCGGAAGTGACAAGGGCGTTGTGTCGTACTGTACCTGTCCTCTAGAGTTGCCACAAAGGACAGAAAATTGAATACAACTTTATCTAACTTTACCGAGCAACCACGCATAGAAAAGGTGAATGTTCGTGAGTCACTGATTTACACCGTATAATGTTTTGTCCGTTGTGGATTTTGACGTCAAAATCCACAACAGACAGAAAATTGAATACAACTTTATCTAACTTTACCGAGCAACCATGCATAGAAAAGGTGAATGTTCGTGAGTCACTGTGATTTACACCGTATAATGTTTTATCCATTGTGGATTTTGACGTCAAAATGCGATATATTATTCAAGAGGACAGGTGACTGCCTGTATCATAATGTAGATTGTAATGAGGCGCTACTGTAGTCACTTGAAGTATACGTGGAATGCAATAGTTCTCCTAATAACCAGGGTCCAGATTCACGAAAGCACTTACGCAAGCACTTACGAACGTGTACATCTTTCCTCAATCTTTGGCGGCTTTGTTTATAATTATTAAACAGTTAATGAGCTCCGAAGCACCAGGAGGCTGTTTATAACAATAACAACAGTTGATTGAGAAGTTTTCATCCTAGTAAACTGTTTAATAAATGTAACCAAAGCCGTCAAAGATTGAGGAAAGATGTACACGTTCGTAAGTGCTTGCGTAAGTGTTTTCGTGAATCTGGCCCCAGAGCGCTCTCCTGTAAACCACTCATTTCCACAGTTGACAGTCGCTCCCAGGGTGACGACATGCTACTCTACGCTCTTATTGTAAAAGTGTTTTAGCCTTCGGTATTTAGTGAATAAGTGTGTAGGACTATACTATTCAGTGTAATAGTGGAATGTAATGTCATAGTGAACTAGTGAAGTGATTACTGATACAAGCCGTAGGGAAACAAAGTGAACAGGACCAACTATACGAGTTGGCCAGGTCCAGTGTTGTTGTTGTTGTTGTTGTTTAAGATTCGCTCCGTGGAACAAAAAGTTTCAAATAGCACGGGCTATGGTGAGCCCGTAGTGGACTTTTTTCTTCAAGTCCAGTGGACAACGTATACCAACTGTACGAGTATTATTGTACGTATGTAACATTACTGGTGCATTAAGCTCGTTACTGGGCTTAATACATGTAAACGTCTCGAGGATTAGATAATCGATCATTTTTTTATTTTTTAATACATTAGGTACATCTGCATTTGTGCAGCTACCCTAGACTATATGAAGGGAAGTACATGGGGATTTTATAGCATCACCTAGTTAGCTTTTTTGACACACTGTACTCCACTTCATATAGTCTAGGGTAGCTGCACTAATGCAGATGTACCTCATAACTTAATAAAAAAAAAAAAAAAAAAAGTGTCAAAAAGCTAGCTACATGATGCTAGAAAATCCGCATCACACAGGATGGTTAGTCATACAAAGGCATGTATGTGTATGTTAACATGTATGTGTATGTATGTTAGTCATACAAAGGCATGTATGTGTATGTTAACATGTATGTGTATGTATGTTAGTCATACAAAGGCATGTATGTGTATGTTAACATGTATGTGTTAAGTTAGTCATACAAAGGCATGTATGTGTTAAGTAGTCTGCACTGACAGGCTGGTATAATTAACCAAAAAAATCTGCAATTATCATCTTTATAAAAAAATAAAAAAAAGCATACTAACCAACAAGTATACTACAGTCCTGAACATAAGAGTCTAGGACTATGTTGACCAGACCACACACTAGAAATTGAAGGGACGACGACGTTTCGGTCCGTCCTGGACCATTCTCAAGTCGATTGAGAATGGTCCAGGACGGACCGAAACGTCGTCGTCCCTTCAATTTCTAGTGTGTGGTCTGGTCAACATACTTCAGCCACGTTATTGTGGGTCATCGCCTGCAGTCTAGGACTATGTTAAACAAGTACACTTGTTAGTGTTTATATAACCTATTTTAGTTATATAGTTTGTATAATTGTTATCGGTTAAAAAAAATTCTTAGTATCGTTTATAACACGAAAATGTAACCAAAAAAGCTAGAAGTAAGAAACGAGTACGTGCTAGAAATTTTTACAAATTGCTAAATATTTTAATTTTCTGTATAAAAAAATATTAATACAAATATGCTCCGGCGCCAATGAAACTATTTTTGTGTATCGCCACAGAAATTTTCTTTGAGCAGGATGTGTATCAGGTGAATTCGTCAGCCCTCACAGCCGCATAGCCTACTGCCCGACTGATCTTTTGCCTTCTCAGGGGCATAAATCATTGCCACAACGTCCCGGATCCCCCATCCCCCCAGCGCCCATACTTCATCCACTCTTCCGCTTCATTTCCGACCCCCAGGGGCCTAATTACCCGCTCCAGGGACCTAATTCCTCGCTCCAGGGGGCCCCTAATTCCCCGTTCCAGGGGTACAATTCCTCGCTACAGGTGCCCAATTCTCCTATTCTGGGAGAGCCCAAATCTCCGCTACAAGAGCCAACCCCTCCGTCAAGAATCGACACCTCAGCCTCGGGGCCCGCATCTGTGTCCTTAATTGTGGCCACTGCCTCCCTGGGGCCCCCCTACAAGGAGGACCCACGACTCCTTGGTTTTCAAAATGAGTGACGATCACATATCACTGGTAAGCCTATAAATTTATTTTCACTGTAAACTGGTTTATAGATTGGGATTTAGGCACTATATATATTTCTAAATTTCCAAAGTGTACGAGAAAGCCAGCGAAGATTTACACTCTCAGATCTCGAAGACTTTGTCACTGTTTCTCTCTTGAATTAGAAATATTCATGACATTGTTGCAAATGTTGATTAGATGGTTTGAATAAGAATGTTGTTTAGTAAGGATGTGATGACTAAATCACACATCAGAGGATGAAGAGACGACGATGACGTTTCGATCTGTCCTGGACCTTTATCAAGTCTATTCATCTTCTGGCGTATGATTCGGTCATCATATATTCAGCCACGTTATTGTGACTGTCGTCCCTTACATGATTTTTATTCATCGATACATTGTTCACTGAGATATTGTTCAGTTTGATATTATTCAATCAGACATCGCTAATTGTAAACATATGTAGACATCCATAGAGAAATCACATTAACGTAATGTATCAATGACAATATCAGTAAGAGCCGTGAGGAGGATTCGAACCTGTGCTCTGGTTACTCCCAAGCACACGCCTTAGACGACTAGGTCATGACATGGTCAAAAGGATTCAATTGAGTGTCAGGTTGTAATCATTTTGACCATGTTGTGACCTAGTCGTCTTTGGCGTGTGCTTGGGAGCACCCAGAGCACAGGTTCGAATCCTCGTCACGGCTGGTACTGATTGATTGATGAAGATTAAGCCACCCAAAAGATGGCACGGGCATGAATAGCCCGTAAGTGGTGGCCCTTTTGAGCCATCTGTGGAGGTGCGACTGCACCCTGCGTGACGGGAGATGTCTCCCGTGTGCCTGGTACTGATTTTTCCCTTATGTAGATATACTAGGCGGGTGTACCCGGCAGTGCCCGGGATAGTTCATCTCTCCCCTTAACTCTCCTTTCCACCTCTCTCTTTTTCCCCACGTTCTCCCTCCCATCTCCCTTATTTCCCCTTCACCCCACCCACCCCCTCTCCCCATCTCTCTCCCCTAACCCTCTTCCCCGTTCCAACTATGAACAGAGACTTCCATTGATATATATGCAAAAGGAGTACCCAGCTGCACCCGGGTCTCTTCCCCCCTCTTTCACCTTTCCCCTTCATTCCACACTTTTCCCCCCTCGTTACCACCACCCTCCTTCCCCTTATCCCCCCTCCCCTTTGTCCTCCATCTCTCAGAAAAATTATTTATTTACATTTTTATTAATATTTTAGGAACATCTGTATTTGTGCAGCTACCCTAGACTATATGAAGGGGAGTACAAGTGTGTCAAAAAACTAGCTACGTTGTACTAAAAAATCCCCTATCACACAGGATGGTAAGTCATACAGAGGCATGTGATAAGTAGTCTGCACTGGCAAACTCTGGGTGTATTATGAGGATATCTTCATGAACACAAGAGTGAATAAGGTAGCAGTGATACTAAAAGTCCCAATCTCGCAGGATGGTTAGTCATACAGAGCCATATGTTTAGTAGCCTGCACTGGCAAATTTTGGGTACACTGTGAGGATATCTTAAAGAATATGAGAGTGAATAAAGTAATTGCAAAGCTCCAGATACCTCATGCCAACTGGTCTGAAAGGTCTAATAACTGGGCATTCGGTGATGTAGTGTGGGAGATCATGCTGCAGTTCCTACTCAGAGTTTACACCTGGAGTGCTCAGGATTGGGAGATCTGTAGCTGTAGCCACCTGCCACAGGTAACGGTAACCCAACCTGATCCTTGCAACCACTGTGTCGCACAGTCTAGTGGACGTTTTGTGCTGCCCATAGATATAGGTTTCAGATCTGAACAAATCATAGCTTTTTATACTAGTACTTTCAGGTCGTTGGAAATCAGTACTTTCTTTCCTATCAGACCTGAGTGTTTGGACCAATACAGTTTTGACAGCAGAGATGGGGATACCTAGATCTAATTCAACTTCATCTTTGTTGCACGCTAATTTGGCTGCAACCCAACCTGTTATAAAGCAATAAAAAATCAATGGGAAACACACCAATTATTTCACACTTGACTCCATGAAAATATCCTGGAGGGGGAACGTCTCTATAAAAAATAATATTTCTTAAAGCGCTTAACCTAGGCCGACTCCCGACCAGCCTGTGTTTGTCCTGTACCCCAGACCATCCCCTTTCAGAATTGGGTGAGGCTATCCCCAAGCGTCTGGCCTCCAATCTTAAACAAAGACATTCTCTTTTATAGATATTGACAGATGTAATACAGTAGACTACTGTAGCAAATACAATCAGGATGAAGAAATACTCTAGTTATCCTGTCACATAATTCCCCAGCATAGCTGAGGAAACGGCCTCTTCTTTCTTACCTTCGTTGCCCATCACTCTGCGTATCGCATATTTCGAACGGTATGGAATTCAACACAGTGTTATGTCAGGACGACACCACCCTCCACACGGCCCGAGAGCCCCGGGCAGGTGTGCAGCTGCAAGACCTGCCGGTTCCTTGTTACGTCTAGGTAACCACCAGTTACGCCGCCGGCTCATCGTTCAAAACCTCGGTGACAAAGGATTTGACGTCACCAACAGGGGTTATAAATACCCATCACCTCGGTCACTAACTACATCCATCCACAGATCTCCAGTATTAGCTATTGGTACTGGTAATGGCTCCAAAGAGTCTCAACTTACGGGATATTCATGCCCGTGCCACCTTTTTGGTGGCTTAATTTTTATCAATCAATCAATCGTCACCTCATTCCATCTCAGGTGCTCAGGGAATCAACATTACGGCCTAAACGCGACGCTTGGCTATAGCAGCTTTGTGTTCAAGATGTAATTAGTGTAAATGATTTTATAATTACCAATATTTTAGTGTTAACGTAAGTTTTTATATGTATTTGTCGGATTATTATTTCTCATGTGTACTAGCCAAGTATGTCACATAAGGGATGTTACATATTTTTCATATGTTATTTGTTCATTTAAATATTAGAGTAAATAATCATAGTTTTTTGTTTGAGTATGCCTTCACTTCTTTGCCATTTTCGCACTTCAGAGACCAATGTGGCATTTTTGTTTTTGTTAATACAAAGTGCGTGCCACATTTTGATCTGCCCATATCCATTCCATCTCTACTGAGTCACGTCACTCCCTCCCTGACTTACGGAGTCACATCAATAGACTTGAACATATTGCGAATGAGTAAATCACACTTAAATACACCGACTGGTTCTGACTGAGGACATACTCACATACGACCTACTTCAGGTCCAGTGCGCCCAGGGAGGAGACTCTGCCGGCGTGAACGCGGCCCTGGAGAATGGGGTGGCCGTAGACACAACAGAGAGGGGACGTACAGCTCTTCATCAAGCTGCCCTCGGGGGACACCTGGACGTCACCAAAGTGCTGCTGAACTGGAAAGCTGACATGGGCAAGAAAAGCAAAATGGACGAAGATAATGGTTTGTTTTTTATTGAGTTTTGTTAAGTAAGGCCATTTACCGTCTAGGAAAAATAACCTCGAGCCCAGTATTTAGTAGGTGAATGTTTGTTATTTTCATTTCAAAGCTTTATACTAAAGTGATTTGTACGAATCATTACAGTTATGGCTGGAGTGAACAGGTGTACAGGTGTGATGACCAGACCACACACTAGAAATTGAAGAGACGACGACGTTTCGGTCCGTCCTGGACCATTCTCAAGTCGATTGTCAATTTCTAGTGTGTGGTCTGGTCATCATACTTCAGCCACGTTATTGTGACTCATCGCCTGCAGGTGTACAGGCGTGTTTAGAATGAACATATCTACAGCCGGAAAAAAACATTTTAGTTTACCATAGAGCGGTGAGATCTATATATTGGCATGCCATAATAGCATGAGTTTAAAATGACAATTTGGAAAAGAACAATAATAAATAACATGAACAATTAAGTTATTGAAATTTGCTATTAGTTATTTGCTTAACCACAGCACTTTACATCAACAAATTCAGGAGGTAACCTGGATCATAATCAGTTTGAACACAATCGATGTAACATTTAATTTCACGAAAATTTTAAATGTTTGTCAATAAGCCATCTATCTGTGGCTGGACGGAACAACGAAGACCTCACTTATTGCAGGTCGGCGTTCGATCTCCAATTGTCCGAGTGGTTTGGGATAGTTACTTCACTTCTTTCTATCCCGTCTCCAATCCTCATAACCCTTCCCAAGTGCTGTATTGACATCCTGTTCAGATCTAATCCAAAACACTTTCTATTCACTTTATCTTATCCTATGGCCATTGCAGCGTAGTTCCGGATGGTGACGTGGTCATGTTTATCGCGATGAATGACACACACATTGTTCGTATTTTACGTAACTGGTTTCGATGTCAGGTGCGTATGGCGTAGATAGTGGTAGCTTCACCCCCTCCTCCCCCTAGCTGAGGATAGTACAAGTATATCCTATTGTTTGGAGTTTCTATTGATACTGATGCTAGTTCTAGTGATGTATATGCACCTTTATGAGGCCCCTGGTAGTCAACTGAGTCTGGTAACTGGTAGTCACCTAATTCTGTTATCTGGTAGAGTCGCCTCATGTTGGCACCTGGTAGTCACTCGATGGAGTACAATACAAGTGCGACGGTATAATATAAATATGAGAATACAACAGCAGTCGCCCACAGGAGGCACAGCGCTGCACCTGGCTGCTGAGGAAGGACACACAGACGTCATGAAGTTGCTGTTGGATGCAGGAGCCAACGTTGAAGCCCTCGACATCAAAGGTAAACAGAAAAAACAGAATCCTTGTGAAAACGTCTGACTCTTTCCGGAGCCTACTGCCACCTTCCAATTAGGCTTGCGAGGATTTTATCTGTTATGGCTCAAAGCCTTTATCTGCTTTATTTTGCTATAATCCATAATCACACAATTTTTTGTAATTTAAGGAAAAACTTTTATAGTTATTTGCTACAATTCATACTTTCCTTTAGGGTAATGTTGGATAATTCACACCATAGCAATAGTTCATTATGTCCACATACATACACACATTCACGCATAGTATACACGGACTATATTTCATTCTTCAACAACTATCGCCATGTATCACCATGTATCACCATCACACGACTTGATAATGGTCCAGGACGGACCCGAAGCGTTGTCGCTTTTCCATCTTCTGAGTTGTGGTTTCTTCAGCCACGATATTGTAACTCACCGTCTGCATCACCGTGCCCACAGGCCGCCGAGCGACCCACCGGGCTGCAGCTCGAGGCCAGAAGGAATCGCTGGAGCTCCTGAAAGCGTACGGAGCTGACCTCAACGCCCGGGACAACGGCAAGGCCACCGCCGTCCACCACGCCGCCTACTCCGGGGACCTCACCCTGGTCAAGTGGCTGGTAGAGAATGGTGTGTATGTGGTCCTCAAGGACAAGAACGGTCGCCTGCCCAAGGACGTGGCCAAGAGATATGGCCACCATGAAATCCACCGCTACCTGAAGGAGTGTAACAGCAAGAGAGGCGCGGTAAGTGTAACGGTTTAAGCAATCGAAGTACAATGCCAACCCGTTCTCGCAAATTTAATAAGTCAATATTGACTTATTAAATATGTGCATAGGTGACATACTTAACATAATAGTTTCCCTTGAAAAGCTTCATAGAAAACACCGACCTTACCTAACCTACTTAGTATGTTAAGATAAGCATCTTATTGCTTCGTAATTACAATTATTACCTAACCTATACCTATAATAGGTTAAGTAACAATTGTATTTACGAAGCTATAAGATGCTTATTTTAACATACTAAGAAGGTTAGGTAAGGTCGGTGTTTTTTTATGAAGCTTTTCAAGGGAAACTGTTATGTTAAGTATGTCACCTATGCACATATTTAATAAGTCAATATTGACTTAATAAATTTGCGAGAACGGGTTGACAATGCTGTATAAAAAAAAAATATGGTTTACCATTAATTACAGAGTTATAACTATATAAAGCTAAATGTCTTTCATCAATGCACAATGCGACAAAAAAACTTGATATAGCTATGCTTGGGAAGTCCAAGGACGAGAGTTCGATCCCATCGTATACCTGGGGGGATTCTAGAAACACAGGTTCGATCCCATTGTATGCCTGGGGGGAACCTTGAGGTTACCTTGAGGTGCTTCCGGGGCTTAGCGTCCCCGCGGTCCGGTCGTCGACCAGGCCTCCTGGTTGCCGGACTGATCAACCAGGCTGTTGGACGCGGCTGCTCGCAGCCTGACGTATGAGTCACAGCCTGGTTGATCAGGTATCCTTTGGAGGTGCTTATCCAGTTCTCTCTTGAACACTGTGAGTGGTCGGCCAGTTATGCCCCTTATGTGTAGTCAGGGACGGCCAGGGACGCGGGTTCGATCCCATCATTCTGCCCCAATATTTTCTCCTCCTTTGCCATTCATCTTTGCATAACACATTTCGTTACAAAAATTCCTTAGTGACAGGCGCATTCCATTTACAGTTCGGGACGACTAAAGCTCGAAAGAGTATGAGGGATTTTTCAAGTCTCCAGAGGCCTGGACGGATCGAGCATCCATCGATGCCTGAGTCGCTGGTGATTGACGCACCCAAGAGGATCTCAGCGTCATCAGAACCGGAGGAAATAGGCAAGCATCGCGATCTGACGGATGCTGGCTCGTCACAAGCGGATCTGCCAGCCGTGGATGGTACCTCGCTGGTCTCGTCTACCAGGAAGCACTCGGGAGAGGACACAAGACACTCTGAGGGCTCGCTCACGCCACCTGACTCTCCGCCAACACACTTGGAGGATTCGAGGGTAAGAAGCTGAGAGAATACACATCTCGACTCATTTCTGGCTAACTCTCTTGTTTATTTCATCTCTTTCTCTTCATTAGGACTTTTTCTTCTTTATTCATATTAACTCTTATTGTATACTTCCTACTTTCTCATCTTTCACCTCACATTCTTACCCACAATATTGCCTTTATCAAGTCTTGTTAATGGTCCAGGGCGGACCAACACGATGTGGTAGTGGTTCAGGACGGACCAACACGATGTGGTAGTGGTTCAGGACGGACCAACACGATGTGGTAGTGGTTCAAGGCGGACCAACACGATGTGGTAGTGGTTCAGGGCGGACCAACACGATGTGGTAGTGGTTCAGGGCGGACCAACACGATGTGGTAGTGGTTCAGGGCGGACCAACACGATGTGGTAGTGGTTCAGGGCGGACCAACACGATGTGGTAGTGGTTCAGGACGGACCAACACGATGTGGTAGTGGTTCAGGACGGACCAACACGATGTGGTAGTGGTTCAGGGCGGACCAACACGATGTGGTAGTGGTTCAGGGCGGACCAACACGATGTGGTAGTGGTTCAGGGCGGACCAACACGATGTGGTAGTGGTTCAGGGCGGACCAACACGATGTGGTAGTGGTTCAGGACGGACCGAAACGACGTCACTTTGTTTTGTAACGTGTGGGTTGGGTGTCCAAGATAATATCAAGTTTTCGTCTGTATTTCAAGACATTCTTAAACCGTAAAAGTTCCCATGAGAATATCATAGAAACTTGTTAAAAGATTAGAAAAGCCTCGTGTCTGCTCTTCTGTGAGTTTACATAAACAACGCATGGTAAACTGATGAGGTTTACGGAAAACACTTCATAGTCAGTCTGGTGAGACATTTCCTACATTGTAACTGTGTAAATTATAAGACATGCTATCGACACCTACAAACCGTCAGGTTCTTATATTTGTTCAAACTACAGCATAAAATATTAGATTTTTGTGACAAAAATTGTGTTATTGTTTTTGTATTAAGCACGTCTGTGCATGTGTACTAAAGCGTCGTGTGCACATGTACATGCGTCGTATGCACTTTACATGCGTCGTATGCACTTTACATGCGTCGTGTGCACATGTACATGCGTCGTGTGCACATGTACATGCGTCGTGTGCACATGTACATGCGTCGTATGCACTTTACATGTTCATCCACATCATGTATATAAATAATGAAAGATGGATTTTAACGTGACTTGAATGACCATAGAACTGTTTTTTGGGGGGAAATCAGAACGCAGCAGGATTGGGTAATTCAAGGGAAAAATTGGTAAGAATAGGAATATGAGATAAAGGATGCAATGAAAAATATAGCATGGTATAAAATGGTAATTAATGCTCAATAAAACCGTTAGACACGATGGCTAATCCATACAGGTGGCGCCAGAGCCGAGACGGAGAACCTGGAGTCTGAGGTCATCACGAGGAAGGTCGAGCCTCAAGGGTCACCTCGATGAACTACAAGAGATGAAGGTAGGTCACCCAATATGCAGGCGATGAGTCACAGTAACGTGGCTGAAGTATGTTGACCAGACCACACACTAGAAATTGAAGGGACGACGACGTTTCGGTCCGTCCTGGACCATTCTCAAGTCGATTGTCGACTTGACTTGACTTCACAATCGACTTGAGAATGGTCCAGGACGGACCGAAACGTCGTCGTCCCTTCAATTTCTAGTGTGTGGTCTGGTCAACTAGGTCACCCAACTACCATTGGCGATCATATATAATGTAGGCCTTGTTAAGGGTCCAGAACGAATCAAATCGTCGTCAATTAAATTTGCCTTTATGTGTGGCCATTAGATTACTTATTCACATATATCGTTCTCAATTTAAAATTATATTCAGGTAGAACGAAATGTGGATAAGTTACCACATTTCATTATTTTCTTTAGTATACCATAAAATAACATAATATTACGATATTTTTTAACTGATCCAGCTACTTGTTTTGCTTTAAAATTTGAATATAACTGTGAAGAATCTTATTATGACCAGTTAATAAGTAAACTATGTTACGCATCACGTTAACGACCCTTGGCCCTCCACAGGACAGACAGGAGGAGGAGCTCGAGTGGAAAAATAAGGAAATCTCTCAACTGAAAAACGGCTTAGGTCGCTTGGAAAATGAAAAGGTAAGCTGAAGCTCTTTAGACTACATCCTAGTCCTTTCAACCGATAGGTCGCATTTTTAACGTTATTGTCTCTGTTACAAATGTAACGTATCAGGGAAAATGATGCCTTACAAATATATGCGTTTTCTATTTATCGGATCCGATAGGTTAGGTCGTAAAGTAAGGTGATTATGAGGAGAAAGCCCTAAGACTATATTGTACAGGTTAGGTGGGTTGCTTCGATTCGTAAGTTTCTGGTTAGGTTAGTAGGATGGATTTTTAACGCAGTGGCCAGTCAAGGGAAGGGGCTGCCCAAACACCAGTTCGTTAATAGAGATTAGATTAGATTACAGAACTCTACTCATAGCCTCCTCACATGTTCACAACTGTGGCTGGACTGAACAGATGTACCACAGTGTAAATCATGCCGATATTTTCAGTTAAATTAAAATCATTTAGGTGGTGATATAATCCCGTTACTGAGGACAGGAAGTCGTTTACTTAGTCTTTTCTAGGTCCCAACCCCTCTAGGCCAACCAATTACTGACTTTTCCCTGTATGCAAATCACAATAATTGCTTAACTCCTTGAGGCACCTGTTTTATTGAGAAAATCCGTAAGAACCGTGATGAGGAATCTATGCTTTAGGTATTCCCAAGCTCACGCCTTAGACAACTAGGCCACTACATGGTCTAAAGGGTTCACGAGGCTTCCACTGAAGCTTCAGTGGAACCCTCATCACAGTTGGTATGGATTGCTCATTGACACATCACGTTAGTGTGATGTCTCAGCGTACCTTTTTTATTGCTAGGTGATCATAGGCAATAGGTGAAAACAAATGTGCCCAGTCGTTTCTCTCGGTTGTGAATCAAGGATATAGACCACTGTGCAACAAAGTGGTAAAACAGTGTAGTAAAAATTACAACAATAGTAGTAAAAAATAACATTCTGACCTGTTTAATAAAATTTAATCAACATAAAAGTAATTATTTAACTGACATTAAGGGATGACTTATATAATACTTGAGACAAATTTCTTAAACAGCAAAACAATAAGACAAAGACAAAGGATTACTAACAAATTAATCCATGAAGCTATAGAACTAAGTGAAAATTTTACTGTTAAGGAACAATTTTGTGAAGTAATCAATAGCGTCAATTATAGTAGGCCTTATATTAGTAGGCCTACCACTGGAGATAACAGGTCTCTGAAGCGCATTTGGTTTCATTCGGCGTTGTGCTTAAAGCCTAGCGACTGTACGTGACTTACTGACTAGGGGCCAGATTCACGAAAGCACTTACGCAAGCACTTACGAACGTGTACATTTTTCCTCAATCTTTGACGGCTTTGGTTACATTTATTAAACAGTTTACAAGCATGAAAACTTCCCATTCAACTGTTGTTATTGTTATAAACAGCCTCCTGGTGCTTCGGAGCTCGTTAACTGTTTAATAATTGGAAACAAAGCTGCCAAAGATTGAGAAAAGATGTACAGGTTCGTAAGTGCTTGCGTAAGTGCTTTCGTCAATCTGGTCCCAGGACTAAAATAAACTCTTAGTGTATGTACTCCGAGAAACTGAGTATACCTCTAGATATATACATCAAGGTTACTGAATATGTCATGTTTGTTTATTTGGTGTAGTTATGGTGTAGTTATTTTTCGACCTTAGAGTTTCGTATGTAATAATATTTTGCAATTTTAAGTAGCACACCTTCAAATGTGATTAGTAACTGAATAACAAATTTAAACACTATGTACAAATTGTAGTCACAATCTTCGTAATTTTTCATAAATTATTACTGTCAATAATATAGTCGTGAGGTCATCCACTGTTGCCCAAGAGTTACATTTAATGTTGCTATATATAGATAGGGCCTCATAATCCCTCTTAATCAGATTTACGATATTATGGGATCATGGTGAGTTTTCTATACACAATTTTCCTATATTAAGTCTACCATAATCAGTGATTATGATCCAGTTTCTCGAATTTACTTTCTTTTTGGAATTGTTTGTAAGCATTTCTATTATTTTTTTACTGGTTCGCTGTGTAATGCATTATTTGGTATCACAGTCATTGACTACTTAAAAAAACTCCTCTGTCTCAGCTAAACCCGTTTCACTTATGCAGTTTAACTAAAATTTAAGTCACTTACAATGTAGACATTGTTTCAACCCCTGTTGATGCTCCTGACCCAACTGAGAAGCGTTATTATGAGACATAGTATGTAATACCACTTAGAGTGAGCCACTCGTACACTAATACGCTGCAAAAAGTTAGGTCATCTTAGCCTATGAGTAGCTAAAACTAGCTTATGAGTAACTCGCTCACAGATCGTTGAACAAATTACCATCAAAATAGTTTTTTGTCAATTGTAATGCGAGAGAATGGTGTTAACAGATGCTGTTGGAGGAGCAGATGAGAGAGATGCGACTCCACGTGGATCACCAACAACAGAAGCTGGTGGAAACAGCGTCTCTTCATCAGAAGATTGAACATCTTTCCCTCCAGAATGAAGAGTACCAGGACAAGCTGGTGAGTTGATCCTACGACACTACTTACTAGATGTGAGGGTTTTGATTATTGAAATTTGAACCAACAAATATTTATTATGACTAATATATATCGTGACATTGTTATGTCTTGTTACTGATGCCTGTTATAAAGTTTCTTCAGTTTTATGTCGTTGTACAGCCCAGATATCAGAATGGGCACTGTGGAAGGAAGGAAGGAAAAATTTATATATTTCTTACTAATTACATTTATTAATTGCATATAAGGAAGGGTCTAAGCCTTCGGCAAATTTTCATTACCCCATATCATTACTTTAAATTAAACTTAGCCCAACCCAACCTGTGCTATCTTAACCTTAATCTAACCAAAATAAGAGATAAAATGTCGTTTTATATATATGGTATGCACAAGGTGTGACGTCAGTGTGACAATATTTTCCGGGCTCAGGTTTTAGATTCTATTAGATATGTCATATCATAAAAAAGATCAGCCACGGATTTTAAAATCTACCTTAACCTTGCGAAACCTTACCCAAACTAACCTCATCCAACCGATCCTTAGACATAATACAACCTAATCTAACATACACACAATTTTGTCGACCAGAAAACGAACTTTGTCGATCCGTCTTCCCGCCAAACACACACACCGAAATTACGACGTTGGTACAACGTTCGGACTAGTTTAAACACCTCCTAACCAGTTATAACAACCAATATAGCAAGTTGTAACAACGTTCTAATACGTCATAAACACGTTAAGTCAAGATGTAACAACATTATTACAAGTTGTAACATGTGGAAAATAGAGACAGTTTTGGTTTGTGTTTCCAGTGTTGTTTAAGATTTTGCTATCCCGTCCCTACTTTGTATTACTGTACTTCAGAGGAACACAGAGAGCTCTCAGGCAGACCTGCTGGAGAGAGACGCTGCCAACAAACATGCCGTCGATGCCCTCAAGAGGGAGGTCGAGCGACTCACCCTTCAGCTAAGAACCAGCAAAGAAAATCTTCTACAGACCCAGGTAACATGACCTCAGGGACTGTATACATAGCTGAGTACCCCGTCGTTACATATTTAAAGAGCTCAAGTAATTGAAGTTGACAGACTTTGATAATTTAACAAAAATATTTAATTATATAAATCTTGTAAACAAATTTAGTTACGTAAATGAACACAATTAGAAAAATCAAATATAATATAACTATTTACTATTATAAACAGTAATAAAGTACAATAACTGATGTAAATTATGGTTGTAAATATGAAAACATTTTAATGATAGTTACCTTAACACAATTGTAAACACGTTCCCAAAGTTACTCATACATTTACCCCCTTCATCAGGAGGCGCTGAGTGCAGCGGAGATTGCTGCAGTGTCTGCGTCACGGTCAGATTCCCTTAACAAGGAAGTGGAACATTTGACTTACATGCTAAATGAGACCGGTCAGAGGGCGCTCAGCACCCAGGTAAGAACATGAAGTTAATCGTATTCTTTTGATAATTACTCTTTTTGCTGCAGGGATATGTTTAGAGGCTTGTGTGTGTGTGTAGATGCAAGAGGGTGTTTATATAGGCAGGGGGGGGGAGGAATGTATATACGATAGCGAGTTTGAGTTTTGTAGCGCTTCTCTGGTTCGATAAATAAGACCACAATGAAGGGTTTCACCGCAAAAGTTGTTTTTGTTGTCCAGGAGAAACTGGAGCAGAAGATAGCAGCGCTGAAAGATCAAGACGAACACAACAGGCAAACCATCGCCAACTTGACCAAGAAGGTTGAGGAACTACAGGACCTTAATGACGTTAAAAAGAGTACCATTGCCGTACTGTCCGAGAAGCTGGTTGAAGCTGAGACAAGGGCTCGCAGCGACCAGGTCAAACTGAGAGTTGCTGAGGACAGGGCATCCACAAACCAGGTGGGTTAAGCTGGTTACAGGGCTTCCACTGAGTTAAGCTGGGAGTTGATGAAGACAAAGCTTCCACAGACCAGGTGAGTTAAGCTGGGTACAGGGCTTCCACTGAGTTAAGCTGGGAGTTGATGAAGACAAAGCTTCCACAGACCAGGTGAGTTAAGCTGGGTACAGGGCTTCCACTGAGTTAAGCTGGGAGTTGATGAAGACAAAGCTTCCACAGACCAGGTGGGTTAAACTGGGAGATGATAAAGACAGCTTCCTCCACAATTAAATAAATATTTTTGCCAAAAAAATATGTATTTGCCGTGTAGACAAACATTTAACATGTCGAACAATTTTGTTTTTATCACTGCTTAATCAAAATACGATATATTTAGACATGGAAAATATGCGAATTAGAAGATCTGGTATACTTTTACCAAAAAACACACCTAAATTAATCAAATAAATTTATAAACATTTTTAGCAAGTGTTGCTAAAACACTAAGCACTGAAGACCTTACGTTTATAAAAACGAGTGTATCCCGAACGGGTGATCTAAACTCGTAGTTCCTGTATACATCAGAAAACGAGTGTAGACCGTTTGGTGATCTAAACTCGTAGTTCCTGTATACATCAGAAAACGAAGTGTATGCCGTACGATGTTTTAAATATAATTCGTCATGTCTGTCGTCAGAAACACGAGGGTAGACTGCAGCAGCTGGAGGAGCAGGATGCTGCCAACAAGGCCACTATCGCCTCCCTCAGCACCAAGCTCCAGCAGGCGACGCAGACTAACAATGATCGTGACCACAAGACACTCGCCGTTCACGTGAGTTATTTAGTTCGGGGCTCACAGGTGCTGAACACAGAGCTCACAGGTGCTCGTCACAAGTCACAGGTGCTCAACACAACTCACAGGTGCTCGTCACAACTCACAGGTGCTCAACACAACTCACAGGTGCTCAACACAACTCACAGGTGCTCAACACAACTCACAGGTGCTCAACACAACTCACAGGTGCTCAACACAACTCACAGGTGCTCAACACAACTCACAGGTGCTCAACACAACTCACAGATGCTCAACACAACTCACAGATGCTCAACACACGTTACTGAAGCTGAACACAGAGCTGCCAGGTTCATTAGTATCGCTAGTATTTCTAGTATACCTAATAAGAGTAGTTATCTTTCATTATATCAGTTACTACTAGAACTACTAACTTGATTACTGTTCCTTTTACATCTCCTAATGTTGCTGGGATACTTCTGTTTTCTATTTTCGTCCCTATTTAAAATAGTGCTACTGTTTTCATAATATTATTGCTTCCGTATGTACTGAAAAAGGTCATATAACTATTGCCTGACCGTTAAACAGAAGCAGCAGCAGAACAGGATAGAGGAGTTGACGGAAAAGGACGAGACCAACCAGAAGACGATCTCGGCTCTTACCAGGAACCTTAATCAACTCTCTCTGAAGTTGAAAGAGAATCAAGAGAATCTGGTTTGGTATCAGGTGAGTTGAGGCTCCAACCCTGTGTAATATCAGGTGAGTTGAGGCTCCAACCCTGTGTAATATCAGGTGAGTTGAGGCTCCAACCCTGTGTAATATCAGGTGAGTTGAGGCTCCAACCCTGTGTAATATCAGGTGAGTTGAGGCTCCAACCCTGTGTAATATCAGGTGAGTTGAGGCTCCAACCCTGTGTAATATCAGGTGAGTTGAGGCTCCAACCCTGTGTAATGTCAGGTGAGTTGAGGCTCCAACCCTGTGTAATATCAGGTGAGTTGAGGCTCCAACCCTGTGTAATATCAGGTGAGTTGAGGCTTCAACCCTGTGTAATATCAGGTGAGTTGAGGCTCCAACCCTGTGTAATATCAGGTGAGTTGAGGCTCCAACCCTGTGTAATATCAGGTGAGTTGAGACTCCAATTAACATGTCCCGGTAGTACAGTCGGGTTCGTCCTCGACTAACAATCGAGAATTCCGGGACAGAATTGGTTGGGCGAGTTTCTTATCATCTAATATCCTTTTTCACCTAGCTGCAAGTAGGTACCCCAGGAGATAGTCAGCTTGTTGGGGGGTTGCATCCTGGGGAGGGTCAGTAATTTGACCTTTCAGAGGGGGGGGGGGACCTCTATATAAAATACTGTATTTATAAACTGGCTTCCTGTTCACCAACACACTGAATTATAATTATTAATTATGTATGGCATCAGCAATATTGTCATTATGAATAGAACCATTTTGTCATTAAATTGTTAGCTGATCATTGATATATTGTAGCCTTCTGCAGTTTAATATCTCTTTCAGAGACAGCCAGATAACTGGCATGATTTGCAGAATGAGTCTAGTTTAGTGAAGGAATGAAGGTGAAACTACTTTACTGCTTTCTATACCGCCCGTCCTCCTAAAGTTTCCCAACGTCAAGAAACTGTCGTACTAAAGTGCCCTTATCCTAACCTACCAGAGGACCCAAAACACAAAACTGAACTGTATGTCAATTTCGCGAGCCGCTACAATATTCTAGTGCGACAATTTTTGGCATTATACGTACAGTATACGTGAAAATGCGATACCCTATTAGGATCAAGGATTTTTATCGCGTTCCCGTGCACCAGTTAAAGATAAGGCTAAATTCACGTTGTATGAAAATGAGAATTATTTTGTTACTAAGGATAAAATACCTGAAATCGTTGCACTGTATCCATATTTCGCTTCCAGTAGATAAACGACATATGAGATTAAGAAACAAGAAGTGAGTGTATTGTAAAGTCTAATAATAATAAACAACAGCTCCCCTATGACGCTGTAATATCTTCATTGCTCAAAAAATTATGTATTAGCGATAAGACCTACCATTAATGTATAATGATTTACTGTAAATATATAGCTTTTGAAATAGAACATTCTCTGTAACTAGTTGACACTAATTATAAGGTGCGAAGGATAGATTCAATGGTTAATGTAATAATCTCCGTTGAGGTCTGATAAAAAACTTTTGTTCCCTCAGAAATCCTTTTTGCGCTACCGCTCTCAGGATGAGTATGAGGAGCCTAATAAACTAGCCGGCTCCGGCGGTAACAATCAAATTAATACCATGTTACAGGGGGAACTGCAGCAGAAGGAGAGGGAGGTCTCGGAGCGAGAGGCAACCAGCCAGGAGATCATTGCTAAGCTTCGTCAGGAAATGGAACAACTTTCTCAGAAACTGCAGGAATCTGAGCAGCTTAAAGCGCCCCTCAGCCAGGTGAGGAGTGTGTATTCACTCGATCTCAAATAGCGTACATACACACACTAAAGTCTTACGGGCAATTCATGCCCGTGCCACCTCTTGGGTGGCTTAATCTTTATCATCATCGTCATCACACTAAAGAGTATTGGGATAGATGGGACACCACGAGTGTAGCTCTCATTCTGTAACTACATTTAGGTAATTACACTCTGAATTAAACTGCTGGAATACGCAATCTCAGAAGCACATTCACACACACACTGGTGTTACACATATACTGTGATGTGATGGGGTTTATATAAACACAGGGTGAACTACTTATATTGTATTTAAGTGTACACCATTCATATGTATTTTAAAGTTATCCCACTCACCCTTTTGTATTGTAGCTTTCTTCCCGGCTACCAGTACAAAGGGATGAATAAAGAATAATTTAGTACGAGACTGAACCAGTGTTGTTCACCACACACTTTAACACCAGTGTTGTTCACCACACACTTTAACACCAGTGTTGTTCACCACACACTTTAACACCAGTGTTGTTCACCACACACTTTAACACCAGTGTTGGTTTCCCCACAGTACGAACGGGGAGGCACGATGGTGGCCCTTCAGAAACAAGAGGCAGCTAGCAAGCAGACGATCAAGGCACTGCAAAACAGAATTCAACACCTGACCAATAAGTTGACGGACAGTGAAAAAGCTTCCCTAGACGTCCAGGTAATTCAGCAAGTACTCCATAGTCAGGAGGTTCTGCTTATAGACTACCTTTGTTGTGAATGTAAGTCTGGAAGTGCTTCTCAATTCTCTGGGCATTCTATTAGGATTTCCTTAGTTTGATTGGCGTCTTAGAAGGACTGCAATCTCCAGATTATCATTAGGTTCTAAATATAGAATACCTCTGATAGTATTTAGGTAGATCTGTATAAAGCTTAGGATTTCTGTTGGACTAAATAAAGCCTCACTAGTCTAGGTTGGTATATCGTAAATACATCCATAGTGCTGATAGGGTGTCATAGGCGTTAAGATCACTGGAAAGAGACATTTCCAAAAGATAAGGAAGCAGGTAAACTCATCACTGGAGAGACATCCACGGGATGGTTATCAAACAGCTGAAAGGGCACGTCCAACGGTAGACAGTAAAAAGTCTCTATGTTCCAGCACGAGCAGCTGGAGAAGATAGCGTCCCTCAAGAAGGAGGTGGAGGAGCTGAAACGAAACAACTCGCCTGCTAATGTCCAGGTAATTATTATTATTTTTATATGTATAATTATTCTTATACTTTGTTTATAGTGATATTAGTTGTGTTATTACTCGAACTGTTTCACCTCGCCGTTTTTGCCCTCACTTTCTCTTCACTGTCCCTCCTCACCATCCTCATCATATGTTCTCACTGTTTCTCCTCCTGAGGACGCGGACGTGAGGACCATGATGGAGGAGAACCTGCAGAAGGATCTCGTCATTCAAGCACTCAACACGAAGGTCGACGAGTTGAAAGAGGACCTCAAGAAGAACTTCCAGAATTTCTCCTCCTGGCAGGTAACACAGAGCCCTGTAATCCTTCACATGTAATCTTCTAGGTAGCCCTGTAGGTCCCTGTAATCCTCCATAGAGCCCCGTAGTCCTCCAGAGACCTGTATTCTTTCACAGAGCCCTGTAATCCTCCACAGGACGATACAGTCTTCTATAGAGCCCTGTAGTCATCCATAGAGTTCTGTAGTCTTTCATAGAGCCCTGTAATCATGCATAGAGCCCTGTAATCCTCCATAGAGCCCTGTAGTCCTCCATAGAGCCTTGGAGTCCTCCAAAGAGACTTGTTACCTTCCACAGAGCCCTGTAATCCTCCATAGACCGCTGTAATCCTTCACATGCACATGAAATCTTCCTACATACAATAAAATACAACGCAATATAGAAAGAATGGGGTTATGCAATGGGATTGAACCCTCGACTTCTCTGAATTCACCAGGAAGTTCAGGGACACGGGTTCGGTCAAGTCATCCAACCTCAATATTTTCTCCTAAATTCATCAAGTTGTTGTAGTTTAAGTGTGCAATTGAATGCAACCTAAAATATTGTAGTGCAACGCGGTGCTGTTAGCGAAGCTTATAAGTTTCTTTATTATATAGGCATTTTATGTAATACCTAAATAACTACTATATTAATTTTTTTTAAATGAAACTTATATTTTAAATTTGTATTATAACTACTACTGTAGGCGCAACAGCAGGAGAAGGACAGAGAGATAGAGCAGAGAGAAGCTGAGAGCCACCATACCATCACCTCCCTCCGGCAGCAGTTGGACCAATTAAGTCAACAGCTTTCCCGGGGTCAGGTAAGGCAATTCAGTAACAATTGGTAGTCCCTACAACCTGACGTCTCTGATACATCACATTTTTTAACGGAGGATCTGTATGGCATATTTTTTTTAATCATATAATCGTATTATTGACGTTATTGTATATTGGCCTTCATTGGTTACTTAAACTCAAATGCTTCTGGTTAGCTTAAGAAAGTATTATATGATTATTGAAGGGCTGACGGAGTTAGCCGGGAGCCCGATTGGTTAATCAGAACTTAGATGTCTATTTAGAGATCATGCAGTATTAAGAAACAATCAGAAACCACTTTAATAGACTTCCTGAGGGGTCAAGTTCATTTTGCCAGGACTCAATCCGATCAGCCTAGTAAACTGGTTAGATGTCAAGCAGTACAGAGAAGAGTTAAATAGTTATCAAGCTATCTGAATGGTCAATTAGGGGTGAGAAAGCCAATCAGACGTCATCGATTCCAGGTATAATATAAGTAGTTCTGCCGATTGTCAGCAGAGTAAGTGTGGGGCCAAGAAGGTCACCTAGTAGTCTGAGGCGTGTGCGGTAGTAATTTGGAAGCTATTTCATACGGAGGTGAATCAGAAATCAGGGAGCACAACCCGAAGATCAATCAGAAGTCAAGTAGGACAACAGAGAGGTCGATCAAAAATCGAGTAGTACAGCACGTATTCAGAAAGAACATACGATCTGCATGATCTCTACTGCCCGAAACGCTTTGCGTAATAGTGGCTTTAGGCATTGTATGTACTAGCTCTATCTATAAAGCCAACAAACTTTGTAAAATCTCTTTATGTATGTACCTTTACCTAAATAAAAATTATTATTATTATTATTATTATAATTATTATTATTATACAGGAGGAGAGAGTTCAACCAGAAGCAAATATATCTAATTTAGCCTAATAATCAAAGAGGTCAGCCAGTCGCCGAAATGAGCATCAATCAATAAAAATATTAACCAAAGATCAGGAAGACAGCCAAGCGTCTCCCCGTAGGCACAAGCATTTAAGATATAATTAAATAATTACAAAATTTATTATACTAAATAATTAACAAAAAATTACACAAAAATACCACAGATCGCCTGTTTTATCGTCCTTTAATCTTCATTATCAGCATCAACAGCAGCAGTTGAAGGGCCAAGAGGGTAAACCAGCAGTCAACTTCAGCAGTCTGCCCGAGCAGGTAAACCACGCTGCCCACACCAACACATATCAACCAAGGAGCTTCGTTTAAATAGGTAAGTACACCCTAACTGGAAAAAAACTGTGATAATATCTACCAGTCTTGAAGCTATGGAATAGGATCGAACTGGCACCTTTGGACTACCGGGCACACGCACCATCGACTGAACTATGATGTAAGCTCTTCATGGTTCAGATAGTAGTACGTGTGCTTGAGGAGTCCAAGGAAACGGGTTTGATCCCATTGTATGCCTGAGGAATCCATGATGCGCGTTCGATCCTATTCATAACATAATACAGTGTTATCATTTATTATATCATTCCATATATCTGTTTCATTGCAGTATTGCACATTGGTGTTGCATTAATAGAGAAAATGTAATACATAAGAGAGAAATCATATGCATTTTAATATAATTCGAGAGATTGAAAGACAGACCTCATAGAAAGAGAGACAGGAGACATAGAGAGGGAGAGATTGAGGAAGACGGTGAGAGAACGTGACAGAACAGACACAGACAGAACCAGAGGCAGAAACACAGAGAATACAAGGAACTAAACTCCGTCTCTGTGCTTCCTTGTCTCTCTCACACATCTGATGTAAATCATCTCATAGCCATTGTTATCCTCCGTCCTACAGGGTGTACCGTCCAGTATTGTCAGCAACCTCATCTTTAGGGACTCTACAACTGTTGTGATAGCGGCGCGTCCCCTACAGGCTGTTGTTGTTGAAGATTCTCTACATGGAACAAAAAGTTCCTGGTAGCACGGGCTATGGTGAGCTCGTAGTGCGTCGACGCATGCAGAACAACCTTGAGTACTGAAGATGCGCTGTGAACTTGAAGCCGTGGACAAAACGTCTTGGAGGGGGGAACTCTAGTTTTTTTTTTTTAAGACCTTCATTTTATTAACTTCCATTTATTCTACTGCCACTACTTCTTCATTTCCCTTTCTTCACTTCTACTCCACCCCATTCTACACCCAGTACTCCCCCTATATCCTACACCCAGTACTCCACCTATATCCTACACCCAGTACTCCACCCTAATTACACCCCGAATCCCTTTCTCCCTTGTTGAAAGACAATGTCGTGGAATGTGTGGGAGTGGTTACAGTAATATTGACCAAATAGACACTTCTGTAGTGCAGATAGGCAGTACTGTGGAGTGCCCAAATAGAGAGTACTATGGAAAACAGAGACTGTTGGCTGTGCTCGTTGTTTTATAGTTTCTAAGTAACAAGAAATAAGTGAGCAAATAAATTACACAAGAAGAAATTTACAAAGACATTACTTCAGGTGACTCGTTGTGTCTTAGAAAGTAGTTTGTGTTTTTGTATTGATGAATTCTTTTCCTAACCACCTGGACTGGTCGGTACAGTGACAGCCTCGTTTCTTGCGAGACTGCGTTCGATCCCGGAAGTCCAGTCCAAGTGGTTGGGCACCGTTCCTTCCCTCCGTCCTATCTCAGATCCTTGGGCCAGATTCACGAAAGCACTTACGCAAGTACTTACGAACGTGTACATCTTTCCTTAATCTTTGACGGCTTTGGTTACATTTATTAAACAGTTTACAAGCCTGAAAACTTCCCATTCAACTGTTGTTTTCGTTATAAACAGCCTCCTGGTGCTTCCGAGCTCATTAACTGTTTAATAATTGGAAACAAAGCCGCCAAAGATTGAGAAAAGATGTACAGGTTCGTAAGTGTTTTCGTGAATCTGGCCCCTTGTCTTCATATCTCAGCTTTTAGTCTGTCACATATCCCAAGTACTATACAGTCGTACCGGATTAGCACTTACTGCGATGAACAAGAGCGAGGCGATTTATCTTTAAACATGATTTGTTGGTTTGGGTTTATGAGGGGTTTCCAGCTGGGAATGATCAACCAATCACAACCAGTTTCACATGTCGCGTGTAGCTTAATAGCCAATCACAGACCTTTCCTCTTCTTCCCTCTTCATTACAGATTTACTTAAGGGTTATAGCTCGTTGACCAATCACAATCCAGATTCGCGTCGTATAGAAGAAACGTCATCCTCGTTCTCATTAAATGTAAACCTGTTATTATCCAATTCAGTTTCGTAATTTTTATTTCGTAAATAATGGGGATGAAAGAAGGGAATAAATAGGAAAATTGTGCCATTGAAAGGTCCAATAATTTCTAACACAAGGCCTGACTTAACCCATATTATTTCTAACACAAGGCCTGACTTAACCCATATTATTTCTAACACAAGGCCTGACGTAACCCATATTATTTCTAACAAAGGCCTGACGTAACCCTACTTGTATCCTGATCCGATATGACGGCTCTCTTTGTTTGAGAAAAGAGAGTTTGTTTATCTTTTAACCGAAAGATGGATTCTGTGGTTTGATATACCTGGCTGTATTAGAGATGATCAATATGACTCCCTGCTACTTCTAATGCATTCCAGTTACTTATCAAGAGACAATCCAAAGGCATTGTTACAATAGATACATAAAACAGCCCACAATTCGCATGAAGAGGCAAGAGGAAAATAAGTAGTATGTTTCAGGATTGACACGAGCCATTCACAGTAGAAATATGGCAATTTTTTTTTTTTTAGTATAAGGGGTTATAGAAGAAAATACTGTACAGTTGTCAGGGAGGATCTGCACAGCTTTCTCTGAGGCTATGGATTCCCACAACTGTACCAGAGTTGGTACCCTTATATAATATAATATGTATGTAGGCGGGAATAAATGGTGTTTGTAAATGTAATATTGTTCCTTCAGTGAATAAAATCTAATGTTAATTGCCTCTTTATTTGAAATTCCTGTCATGAATGAAGTTGCGTGCATCAGACGAAAGCTTCAGTGGTAGTAATGTTGACCCAACAACACATGTCTCGTAGCCGCCGCAGACGTGGCAGATGGTGTGAGCGCGCACACATAGCTGGTCTCCAGGGCTTAGTTTTATAATAATAATAATTTTTATTTAGGTAAAGGTACATACATAAAGAGATTTTACAAAGTTTGTTGGCTTTATAGATAGAGCTAGTACATACAATGCCTAAAGCCACTATTACGCAAAGCGTTTCGGGCTTTTTGGCGCATTCACGTGTGGAGCCAGATAGTCGAGACCACTCACTGTGTGTGTGCATACTCAGCCCGTCCTCCTAAGGTTTTTTTTTTGTCCCTTCTCCACACGGGAGACATCTCCCGTCACGCAGGGTGCAGTCGCACCTCCACAAATCTCCAGTATCAGCTCTTGATACTGGTAATGGCTCAAAAGGGCCACCACTTACGGGCTATTCATGCCCGTGCCACCTTTTGGGTGGCTTAATCTTTATCAATCAATCATCCTAAGGTTTTCCAGCGTCAAGAAACTGTCGTACCAAACTGGTCTCATCCTAACCTACCAGAGGACCCAAAACAGTAAAGGGGACAGTATGTTAATTTCGCGAGCCACGGCCATTTTCTAGTACGATAATTTTTTGGCCTTAGGTAAAGTATACGTCACAATGCGACGTTCTGTTAGGAGGGCGGGTTGCAGCACTAACCTCGCTGTTTCTTGTATTGTTGTATATAGCTTTTGTAGTTGGTGGTTTATGCAGCTATAACAATGCAGTCGTTATTAGCCAAGATGGCTAATCTTGGCCACTGCCCGAAACGCTTTGCGTAATAGTGGCTTTAGGCATTGTATGTACTAGCTCCTATCTATAAAGCCAACAAACTTTGTAAAATCTCTTTATGTATGTACCTTACCTAAATAAAAATTATTATTATTATTATTATGGATTAGATATTTTTGCTCATATATGCATCCCTTCCATGCTGTCTAAGTATGGTGTAGATAATTTCCACTTTGGTTTTCATTAGCTTTATTTAAATGACATTGGTTCTGTGTGAGCCCTTCGCTTTAATAGCTTGCTTTACCTGATATTTTACATTTTTATCGAACACATTATTGATGCATTTCAGGGTAAACTAGCTCATCTCATCAACTGTGATCTTATTACTCATCTGTAGTCATTAGCTTCCTTCTCCCCCTCTCCCCCTTTTTTAGGGGGAGGCAACTTAAACTCTTTCTGAGTAGTATCTTAGATGTAGTTATGATTTGGTGTCTACTTCATGAATCATATACTAGATATAGCTAAGTGAGTGTTCGTATCTCTGTATTTGTGATGTTGTGCGTGTGTACACCCACAAGTGTACCGACAGGTTAAGAGGCCTTCAAAGCCAGCTGGATGCTGCTGGAACACCTCCATAACGGGTCAGCAGTAGTAGTGTCGGAGAACGGCGACAATGTTTTCGTGTCCGTTCTTCCTGGCTAGGTCTTCGTGCGTGTCGCCGGCGCAGGTGGCGAGGAAGGGAGACACTCCTTGCTCCAGTAGCCAGATCATTGCCTCTAATTTGCCGGCTGCGCCAGCGCTGTGCAAGGGCGTCTGGTTGTCCTGATTCCTGACGAAACAGTTGGCTCCTTTCTCTTTCAACAGGTCCAGTACCTCCACCTGGCCCCCAGAGGCCGCGTAGTGCATGGCTGTGTTGCCTGCAGGAGGTGATGGTGAAATTCAGTTACTGACAGAAGATTGTATTAATATTAAATGTTTGACTACATATATCCTGATCCTAACGGCTGATATATATTGGTCATTCATGCCCTGATCTCAGGTTGCGTTATAATTCCATTTACATATCCTGATCTTAAGGGATGTTACCCTACGCGTACCTTGGTCGTCAGGGGTATCAGGGTTGGCCCCAGCATCCAGAAGGACTTGAACCACATCAATGTGCCCATTCTCAGCAGCAACCTGCAGCGGCCGACGCCCTAAACATCAAAGCTGTATTACCTAAAAATCCCTTTTTATACAAAATGTCATTATTGCCTTTTTTTTTAGATAAATAGAAAGGAATCATTCACGCTTATTATTGAAGAACAGCAGCAATAATCAGCTTAGTCTCATAAAATCAGCGAGAATCACTCGTCTCTCTCAGCGAGACTCACCCATCTGTCCCTCCTGTTGGCTCCTGCACTCGACGCCGACGAGGCTGTTGACGAGTTCCTTCACCACCAACAGAACTCCTTCTGCAGCACTCTCCAACAGCTGGGGGACGTTAGAACGAGCAGCGTCAGAGTACACACAAGCACTAAACATGAAGCTTTCCAGAATACAGGCTATTCACACGCTATTAGATTCACCAAGAGGTCTTTCTTGCATTAAATTGATCGAAGATTATAACTTAACCTAACTCAGCCTAACATAATTTAATCAAACTTTGCACAGACTAAGCCATACTAGTTTAGGTTTGGTTTGATTTGGTAAGGTTTGGTCTGGTTAGGTTTGGTTAGATTTGATAGCTTTGGTTAGATTTGATAGGTTTGGTTAGATTTGATAGCTTTGGTTAGATTTGATAGCTTTGGTTAGATTTGATAGGTTTGGTAAGACTTGGATAGGTTTGGTCTGGTTACGCTTGGTTAGATTTGTTTGGTTAGTTGGATAGCTTTGCTCTGGTAAGATTTGGTTAGATTGGATCTGGGTGGCACGTAGCCTGGTGGATAGCGCGCAGGACTCGTGATTCTGTGGCGCGGGTTCGATTCCCGCACGAGGCAGAAACAAATGGGCAAAGTTTCTTTCACCCTGAATGCCCCTGTTACCTAGCAGTAAATAGGTACCTAGGTGTTAGTCAGCTGTCACGGGCTGCTTCCTGGGGGTGGAGGCCTGGTCGAGGACCGGGCCGCGGGGACACTAAAAAGCCCCGAAATCATCTCAAGATAACCTCAAGATAACCTCAAGATTTACATAAGTTAGGTTTCGTTAGATTTCGTAGGTATGGTATGATTAGGTTTTATTATCAATTAGCAAAGTATTTTTTCTAATTACAAATAATTTTAAAATGTTTCATTTCTAATAGCAAACACCAAGACTATTCGTAAAAAAATCCTTATATAGCAATTTGAGACTTAATTTGATCATCACAAAATATAATTTACAGCATACCTTCACCTGTTGCAGCAGAACCTGCCTGCAGAGGTAGCTGGCGATGTTAAAATGACCCTCGTCTCTAGCGTAGTCCTCTGCTGTATGACCAGCCTCGTCCTTGATGTTAAGGCCGACCCCGTGCGCCACCAGCCACTGGACAGCCTCCAGGTTGCCGTTGTCGGCCGCCAGGTGGAGTGCCGTCTTGTGGTCGCTGGTTTGTGAGCGTCGGTTGAATCTCTGGTGTCTGTCAAGTTCTTGAAGGACCGAGACGTGGCCCCCCAATGCTGCCCAGTGGAAGGCTCCTTTGCCTGAGGAAGATTCATATTTATCGTGTTGTTTTGATCCTTGAATTACTACAAGAGTTATCCAGATTATCACACTTTTTGTCAATTTCAAGTACTGAAATAACTTGGAATTAACACTGGAATAATATAGAATCTTAGACATGAAGACTGAGAAATTTTTATTCAAATTTACGTGAGATTATAATTAATGCACATTGAAGGTTAATGTTAGCGTTATGAGTTAATACAGAAGGGTGTACAGACAAGAACTTTTAATGAAAGATTCGTATTTGAGATTCTCTCATATTGCAGATACGTGAAGCAATTTCTCATACGCAAACTGTATGTGTGGATGTGGGTGCGCTCGTATGTGTATGTAGGTTAATTACCAAATCATTATTCTCAGAACAATTACGATCTCTAAAAATTAATGACTTATAAAGCCCATTAATCTCTTAGGAAAACGCTTTCCATAAGCATATACGACATTGTTGACAAATTGAGACAGGCAGCCTAATATGTTTATCACAGTCTCCCTTGCCAACGACAGCCCACACCAGTCAACTCCCTCCCAGATACCTATTTACTGCTAGGTAAACAGTATGTAATGATACACGCCTAGACGTCTCGTCTTGCTTGAGGAATCGAACCCCAAAACCATTTGTTTGGGAACCAACCATAATTCACATTAAGAATATGACGCTACCTTGAGCCAAAATTTCCCCGTCTGCTTTGTATCTCAGGAGGAGGTTGACGACTCTGCTGTGGCCAGCCCACGATGCCAGGTGTAGAGCTGTGAAGCCTGTGGGAGATGATAAAGAACTTGAATTTATATTTATATAATACTTTATATATATATATATATATATATATATATATATATATATATATATATATATATATATATATATATATATATATATATATATATATATATATATATATAAAAATATACAAGAGTTGTAACATTCTTGTACAGCCACTAGTACGCGTAGCGTTTCGGGCAAGTCCTTAATCCTATGGTCCCTGGAATACGATCCCCTGCCGCGAAGAATCGTTTTTTCATCCAAGTACACATTTTACTGTTGCGTTAAACAGAGGCTACAGTTAAGGAATTGCGCCCAGTAAATCCTCCCCGGCCAGGATACGAACCCATGACATAGCGCTCGCGGAACGCCAGGCGAGTGTCTTACCACTACACCACGGAGACTGCCAGCATACTTATATACTCTGAAGATAAGCATACTTATTCAACGTGTATAATATACACACAATCCTGCCTTCATAACGGGGTGAGAATAGCTTGAGCTACCTCATCCTTTAGTGTGTATTTATACCTCAATAAATTTATTTCAATTTCTTACCTTGATGGTCGCATGCGTCCACATGGGCCCCAGCCCGCAGCAACACTTCAACCACAACCTTGTGGCCAGCTTCAGCGGCCAGGTGCAGCACTCGTCTACCTGTAACTCGAGCCAATTATCAACACCAGAAAGCGCTGAGCTAGAATGACTATGTATTCGTTTGCCTTGTTCGGGTAGAAGGTAGACTCAGTAGTCGCTTCTGTATATATTTATTGACTGAGATAGCAAGGTATATATCTGCCTAGCCGAGGAATATATAAGCGTCAAATTTGAAGTGGATTTGCCTACCCAAAAGCATACGAACCCAGCCAAGCTCCCTAACCTAACAAGGTCTGTGTTCAGAAGACGTCAGTATTGCAATGCTTTAATTTGTACCGACCCCCCCCCCCCCTCCGAAAATGCGGTGTATTTGAGGAGACAGATAGGGCATTGTTTATAGTCTAATAGGGAAATTGTGGTTTAAGGTAACCATTAATTTTATTTGCATGCATGATAAATGCATTTATTTAAATTTACATTTGTTAAATTCCTATTGAGATGATGAAAAGATAACCTGGCAATAAAATTTCAGATTGTTTAAAACTAATTGTGTGTGGGTGTAAAAAGCCTTTTAGTATGTCTCACCATGCACTTCATGCTTATCGCTGTTGACATCAGCGCCTCGCCTGATGAGCTCCTTCACTACGTCTAGATCTCCCCTGGCCGCAGACAACCCCAGATCTCCGCTGGCCGCAGACAACCCCAGATCTCCGCTGGCCGCAGAGAACCCCAGATCTCCCCTGGCCGCAGACAACCCCAGATCTCCGCTGGCCGCAGAGAACCCCAGATCTCCCCTGGCCGCAGACAACCCCAGATCTCCGCTGGCCGCAGACAACCCCAGATCTCCGCTGGCCGCAGACAACCCCAGATCTCCGCTGGCCGCAGAGAACACATTATCATCCTCCTTGTCCTCGCTTCTCTTACCGCTTCCCTGCATAGTAAAAAAAAAAAAATTCACTTGCACAAAATTTCTAACTCTATGGCATCAGTTCTGCGATATATAGTGTTTGCTTATTATTACTGTAAAGGATAACTATCTACGGGCTCACCATAGCCCGTGTTACTTGGAACATTGTTCCAGGTAGCGAATCTTTAGCAACAACAACAATTACTGTAATATATTTAATCTATTAAGATAAACTAAATTGTAATATGATGTTTATAATGATGCCATAGACTCCTAGTCTAAATAATTCTACTTTTCAGTCTCCTTCAGTATTAGCTAGTTGTGCCTAGCGGTCCGTATATCTTCATGACCTTTGTACAGTTATACTGAGATGTGTGTGTTCATGGCTGAAATTGACCATGCTTGTAGTCTTCAAAAATATGGAAGTGCAATAATGATTTGTACATGTATAATTGATTATTACAGTGCAGAGTGAGTACTGGGGTGGGTGTGAATACTTTTCCAGAGTTTCATGAAGTCTTTCTGAGTCTGATTATTGAAACAGGTTTTGTAGTTTAAATCAGTGTGAGCGTTGTTGGTACATAATCTATAGATTCAGATTCAGATTCAGATGTTTATTCAGGTAAGGTATATACATACAAGTGATGTTACATTAATGGATTGATATATAGATAGAGCTAGTACATACAATGCCTAAAGCCACTATTACGCAATGTATACATGGAAACATTTGTATAATGAATCAAGTGGGCAATTGAATGGGAAAATACGGGTTCCAAAAATTAACAAAATAATATATGAATTAGTCAGTAACAAATAAAGTTAACTAGAGTTTGTCACCGTTAGTAGGTCAGATACGGAATGTGTACATATTCATAGTCATCAGTAGTAAAAGATGTGGTTGGTCGAGGTAATGTTGAGATTATAGTCAGTTTATATAAATTAATATTAGGTGAGGATTTACTCAAGGTAATTAGTTACTTTGCCTTGAATGAGTGTAAATTCATCTCTCATCTCAAGCTTTTTATTATTTTTAGATCTTTATACGACTTCTCCTTTAAACAGTTTTGTTTCCACTCCCTCCTATTCTTGTCCCTATTCTTGTCCCTATGCCTTGTCCCTATTCTATCGTCATATTGTTATTCTCTACCTCCCTTTTCCATAATACTCGCTCTCGCCACTCTCCGATTCTCTTGCCTTATTGACTTGTCACTCTCCCTTTCCAACCTGTTATATCTCTTCTCATTCCCCTTCCGTTATCCTTTCTGCAGGTCTCTTAATCTCAAGGTGATAATGATCCTAAACAGACCGGAAGGCCTTTTCTGTTGCGGCTTCAAGAATAACAGAAAAGAACACGCCCTCGGGGTGTTAAGTGCCTTCTATCTGCCCCATGCAGATGGTGTTCTGTTGCATGCAGGTGGTGTTCTGTTGCATGCAGGTGGTTTTCTGTCCCTCTCCCACAACGTTGGTTGAAACGCATAATGTTCTCATCCAATGTTCTTCCTGCATAAGGCACAATACCGGAATGCGGACAGAAACTGAGTATCTCTCTGAATGTACTATTTCACATTATATATAAATACCTTCATTGTGTAGGTGGTAGTTGGTAGCTCTGGCGGAAGTTGCTTTGACGTTGGTTGCTGCTGTGGATCCACAAGAGAGTTTATGTTGGTATCACTGTCCGGCAAGCGCTTGGGCACATGATGACTTGGACGACTCTGATAATTTCTTATAATAATTTCTCGTTGAATGTTATGACCCTGGTCAGCTCTTCCAGGACTCACTCGATGATAATGGCTCTGGTCAGATCTTCCAGGATTCACTCGATGATAATGGCTCTGGTCAGATCTTCCAGGATTCGTTCGATGAATGGTATGACTCTGATCAGCTCTCCAATGTGCCACTCTCTGATTCTTTAAACCGATGCAAGTCTGTGAATCAGACCACGTGTTGCCCTGAGAGCTCATTATAGCGCTGGCTGTCCCTGTATTCCTTGAGGAAGCTCCCTGTAACAGTATAATTTTCCATTATTGCATACAACATACATTTTATATATGTTAATAGCTGATAAAAGTAATTTACATTACTCATTAATTTTGATGCTATTTATATTTTAAATGATTATACAAACTTCATATTAAAGTCTAAAATTCAAAGAGTTGTTTGACCAGACCACACACTAGAAGGTGAAGGGACGACGACGTTTCGGTCCGTCCTGGACCATTCCCAAGTCGCTCAAGTCGATCGACTTGAGAATGGTGGTGGACGGACCGAAACGTCGTCGTCCCTTCACCTTCTAGTGTGTGGTCTGGTCAAACTACTTAAACCACGTTATTGTGACTCATCGCCTTCAGAGAGTTGTTACCGTAGTGACAGATCAATAGGACAACTTTCATGGTCGACACCAACTTCCGGAAATATTCATTGAGGGGTGTGTACACTCATCATCTTGGTGTACATTCACCGTGAGTGTACATAAAATACGGAGCACCGTATTCGCTACTTTAGTCCTGGCCTATGTTCAGGATTGAGGTATACTTGCTGGTTGATCAGTAAGCTTTTGTGGTGACCGTAATAACCCTCCAGAGATTAATAGGCCTTAATAATCTTCTGGAGGTTGATAGGCCTTAATAACAGGCTTCAAACCCAACACCAACACTACAATAGATGAAACTCGATCAAAATATAGTTTCCCATTTTATTATGTTAATTGTTTAAATTTGCTCCGTTGTCAGAAAACTTTCCTTTACGAGACTTTAACTTAAAACGAAGCCGAAAACAAAAATTAAATTAAAGCTAAATGAAATTTTCAGACAAAATTTGAATAAGCAAATGATTATTGGGTGAACGTAAACAAAGATATACAAGAGGATATTATGCTCACTTGGTGCTTGTTTACCATGTAAATTCTGTGCAATTGGCCGCTCGACTTACCAGCATGAGTGATCGTTTAACCATATCGTCTACGAGACTAGTTGTGTTGGGAGCAAAATAATCGTCTTCGTAGGCCAAAAGGTCGTAGTTGACAGGCAGGTCATGCAGCACCACACCGACGAGTGACGCCCTACACATGGGACAACCGGTGCAAGGCGAAGATTGTACCAGAATGAGGCACTGCCTGCAGAAGGTGTGGCCGCAAGGCAGCAGGAGCGGCCTCCTGCCACCAAGGGTGTACTCCTCGAGGCAGACTTTGCACGAAGGCATACAGACGGTCTCTCGCACCAACAGGTAATTACTTCTCTAGCATCAACTCCTCAACGGTGGGGCGAGTTGTCCAACGTACGTCTGTGTGAGTAGTAGAGACAAAGCAAGATTAAAGTGGGGAAGGAAGAGGGAGGTGGTGAGGGTAAACTTACCTAATTAAGGGATTATGTGGCAGTTGAGGTTTTTATGCCCTTTATGCTCTTTATGTTGCGTTTCAATTTAATTATTCTGACGTTCAAATTCTTTGCCGAATCTGGCCATAAGGTTGTGAGTGGAGGTGGCTTCCACAACTTCTTCCTTCAGCACATTCCATTTGTTGACCACCTATTGAGGGAAGGGAGGTGGGGAAGGTGTAGAGAGGTATAGGGAAATGGGTAAGGTGCCATATAGGTTTAGCGTTTTCACCTTATAATTACCTGAATTTCGCTACTATGGCATCGCCTTTTATCACTTCATTCACTATTAAATCGCCTTTCATCACTTCATTCACTATTAGATCGCCTTTCATCACTTCATTCACTATTAGATCGCCTTTCATCACTTCATTCACTATTAGATCGTATACCATCACTTCATTCACTATTAGATCGTATACCATCACTTCATTCACTATTAGATCGCCTTTCATCACTTCATTCACTATTAGATCGTCTTACATCACTTTTTTTTACCGTATCGTTCGCTACAAGTCAACCTCTTGTCACTCATTATGATTCAAATATAAAATATGTGATTCTCACCTCCCGCCTGTTCATAGATGGTTGCGAATGGTACCTACAGGAGTACCTGGTGTGGCTAACCAACCAAGGCAGACACTACAACCTACTGATACGCGATTTGCCTCCTGCTTTATCTTATCGCGATTCTTCGTATACGCGTTAACAACAACACGACACACACTTTTTTTTTAACCTAGGCAGGGACTATGGTATTTGTGTTGGGCCCATGAACAGCAGGAATATTTATTAATTAAGGCCACCACAATAGTTTACTGACCAATCAGCAAGTATAATTTAGTCTTGAATATAATTTAGAACAAAAGTATATATATATATATATATATATATATATATATATATATATATATATATATATATATATATATATAAAACGCTTTTGATAAAAATATATTTTTCCAGACTGAGGAAATAATGAGAAAAATCACTTTGAAGAAAAAAAAAGGATACTACTACATAGCATAAATAAAGTACATGTCGTTCTGTTGATTAGCAATATGTTTATTAATTTATTAAGCACAGTATCAATTTCCTTGGTAATTGTTTTTTTTAATGAATGTGGTAAGGATTTTGCATAATTAAAAAGCCGTTGAGGTCTGATAAAGACCTTTCGTGCCCTCTGTAATCTTTTTTTTTTGGGGGCGTTACCGCCCACAGGAGGAGTTTGAGGTAAACTAGCAGCCCCCGGCGGCAACAATCAATAATTGAAAAGCTGCCATCTATCAAGCTACAGTTAAGATACATTGTTTAATATGCAGGCGATGAGTCACAATAACGTGGCTGAAGTATGTTGACCAGACCACACACTAGAAATTGAAGGGACGACGACGTTTCGGTCCGTCCTGGACCATTCTCAAGTCGATTGTCGAATGGCATTCACAATCGACTTGAGAATGGTCCAGGACGGACCGAAACGTCGTCGTCCCTTCAATTTCTAGTGTGTGGTCTGGTCAACACATTGTTTAACAGTCTGGGGGAACTTCTGTAATAGTTTTTAAACTTTGTTAACGAAACGGATTTATGTGAAAGAGAGATGTTGGCTTAAGTCGGGCATTTGAAGCTAGAGCGTACGGTTGAAGACCTACTTTACCTATATCAGAGTGTATACGGGTTATATGTAAAATTTGGACTGGCTTCAGTAGAAGCCTCCAGACTTCTTGTGGACTGATTGATTGTTGTTGTTGTTGTTATAGATTCAGCTACTCGGGACAAGTTCCAAGTAGCACGGCTATGGTGAGCCCGTAGTGGACTTATCTGCCACAGGAGCGGTGCTGTGATTGATTTGATTGATTGATTGATTGATGAAGATTAAGTCACCACAAGAGGTGGCAAGGGTATGAGTAGACCATAGGTGGTAGCCGTTGTTTGGAGTGAATGTGTTGTTTGATCGTGTAACATCTTGAAGTGTCTCTGGGCCTGAGTCCTGTGAACTACTGATTGATGAAGATTAGCCACCCAAGAGATGGCACGGGCATGAATAGCCCGTATGTAGTAGATTTTTTGTTTGGTAAATGTAGTGTGCCGAGGTCGCATTTACGACTGCTATCGCGGGGGAGGATACTGCTTGACAGTATTGATGAGGGTGGACTCTTACAACCTGTAGACTCTCAGGTTGCATAACTAAATACTATGGCGTGGTAAAGGGGTAAGGTGCACTGCTGGAATTACCCTGCTCGCTATGCTCCAGTTGATTTTCTTACACATCAACGTCTCGTAAATTCGTAAAAAAAAATAGTAGTCTTGAAGTGCAGTGATAAACTTTAAGAAACCATAATATTTATTAATTTAACATAAAATACATATAATATATTTTTCTGTTACAATATTTCCAAATAACATTATTCTTAATCGTTGTTATCAATAATACAATGTTTGATAAATTCAATAACAGTAGACATATTAAATCAGTCAGTTAAGTCTATTTATCTATTTAATGTAAACTAGCAAATAGTTTATCGAGACCTTAAAGAATAAATTTAGATTTACAGGTTGTATTAATACAAATTGATCACTTTGAAATTATGTCATTATAACAAATTAAGTCATTATCAGAATCAGAAAGTCAATCCGTAACAACTAATCACAAATTCTTTGTTTGAATGCGTTTAATACAATCAGTAGTTTCAATTATATAGAAAGCAACATTAAATTCACATCTTAGGTGATTAAGGAGAGGGATTTTGTAAATGAGGAAAATTATGAAGTTTAATTGACTCTTGTTCTTAGGAAGAGCATATGCGTAAGTGCGTGTCTGAGATAGGAGAGCAATGGGACAAATATCTGGAGGCTCGTCTGATCACATGTTGCTGCAGCCAAAGATAAGATTGAGTTGTGAAAAAGTGATCGTATCTCAAGAAGATCCAGAAGATAATGGGAATAAAAGTCGAGATGATGAGTGAGAAAAAACGGGTAGATGATGACAAAAGAAGAATGTAGATTGTAGGAATATTAGTTTCATGATGAATGTATACAAGAAATGTTTGATAAAGACAGCCTGTCCTACAAAGAACTTCGCATTTCGATCGTATGCGTTCCATAACGGCAAAAATTGTCGTAGTAGAAAATGGAAGCGGTTGGCGAAAGTGATGTACTGTCCCGTTTTCTGTTTTGGGGTCCTCTGATAGGCTAGGAGAGGACACTTTATTTTGACCATTTTCTTGATTTTGTGAAATCTTAGGAGGACGTACTGGATTAAGAACGCTGAAAAGTGTGGGGCGTTACACGAACTGATCAATTAACGAGTGGAACTGTTCAGTGGAATGATGAAGTGGCATTTGCAGTGAATTAAAAAAAAAACTGAGATTTCTAGATACAATTAAAATGAACGATATAATAATGTGAGTTAAATAATATGAAAAGATTAGTTAATCAGAAAAAGCGAATGAAGAGATTAAAAGACAAATTAAAAAACTTTTTGAGAAAACATGGAAGCTTTTTAAAATTGTCTCAATATCAATAATTGGAACATGTCAGATTTAATGAACGCAGACAACATAAACATGTAAGGTTGTAAACAGTTAAAATTGTATTGAGGTGTATGCAAGAAGCTGTTGAAAGTGAATGTGCATAAAAGTATTTAATTCTGAGTTATGAAATATGAATGATGAAAGGCTGCGTTCATGAAATCTAATATTTTAACCAATTTATGTTTCATTCGCGTTCATTTAATATTTTAGGGCATTAGCTAAGGTCTCGGCAGCGTCTAAGTTAACCAGTTTATAACAGTAAACTGATTTTGTATTTCTGCACTCTCAAAAAAGACATTTGAGCTCCCATTGGTGTTTTGAGCAGAACTTCCTATATCGCTATAGCTTTCGTGAGATTGTCATTTGCTTAGCTAAACGCGAACTATGGGGGTTCAGGAATCCTGAACCCATTATGTGCCTCTGTAATCCTTTCCATTACCGCCCACGGGATGGGTATGGGGTGCATAATAATGAAAGAAATTGAATTGGTTTCGTACGCTTAAAGGTTTCACGACCTCAGCTATTTACGGCTCAAGCTTCTAACAGCTCAACTCATTAGTACACACGATTTCGTTAACTTAGTTGAGATCATGAAGTTTTGAACACTATCAAGTATTCAAAGTTTCGCGAGCTCAACTAAGACTCCAGGTTCTCATAAAAGAGCATATGAGCATATTTCCTCTCGTCATGTACAGGACAGTTTCCCTTGAGTTGGGTCACGATCTCATCATCAAACTCCCGCCACACGCTTTTAAGGCGCCAGTCCCGACAGGTTGAGATGTAGTGGCCATTAGTCGCTGTGCCCAGGTGGCTACACACTGCGTACAGACTGTACTCTCCCCTGTAGGCATAAACATGAATACATACGAGTTAATTACATACATACTTGCCCGAAACGCATTGCGTAATAGTGGCTTTAGGCATTGTATGTACTAGCTCTATCTATATATCAATCCATTAATGTAACATCACTTGTATGTATGTATGTACCTTACCTGAATAAACATATTTATTTATTTTATTTAATTATGGAAACAAGTACAGCGTTATCAATATTATGATATAAACATAGTTTGCTAGAATGATAACTCGGGTTTTAGTTATTTTAGGAAATACAGCTATGAAAGTTGACCAGACTACACACTATAAAGTGAAGGGACGACGACGTTTCGGTCCGTCCTGGACCATTTTCAAGTCGACACAATAAACTTGAGAATGGTCCAGGACGGACCGAAACGTCGTCGTCCCTTGACTTTCTAGTGTGTGGTCTGGTCAACATACTTCAGCCACGTTATTGTGACTCATCGCCTGCACGGCTATGAAAGTGTTTTATGTGGGTAGAATTACATGTGGTAAAGGTATTGAGTGTGATTTTATTTGGATCTTAAGACTATGTTATTCTGGATGGTTTTAAAGACCACAACAATAGCTGATTACCCAACCAGCAAGTTTACTTTAGTCCTGTTCATAGTCTAGCATTAAGGTAAACTCCCAGAGTACATCGAGAAGCGCCCGCCAAACACACACCGAAACTACGACGTTAGTACAACGTTCGAACAAGTTTTAACACCTCCTAACCAGTTATAACAATCAATATAGCAAGTTGTAACAACGTTCTAATACGTCATAAACACGTTAAGCCAAGATGTAACAACTTTATTACAAGTTGTAACAAGCGGAAAATAGAGACAGTTTCGGTTTGTGTTTCCAGGGCGGGGTATACATCTCAGTAGTTATTCCTGAGAGAAAAATACAGAGAAATGAAGACAAATAGTTCGAACAATTGAGAGAGAACCTTACCTGAATGTGCCAACGTGAAAGGCATCAAGGGTATGTAGTCGTTTGCCGAATTTAACAATCTGCTTCCTATCACTCTGAGATCTTCCAGACGCTTGATTCACTCTGGGTAAAGAGACAAGAGGCAGGACGAATTTTATTATTATTTTATTTATATATACGAGAGTTGTTACATACTTGTAAAGCCACTAGCACGCATGGCGTTTCGGGCAGGTCCTTTATCTTAGTTTTCCCTGGAATACGACCCACCAAATCGTTTAACCAGTAACAAGTCGTACCTATTCACTGCTGGGTAAACAGAGGCTTATATTTAAGGATTGGTGTCTAGTCGATCCTCCCCGGCCAGGATACGAACCCAGGCCAAATTGCTCACGAACCGCGGGGCAAGTGTCTTACCACTGCGCCACAGTACCCCTCTCTTGTACACCTCCCTGTGCCTGGCCACACACCCTGGCAATGCGGTCAGCAAAGTGTTGCCAGTATGAATGCTTTACACCTACGTGTAGATCATTTTAGTAGTCCGCTGTGACAGGACACGGGACCAATTATGATAGTGTGATTTCCCTGTGTATTAGTACTAACATGATGCATCAATGACAAAAATCAATTGGAACATTGCAGAGATTCAAACCAGCGACCTGGGTATTCTCGCTTAAAACAGCCCGTCCTCCAATCAAAGATCCAAAAGTGATTCCATGCACCCGCCAAACCCCCTGTTTATGAACGAAAAGCTGTTTACACACGACTCACAACTGCTGACGTTCGAACATATCCGGAACAAGTGCTTCACTGACGAATTTTGTTCGAACCACAACGCTGTAAATGCTTCACCCACGTACTACAAATACAAATAATCGCCAACAGAACCCAAACACCTGACCTAACCTAACCTTTGCCTATTTATACACAATATGCTAATATATTATAATATTAATTTATACTTGAGAAAATTCCCGTTTTGAATGAACAGCATGTTAAAATTTATGAATGCGTCTGTGGGGGCGACCGCTGGATGTAATGGACTTGAGTCGAGGACGGGTTGTACTTGTATATCAAGTCGTGGTTCAGTGGTGAGGTTCGCAGGTGGGAGTACTCGGATCCCAGCATTGTAACAATTGATGTTCTCAATAGTAATAACAACAATAATTGTGATAATATACAACTGGACATGTTTGGTTTGTTTTAGAATGTAATTAGTTTATAAAATGTATATGATTTAGTTTTCATGTATATACAATTGTATTTCTATGGCTAAAAACGATGGTGCTAATTTGGGCTATTATGTCTGTCACAGCATCGCGTGACGTGCCGAAGTTATTTGGGAAAGTTGACATAACGCCGAGCTGTGATTGGAGGTTAAAAATCAACCAATCAACGACTAGCTCGATGATGTACAGAGCTCATAATTAAAGACATTACCTACTGAGGTGGATGACAAGGATCTTAGGTAAGCGGTGGATGCGAGTGGTCCTGACGCAGTCGTGGATGGTGTCACAGGTGGGACATTCCCACTCGATGCTGCAGGACCTGTAGTACTGCGTCAGCAGCTCCTGCGGGTACAGATGCATAAAGGAAACACTAGAGAGAGAGCTTATTGGCCCTTGCGAGGTTGCTTCTGTTTATACCACAAACTCGTATGTATATGTTTAGCCTACGCTTGAAAGAATCCATTGATTCCACTCGGGTATTAGCAATTGGTCTTAGGGTTGACTGATCCAAAACAAAGCCTAAGTTCAGTCGGTCTCAAAGTTCTGAATCGCATTTGTCGCTGTGTCCCGGGCTCTTCCAAACTCCCTTGGTCATTGCTGTCATTGCGGGGCATGGAGCCACACACTTGTTACCTTGAACACTGTTTATGTAGGACAGATGTAAATCTGTGTATTTGTGTTTGTAGGCTAGATTAGCATTTTTAAAAGTACTACAATCACCTTCTGTTGTTGATTGTTCAATAAATCACTAAACTATATGTGTAACAGATCTCTAACTCTGTCCAATGGAGGACAGAAGAAAATGTATACATGCTGGTTAGCATTGTAAATGTGTGGCCACGTCGGAGCCGGTCGGCCGAGCGGACAGCACGCTGGACTTGTGATCCTGTGGTCCTGGGTTCGATCCCAGGCGCCGGCGAGAAACAATGGGCAGAGTTTCTTTCACCCTATGCCCCTGTTACCTAGCAGTAAAATAGGTACCTGGGTGTTAGTCAGCTGTCACGGGCTGCTTCCTGGGGGTGGAGGCCTGGTCGAGGACCGGGCCGCGGGGACACTAAAGCCCCGAAATCATCTCAAGATAACCTCAAGATAACGTCCGTGGTAGAAAAATAATATAAAAAAAAAGTTTCAAACATCTTGTGTACTTCCACGCATTTTTTCTTTCTCATATTTTCCCAGATGTAAACATTATTCCTTGTGCCACCTCACATCACGTATTTAAAGAAACTTAATAGTAATATAAACAATTCTCTCTACCGACCTATAAAAAGGTGTTTATATTAAAAAAATTGTGTGACGACAGAAACGACTCAAGACAGTTGGTGAAAGACCCCTCTTTCTGGACCAGGATGCACAGAGCATGTACATGTCGTGTCTTAAAAGATCTGCACCTCGATCATGGCTGCTTCAGACGTATTTATTATACAGCTAAATAGTTCCATAGCTATTAGCTGAATCACTTGTGATACAAAAGATTATTGATGTGTGTATTTGTGTGGGTGATTAAATATGTGTATGTGTATATATGTACTCACCTAGTTGTGTTTGCGGGGGGTTGAGCTCTGACTCTTTGGTCCCGCCTCTCAACCGTCAATCAACAGGTGTACAGATTCCTGAGCCTATTAGGCTCTTCCTGTGTATACGTATATATATGTACGTGTATGTACGAGTATGTGTACATGTATATATAACATTAATAATTGTATAACTAGCGTCAAAAGATTGTTAGCTTAGCTAAACGAACTAGAGGGTTCATTTCCTAAACCGATTATGTGCCTCTGTAATCCTTTACACCACCGCCCACGGTATGGGTATGGAGTGCATAATAGAGAAAGAAATTAAATCGGCTATTAGTGTTACGGGAAACACCGCTGCATTCACAAGCTCGTAAACTCCGAGGAGAGAGACAGACTTCGTTAATAAGTGGTTGCCCTTGATTGTCTGCCTTCACGACGGCTAAAGTTTGACCTTTATCCCTCTCACCTGACCTCACATGTCTCACCTCGAGCACAAAAGAAAATTGTTTTCACATACCATACATTAAAACATTGATTGTAACCATGATATATATGTACTTCCGCCTACAGTTTAGACCTATTGTCTTATGTATGACCCTCTGTCCTGCGTGACAGTGAATGACAGCATTATCCTCACTTTAATGAGACTTAATCGAAATCCTCAGATTAGGCAAAATTGTAATTAATTTCGTCAATAAAGATGTTAATAATAATAACCTCGAGAGTGCAGTGGTGTTTAGAATTCTTTTGTGAACCGACGGTCAGCGTCAGGCTCGAAAACAACTCGTCCACTGAAGATATTATTGTCTTGGTTTTCTCGCACACGATGTCTGACTTGTGGTGGCCAATGAAGAGCTCAGCTATGTGGGACGGTCCTCTTCCCTGTTCCGCCAAGACAACAACACCGAAAATTAATTTCTCTCTTATTAATGATTATATCTTCGATCGTGGGTACCTCAAGGCCTTTGAGGGGAATATTGGTATAATATAATTTAGGGAATCAAAAATGAAATTATTTGCATTGTTTTGTGTCGTTCTTATGATCATAGTGTCCATGATATTTCATAATTAGATTTAATATCTACATGAGTCATCAGTTAAAAGGTTTAAAATAAAAATATTCAAGGGATTACGTTTAAAGCATAGTGATTCAAATATTTTCACACACACATGCGTGTTAATTTGTGTGCTCATCCTGGAGGATGAGGCCTTACCTGGAGGTCGGTGTCCAGGGCGTGAAGAAGTAGAGAGTAGAAATCATGCGCGTCTTGCTGTTCCTTGCCCTTAAATATCACCTCGTGCTCCCCCAAGATCGTCTGTCCCAAACATCAGAAGGTTTCAACATGATGATAATCACACGCAGTCTCGTGTTTCATTCCTGCTTCTCCGATTAGAACCGATATCATCAAAACAGAAGCAAATGAGGCCGTGTTTGTATTGCTGAACCATTTTAGTTATTTTTTGTTAACGGTGTTCACTTGTCAACAGTTCTGAACATCATACATTAGAAAAGTGCTTAACTGACTTGTATAATTTAAAATATGTGCATATACAGTCCCACAAAGGAAACAATTCACGTCACGAAATAGTACCAAATATTACAAGAAAACAAACTTTACTCAATCACACTACTCAAATAACGGAGGCAAATATTTGTGGCACTGTAAGAACTGCTTCAAGAACATGATGGTGCCTTTCAGGACATTCTAAGTGTCCTAGTTCGTTTATGGCTATATGTCATATAGCCTAAAATCTAGGCTCTTTGCCACATAGCATAGAATCTAGGCTATATGGCATGTTGCATAATTAAGACAGGTTCTTGAGTGCGTATCATTGGTGTGGAGTCCTAACTCAAGCACTTGCCTCTATATGCATACTAGATCAGTCCGTTCTAAGGTTTCCTAACGTCAAGAAAACGGTCAGTTTAAAGTGTCCTCTCCTAACCTACCAGACGACTTAAAACAGAAAACGGGACAGTACGACACTTTTGTTAGCCTCTCCGATTTTCTGGTGTGACAATTTTTGGCCCTATGTAACGCATACGAGCGAAAAACGGCGTTCTTTGTAGGACAGATTGACTAGATAGGGTAACAACCAGCGTTTAATAATATGATGATAACCGGCGGTGCCTGGGTAGACCCAGTATCACTTTGCTAGAAAAAACACAAGAAAAGGGATCAGAAATAATGATAATGGGAACAAATAATCCCGTGTGGCAACGCATCCCGAAACGCGGTTGGGATTGGCTGGGACTCTGAGGGACTATTTCCCATGACGTTATCAACATTTCTTCACCTTATTTACTTATGTAAAGAAGGAAATGTATATGTTTATCTCTTAGAATGTTCGGTAATACGTTTATTGCTTGTGATGTGTGTCTATGTAAGTATTAACACGATGTACTGAACGGAGTGAGAATAGCTTAAGCTACCTCATCCCTTTGGGTGTATTTTACCTCAATAAACTTATTTCAATTTCAATTTCACCTTATTATGGGTAAACTATGATGAGTTGACTTTAAATTCCTGACATCAGCGTGTATTGTTTAACAATATTGAGCAAATATATAAATGTTTTGATATTTTTTACCGGGTCAACCCGGTGACAAGAGTTGTCACCAACGGGGTTCGTAGTCCTAAAGGTCAGGGTTCGATCCCCGGTGGAGGCGGAAACAAATGGGCAGAGTTTTTTCACCCTGAGGCTCCTATTCACCAAGCAGTAAATAGGTACCTGGGAGTTAAACAGCTGCTACGGACTACTTATTGGGGATATGTGTGTGTGAATATTAGGATTAAAGACTTGCCCCGTTATGCGTGCTAGTGGCTGTACAAGAATGTAAGAACTCTTGTATATATAAAAAATTAAACTTCATGGGGGTCGCCTTGGGAGAAAACCCATTCCTAATGAGAGGAATGTATTCTGCCCTCTTCCATAATGTTGGTCACTACCCCTCAGTAATCACCGTGCAAAATTAGGTGAGGTTATCCCCCAAGCGTCTGGCCGCCAACTCCTGATAGACAAACTGATATCTTTCTTTTATAGATATAGATGATACATATTTCCTTTTTATATATACGACGATAGAGTTAGACAGGCATACAGAAAAAGGCAGGCACAAAGTTCATTATGAATTCACCTTAACCCGTGCTACTTGGAACGTTTAGTTGACCAGATCACACACTAGAAGGTGAAGGGACGACGACGTTTCGGTCCGTCCTGGACCATTCTCAAGTCGATTGTGAGAATGACTTGAGAATGGTCCAGGACGGACCGAAACGTCGTCGTCCCTTCACCTTCTAGTGTGTGGTCTGGTCAATATACTTTAGCCACGTTATTGTGACTCATCGCCTGCATTTGGAACGTTTAGTTCCGAGTAGCTGAATCTAAAACAACAACAACAACAGACAGGCACAAAGGAAAGCTTCTGAAGTCATCCTACCTTCAAGGCTTTCACAGGAGCAAGAGTCTCACCGCGGGAATCCAGCTGATAGATAACGTCATGGAAAGCATCAGCCACTTCCCCACCGTATTCACTCTCCTTATTAATATCCTCTCTGAAGGCATTAATTATAAAGGATTTACTATAGTATACCAATAGAATATATGTATTTGCCTCGGGCTTCAACCAACTTTTATTGCATTAATGTTTGAATAAAACAGAGGTTTAAGGCCCAAAATTTAGAGTACAGTATAACTAAAAACAAAATAACTATTTAAGGCAAATATATTTCATATATTTTATATATAAAAATATGTTGTTATGCATATGTTTTCATAGATTTGGCAGGTTTCAATAATTTGATAAAATATCTTAAATAAGATAGAAATAGCGTATTTACAGTTCGGCTTAGGAATTTAATATTTACCTCCAGTGTCCGTGTAGAATATAATACGTCAAGCAGCTAGTGCTGTAAAGACATTGAATGACAGAGTTCATGTAGCAGGTGTTTCCTATGCTCTTCAAACCTATTGGCATTGGTATGTAATCTCTAGGTGACTTCCGCATAGTGTACTCTTCCGACTGAGGCCGTGTAGGTGATCGATCCTTACTGCTTTGTTGACGTTTGTGTGTCTTCGCCTGAGGGTCTAGGGTACTGAGGTTCTGAATTAAGATACTAAATCAGCCATTCTTTCTTCGAAGCCAAGAATCATCAAGCATTTACGTGTTCACTTGGGATACCTGTAAATCTTTCCTTAATTATGGCGCCTTAGTTTGTGTTTATAAAATCGTTTAAGAGATGCGATGTACTAAGAGGTTTAAGATATTATACAAATAATAACCTTGGGTTGCGGAGTTTCGTAGCTCGTAAAATGCTACAATAATGATAAATACAGTATTTTGCCATGGTTGAAGAAAGATGTACATGTTTCGTATCTGTACATGCAAATGCACGATAAAGCCTGAAAACATTTTATATTGCTGTCAAAATAGGCTATATTTTTATCTAAACTAACAAATTTTTACCTAACAATCTTGGCCTGATATTTTTCCAACGTCAAAGTTTTGGAATAATAGACATTGAGCTTAGGTCTAATTGCAATTTTAATTTTGGCTCACATTAGAGCTAAATTTGTATAATGTTTATTAAAATTAAAAAATTATTCAGTACTTTTCATAAAATGTTCGACACATTGTATTTAATATATAAAGAACCTTTCACAACATCTACGTGAGACAAGTCCTAAAGTATGTTACCCGCATTGTGAAGCCCTCAACTCAAAAATCACATAATGAAATTTGATAAAGTACAGATATAGACAACGAAGCTCATCCCATAATTACATGAAATGAACCGAACGATTCAAGAAAAGAGGAGACATAATTCAGATAAATAAAATACTTATAGAACAGTCTTACCCTGACCCCTGAAGCTTTTGTGTGAGCAGTCAGCATGCTTACTGCTTCCATGCACTTCTTCTCCCTTGCAATGTCCTCGGCAGTATATCCTTGTGCGTTGGTCTCGTTGGCTTCCACTCCCTGATCAAGTAACCACTTGATCACGTGTAATTTGCTTGAGCGAGCAGCGAAGTGCAAAGGAGAGTCATCCTCGTTGTTGATGCTGGAGAGGTCACACTGATTGTCCCTCAGCACTCTTAAGATGGCCAAGTGCCCTCCTTCAGCAGCCAGGTGTGTCGCAGTGTTCCCTGTACCAGTGGTGAAGTTAACAACTGTACCAGTGGTGAGGTTAACAAACTTCGAACAGATATAATTTTTCATCGGCCGGTAAGACGAGGAAAATTTGGAGCATTTTCTCTCAATTTTGTACTGATTAAACAAGCAAAATACAGTGCCGATTTGTATATTTTACGAGGATATATTAACTCATATTAAAGCATGTACTACTAATACAGTATTTAGGCATAACTTGTGTTCGGTCTTACCTTGAAACTATGTATTTTGTCTTGCCTTAAAATTTTGTATTCGGTCTTGCTAGAAAAAACTTTGTATTCTGTTTTACCTTACGATAATATATACAAACTTAACATTAGGCTGGCCCTCGAAAAAAAGGAAGGCAGAGTTTATCTTAATTCTACTCGATTTGTACATATCTGACAGCCCGAACACAACTTACCTTCATCATCGTGGTCATTTAGCTGGGCCCCTCTAGCTACTAGGAGCTTCACCACCTGCAAGTAACCAGCTGCACACGCCAGCTGGACCGCACTCCTGCCTGTTCATAGATCACAATCATTACATATATTATTTGTATCATTATTCTCAATATTTTCATTTTACGTGGGTTCAGTTATTTGTGTCAGTCACGTCATTGTGACTTATTTTCTGCATTTATTAACATTATCAATATTTTATTAATACAATTGACTGCAACACCTACCCTGTTGATCTTTGCAATCGACGTTGACTTTGGCATCAAGCAGTTCCACCACAGTCGGCAGCTTGCCATTAGCCGCGGCATGCAGGAACTTGGACTCCTGGGGCGTCGTCTTTGGCCGCTGAGGTACCAAGACCTGCTGGAGATAAAGTTCCACCTCTCTATGGCCCTCGTGCTCGGCCAGGTCTTTTGCCGTGAAGCCGTCAGCGTCCCTGTGGTCGAGGCTCAACCCTTGCTCGACCAGCCACTTCACAGCATCTAAGTTGCCATTGTCAGCCGCAAGGTGGAGCGCAGTCCGTCGGGTGCCCTTGGTGGTGGCACGAAGATTACACTTCGTAGTCTTTAGGTAATGCAGGATCTTAACGTGGCCCCCCTTAGATGCCCAGTGGACCAACTTCTCACCTGGAAGTGTTCCAATTTTGTTTTGGAATTATACCAGTTTGTGTTGGAGTTATAACAGTTTTGTGATGGAATTGTATCAGTTTGTGTTGGAATTGTACCATTGTGGTGAAATTGAAGCAGTATCTTGAGGTTATCTTGAGATGATTTCGGGGCTTAGCGTTCCCGCGGCCCGGTCCTCGACCAGGCTTCCTGTATGTTACACCCCCCAGAAAGCAGCCCGTAGCAGCCGTCTAACTCCCAGGTACTTATTTACTACTAGGTAACAGGGACATCAAGGTGAAAGAAACTCTGCCCATTTGTTTCCGCCTCCACCGGGGATCGAACCCGGAATCTCAGGACTTCGAATCCAAAGCGCTGTCCACTCACGTGTCAGGCCCCAGAATGTTAGTTGTACTAGGATGATGGAACTGAACTAGTATGTGGGAATTGTACTAGTATGTTGAACTTGCCATAGTACAAGGTGCCCAATAGAAAACCAATACATTGCTCATTTCAATCCTTTCAAGCCTAGTGAACATCGATTGTAGGATTGGTTGCAATGTGCTTTCTCTGCAAGTGCACATTCACCCTTCCTCAGCCTTTGGAGGGTTTTAACAGTTTCACTACAGTTATTACTGATTGATTGATGAAGATTAAGCCACCCAAAAGGTGGCACGGGCATGAATAGCCCGTAAGTGGTGGCCCTTTTGAGCCATTACCAGTATCAGTAGATGATACTGGAGATCTGTGGAGGTGACGGGAGATGTCTCCCGTGAAAAATTATTACTGATTTACTAGTAGGAATATTTTAATTCTAGACACAGTCCAGGATTAAGGTAAACTAGAGTGTCTGACCTCTTCCAGTATACTGACCTACCTAGTTTTGCACACACTGACTCTACAATATTAATTGGGGATTTAAATGCTAAACACAAACAATTAGGGGATCAACTCACAAATATCAACGGGAGAAGATTGTTGGCACTTCTCGATGCATATGATGTTCAAATTATCAGTAAGAATCAACCAACGCAAATATATGGAGGTATTCTAGATAGGTGCATTGACTTTAACCTATCATACACAACTCATGAGACTGATATTATGGATGACCTAATGTCTGACCATTTAGCCATAACAGCTAACATACACGTGGCTAATGTTGACCTACCAGGCACAAAGCTGAGTAGACGCAGGCTAACAGTAAGGAAAGAGCAAGAAAAACTCTTTATAGACAGCATAGAACATTGGTATAATAATTATGAGCCTGAGAATGTACAACAGTTTTATGATGACCTCGTAAATAATACCTATGAGGCCATCAAAAATAGTGAGTCACGCCAAACAAAAAGACGTACTGGGAAACAGGTCAGACACAACCAGTACTATGATGATGCTAAACTGAAAGAGCTTAAATCAATTGCTAGACAGACAGGTAAAGCATATAAGAGCCTTAGAACTCCTCAAATGTTAAAACTGTTTCAGGCCGCGCTTGCAGCGGCAAGGGAGAGAATGACTGAACTGAGACAAAATGAATGGGAGGGTTTTGTTAGTGGACTTAACCTGCATACTCCCCTGGGCAAAGCCTGGAAAGGCATAACAAAAATTATTGGTAAAAATAGTAGACAAGTTTCACACCCAAACCCGCTACAGAAAGCTAATCAGATAATTGCAAAATGGGCTCAAGTTTCCAGCTTTGGAATGTTACCAGCTAGCACTAGGGAGAAATTGCAGGAGAGGTCCACAGACAGAAATTCTCTCATAAATTTCATGTTTAGCAAGCAACATGAAGAATGTGATGTTCCATATACAGATTATGAATTGAATGCAGCCCTCTCCAGGGGCAGTAGCACTGCTCCTGGTGAGGACGGTATCACCTATGATATTCTAAGACTCCTACATCGTGTACCCGGTAACCCATTATTAGAATTGTTTAATGAGAGTTATGTCACTGGGCAGTTGCCTGTATCATGGACCACCAGTCTTACGGTACCTGTACCAAAGCCTGGCCAACCTGATGCTTTCCGTCCCATCTCACTGACCAGTTGCATGTGCAAAACCTTTGAGAGAATGGTGCTTAATAGATTATTGTATAGAGTTAAAGAGCACATGTCACCTGATATCAATGGTTTCACACATGGTAAAAGTGTACACAACTGTATCACAACCTTTCTTACTGTTCATGGAGATAAAAGGCACAAGTACACAACATTTCTTGATTTAAAAAATGCCTTTGATATTGCTAATAGGGAAGTGATTATGTATGAATTAGCGAGAATGGATATAGGGGGACATTTATTACAATGGATACGAGGCTATCTTACCAACCGGAAGTCCTCTGCACTGTTCCAAGGCTACAAGAGTGAAACTAAAGTAATGCAACTAGGCACCCCACAAGGAGGAGTACTCAGTCCTACCTTGTTTAATGTTCTAATTAATGCTTTACTAAAATCAATTCCAACTAGTCCGGCAAACATCACTATCAGCTGTGCAGATGACATCCTTGTGCATACTAAAACCCACCGCGAAATGCAGTCTTAAATTGTATACATACAGCTTGTGAGAGCCTTGGTCTTGTAATCAACGCTGTTAAAACTAAGGTATTTAACAGACAAATTGGCAACCGCAAAGTGGACCACGAAAACTTGGTCTAGATAAAACTTGATAGATAACATACCAATAGACTATGTCTCTTCTTTCAAATACGTTGGTGTCTATGTCCCTTGTACCTCAACTGCAGTCAATAAGTTACATCAACAATGTAGAGACAGACTCAAGGCTCTCAGAACTGTAGTGGGGTACAGCCCGAAATATGGTGTTAATATTAAAATAGCAAGAATGATGTATTTAGCGTATATAAGGTCTCTGATAGACTATCATGCACCAGCTTTGGTCCTGCAAAATGGCAAAAGTATTGATAGACTTGAAAAAATGCAAAATGAAGCACTCAGAATTATACTTAGCTGTCCTATAACTACCAAAGTTCTCAACATGCGGAAAGAATTAAATATACTTAGCATTAGAGATAGAATATTTGAAATTAATCTTATGATGGGACTAAAGCTTCTGCGTGATAAAAACATTGTGTCAGTTGCACTGTTAGACGCTCACGCACGCATCACGTAGAGAGAGAGGGAGAGAGAGAAAGACTGAGCCTACCTTTCACTTCAGCAGTACCATGAGGTAAATGAAGAAGAAGTAGCTTCAGTACTTCCAAGTGTCCGGCCTGTGCAGCAAGATGAACTGCCAGCACTCCTGTAGGTGAGATACTTACTTTAATACAGTGTGTGTGTGTGTGTGTACTCACCAAGTTGAGCTTGCGGTAGTTGAGTCTTTGGTCCCGCCTCTCAACTCTCATTCAACTGGCGTACAGATTCCTGAGCCTACTGGGCTCTATCATATCTACATTTGAAACTGTGTATGGAGTCAGCCTCCACCACATCACTGCCTAATGCATTCCATCTGTTAACTGCTCTGACACTGAAAAAATTATTTCTAACGTCCCTGTGACTCATTCGGGTACTCATTTTCCACCTGTGTCCCTTTGTTCGCGTACCACCCGTGTTAAACAGTTTATCTTTATCGACCCTATCAATTCCTCTGAGAATTTTGTAGGTAGTGATCATGCCTCTCCTTACTATTCTGTCTTCCAGTGTCGTGAGGTGCATTTCACGCAGCCTTTCCTCGTAACTCATTCCTCTTAGTTCTGGGACTACCCTAGTGGCATACCTCTGAACTTTTTCAAACTTCATCTTGTGCTTGACAAGGTACGGGCTCCATGCTGGGGCCGCATACTCCAGGATTGTTCTTACATATGTGGTATACAAGGTTCTGAATGATTCCTTGCTCAGGTTCCTGCTTTGTGTGTGTGTGTGTGTGTGTGTGTGAACAAAAAAAATCTTTTGAGAAGGCCAAACTAGCGTCCTGAGTAACCCCCAGCTCCTGCCGTCCTGTTCCGAAGATTTTTCTTAGAGACATTACTTTATTTTGATTTGGATTTGTTTACCTTCGTTGTCGTCAGCTGTGGGATCGGCGCCGGCCTGCAGAAGGTCTTCGACTAGAGCGGTGTAGCCGCCGTCAGCAGCCTGGTGTAGAGCTCGGCGCCCTGTGCCACGATACACGTCATAAATTGCTTTCAGTATGGTCTGTTATCTTATAAATTATTATGGAGAGTGAAGAATCATCAGCTATTTTGTTTAATACAGATATTCTTTGAGAAAAATTTGGAGCAATATAGTGGGATTGAACGCGTGTCTCTGACTTCACAGGCACGAATTTAAAAGCACGAGTTCGATCCCATTATATGGCCCCAAAATTTATCATTGATATAACACAATATTGTGATCTCGGTTAAAACATATTTTTTTTTTTTTTTTTTTTTTTTTTTTTTTTTGAGATATATACAAGAGTTGTTACATTCATGTACAGCCACTAGTACGCGTAGCGTTTCGGGCAAGTCCTTAATCCTATGGTCCCTGGAATACGATCCCCTGCCGCGAAGAATCGTTTTTTCATCCAAGTACACATTTTACTGTTGCGTTAAACAGAGGCTACAGTTAAGGAATTGCGCCCAGTAAATCCTCCCCGGCCAGGATACGAACCCATGACATAGCGCTCGCGGAACGCCAGGCGAGTGTCTTACCACTACACCACGGAGACTGTATTCTTATTGAAACACTTCAGGGTCTTAAGGACACAAGGCTAGTAACTTTCTATTATCTTAATTGAGTACTACCTCTAATCTGCGGCTTGTGGCTTGGGGCGTCGACGAAGACTTCGTCCTGGATGAGGCGGCGTGTGAGCTCGAAGTTCCCGGCGCCCGCAGCTTCCACTAGCTGTTCCTGTATACCATTTTAATTTTTATTAGTTGGCCATTTGGACCAATTCCGTAGTAGAAAATGGAAATTCTTTGGGGTCCAACTGATCCTTTTTATAAATAAATAATAAATAAATAAATATATGTTTATTTAAGTAAGGTACATACATACAAGAGATTTTACAAAGATTGATCGATTTATAGATAGAGCTAGTACATACAATGCCTAAAGCCACTATTACGCAAAGCGTTTCGGGCATGAAAAACATTAATGACTAAAGCTTAATACTAAAATTTTCTGTAACGTTCGATCAAATAGTTGCTCTAAATACTGTCATTACTGAAGGGTGGTTAACACCGGGGTGGTTAACACCGGGGTGGTTAACACCGAGGTGGTTAACACCGGGGTGGTTAACACCGGGGTGGTTAACACCGAGGTGGTTAACACCGGGGTGGTTAACACCGGGGTGGTTAACACCGGGGTGGTTAACACCGAGGTGGTTAACACCGGGGTGGTTAACACCGGGGTGGTTAACACCGAGGTGGTTAACACCGGGGTGGTTAACACCGGGGTGGTTAACACCGGGGTGGTTAACACCGAGGTGGTTAACACCGGGGTGGTTAACACCGGGGTGGTTAACACCGGGGTGGTTAACACCGGGGTGGTTAACACCGAGGTGGTTAACACCGGGGTGGTTAACACCGGGGTGGTTAACACCGAGGTGGTTAACACCGGGGTGGTTAACACCGGGGTGGTTAACACCGGGGTGGTTAACACCGGGGTGGTTAACACCGAGGTGGTTAACACCGGGGTGGTTAACACCGAGGTGGTTAACACCGGGGTGGTTAACACCGGGGTGGTTAACACCGGGGTGGTTAACACCGGGGTGGTTAACACCGGGGTGGTTAACACCGGGGTGGTTAACACCGGGGTGGTTAACACCGGGGTGGTTAACACCGGGGTGGTTAACACCGGGGTGGTTAACACCGAGGTGGTTAACACCGGGGTGGTTAACACCGGGGTGGTTAACACCGAGGTGGTTAACACCGGGGTGGTTAACACCGAGGTGGTTAACACCGAGGTGGTTAACACCGAGGTGGTTAACACCGGGGTGGTTAACACCGAGGTGGTTAACACCGAGGTGGTTAACACCGGGGTGGTTAACACCGGGGTGGTTAACACCGCGGTGGTTAACACCGAGGTGGTTAACACATCGTAATGTGCAAATACAAGATGATATTTTTGGGGGATTTCTAATTTTCACAAACAATTTCCAAAAGCAATTTCCACACAACAGCGCTAAATATTCTTCATTTTCCCTTTCTCTCAGGCAATTTAAAGCAGTGAATTGCCGGTCAGAGAAATAATTGTTGTAATGATCACCAGTCTTATAATTATATCCAATTATATAACTCCACCAGTCCAATTATACCCGGGGGGTATGTGGCAGATAAGGAAATCGTTCGAACTGGCATCGTGATCACGATAGAGAACATATGTTGAGCAGAACAATGAGTGACACACACACACACGTGTCATATGACAAAGATAACTAGGAAGGCGGAACACTTCTGCTCTCATCCTATAACAACACTTATATACACCTTTCTGCGTATCTGGCTTCAGTATCTGGCTGTTCAGTTCTCTAAGTAACCCCCCCCCCCCTTCCCTCCTTCCGCCCACACACACGCACACCAGTGTATGCACCGTGCAGGTACGAAGTTGAAATTGAAATTAAATAAGTTTTATTCGGTTTAAATGCACACAAAGGGATAAGGTTGCTCAAGCTATTCTCACTCCCTTCAGTACAACGTGATTTTATATATATATATATATATATATATATATATATATATATATATATATATATATATATATATATATATATAATATAATCCCACATCTCAAACAATAAAAATATTACTACTGAACATAATTTATGATAAACTAATACATTTCTTGCAGGTATGAATAGTATTTTATCCCGTCTATGTTCTGAACGGTCATTGACGAGATGGCAATTTTCGTCGTGAAGTACGACTCTATATATAGAATCAAGAACATGTATTACAGAACCCAAAGAGTTATGGAGTACTACACAAGTCGATCACAAGTTAAGGCGTGGACCCTGAGCTGAAGCTCAATCCTAGCCCGCAAACAACAGGTCAATACACTTATAATAATAATAATAATAATTTTTATTTAGGCAAAGGTACATACATAAAGAGATTTTACAAAGTTAGTTGGCTTTATAGATAAGAGCTAGTACATACAATGCCTAAAGCCACTATTACGCAAAGCGTTTCGGGACTTACCTCCTTTAACCTATCATCAAGGTAATTATACACATCAGATGCTTCAGACACCATGGCTAGGTCGCTCGGTGTGTTCCCGTTGTTGTCCTTTGCATCAATCTGGGCTCCTTGTTCCACCAGCCAGCGGGTAGCGTCCAGGTTGCCGTTGTCGGCCGCCAGATGGAGTGGTGTCGACCCGTCGGGGGTGGAAGCAGCAGTGACGTCACACCCTCGCTCCTTCAGTAGTCGCAACACGGTCACGTGACCCCCAAATGCTGCCCAGTGAACACCCTCGCGACCTAACGGATTGACACGAGAGTATGAGCAGCAGAATACTGTGAGTAGCAGAATAGTTATCACTGCTACACACGCTTACTGGTGAACCAGTAGGTGTATTCTCAGTGTATAAACACCGAGATACAGAATTCTCTCTCACCTACCAGCTGCCACAGCTCTGGGGTCAACGCTATGTTCCAGGAGCTTCTTCACCACCTCGGTGTGGCCGCCCCAGCACGCCAGATGAATCGCCTGCAGCCCTGTGGAGAGTATGGAGGTTACTGATGACTTGGAGAATTGTGAAGAAAAGACTACACCACAGTCTCCGTGGTGTAGTGGTAAGACACTCGCCTGGCGTTCCGCGAGCGCTATGTCATGGGTTCGTATCCTGGCCGGGGAGGATTTACTGGGCGCAATTCCTTAACTGTAGCCTCTGTTTAACGCAACAGTAAAATGTGTACTTGGATGAAAAAACGATTCTTCGCGGCGGGGATCGTATTCCAGGGACCTGCCCGAAACGCTACGCGTACTAGTGGCTGTACAAGAATGTAACAACTCTTGTATATATCTCAAAAAAAAATTGCAGACGGAGGACACTGGTGACGTGAGGATTCCCGGAGTCCTCATTCTACATCACACGGAATGAGAAGATATGACCCAGTAGCCTAGAAGGATGCCAAGACGCGGCCGACACTCGCTAGTGGAGTATGGCGAGTTAAATCACATCGTGAGTACACGGTGTACACCAATGGTTGACCCAGTACTGCGAATCAATGGTTGACCCAGTACTGTGAACCAATGGTTGACCCAGTACTGTGAGCCAATGGTTGACCCAGTACTGTGAACCAATGGTTGACCCAGTACTGTGAGCCAATGGCTGACCCAAGTACTGCGAACCAATGGTTGACCCAAGTACTGCGAGCCAATGGCTGACCCAAGTACTGCGAGCCAATGGTTGACCCAGTACTGCGAGCCAATGGCTGACCCAAGTACTGCGAGCCAATGGCTGACCCAAGTACTGCGAGCCAATGGCTGACCCAAGTACTGCGAGCCAATGGCTAACCCAAGTACTGCGAGCCAATGGCTGACCCAAGTACTGCGAGCCAATGGCTGACCCAAGTACTGCGAGCCAATAGCTGACCCAGTACTGCGAACCAATGGCTGACCCAAGTACTGCGAGCCAATGGCTGACCCAAGTACTGCGAACCAATGGCTGACCAAGTACTGCGAGCCAATGGCTGACCCAAGTACTGCGAGCCAATGGCTGACCCAAGTACTGCGAACCAATGGTTGACCCAACTACTGCGAGCCAATAGCTGGCCCAGTACTGCGAGCCAATGGCTGACCCAAGTACTGCGAGCCAATAGCTGACCCAGTACTGCGAACCAATGGCTGACCCAAGTACTGCGAGCCAATGGCTGACCCAGTACTGCGAGCCAATGGCTGACCAGTACTGCGAGCCAATGGCTGACCCGGAATATATATATACTTGACCACTCACCCTCCTCCCCTGGTTTGCTGCTGACGAAGCTCGGATCAGCTCCGGATACCACCAAGGAGTCGACCTCGTCAGCCCGACCCTCGCTAGCGGCCACCAGCAGCTGTAGTGGTCAAGACATCGCTCATCAGTGTAAAACAAAATATCAATAGCATTTCTTCATGTTCAAACTGATATAAGGCAATGGAAAGAGGAATTGTTCTCTTGGAAACATCAGTGGATAAGAATGTCTTAGAATGTTATGGTTCAAAGTGTGATCGCTTACATTAATAAACAGAAGACCTCGGCTCACCCTAACAGATGGGTCATGTGCGTCCCTGTTGGAGAGAGGGGTTTGAGGCGAGGGATGAGGGGAGCCCTGAGGTAAGTGCTGAGAGTAAAGGGAGGCTTGAGGCAAGTGCTGAGAAGGAGCGAAGGCTTCAGGCAAGTGCTGAGAGTGAGGAGAGGACTGAGGCAAGTGCTGAGGGGAAGCGGAGGCTTGAGGCAAGTGCTGAAAGTGAAGGGAAGATTGAGGCAAGTGCTGAGGGTGAGGGGAGGTTTGAGGCAAGTGCTGAGAAGGAGCGGAGGCTTCAGGCAAGTGCTGAAAGTGAGGGGAGGCTTGAGGCCAGTGCTGAGAGGGAGCGGAGGCTTGAGGCAAGTGCTGAAAGTGAGGGGAGGACTGAGGCAAGTGCTGAGAGGGAGCGGAGGCTTCAGGCAAGTGCTGAAAGTGAGGGGAGGACTGAGGCAAGTGCTGAGAGGGAGCGGAGGCTTCAGGCAAGTGCTGAAAGTGAGGGGAGGACTGAGGCAAGTGCTGAGAGGGAGCGGAGGCTTTAGGCAAGTGCTGAAAGTGAGGGGAGGACTGAGGCAAGTGCTGAGAGGAAGCGGAGGCTTGAGGCAAGTGCTGAGAAGGAGCGGAGGCTTCAGGCAAGTGCTGAAAGTCAGGGTAGGGCTGAGGTGAGTTCATCATTTGTGGGTTGGGCTGATATGAGGGCTGAGGATAAGGCTGACGCGAAGGCTGGGAAAGGTTGGAACCTTCTCTGGAGCCCAGAGGCTGCAGTTGGGTGTCAGGCTGGCACAGTGGCCGGATACTCCCGTGTGCACCCGCACTTGCGTTAGCGGCGAGGTTACCAACGGCGTGCACTTGGTCTCTCCCACCTTGCTGCGTCTGTATGTGGAGGGAACAGGTGTAGTACATGTATGTCTTCAGTTTGGTATAAACACACACCCACCCACCAGGTAAGGAGCAACACAACAAGGAGTTCAGGTGGAAATTAAAACACAGATTAGCCAAAAAATCTAAAGAAATGCTTGTATACAATGAGAACCGTAAAGTGGAAGGCATTTGAGCCGGATATATGTTGATCACTTGATAAATCGATGATTGTTGTTGTTGTGGTGGTGTGGTTGTTGTGGTGGTGTGGTTGTTGTGGTGGTGTGGTTGTTGTGGTGGTGTGGTTGTTGTGGTGGTGTGGTTGTTGTGGTGGTGTGGTTGTTGTGGTGGTGGTGGCGTTGTGGTGGTGGTGGCGTTGTGGTGGTGGTGGCGTTGTGGCGCTGGCGGCGTTGTGGTGGTGTGGTTGTTGTGGTGGTGTGGTTGTTGTGGTGGTGTGGTTGTTGTGGTGGTGTGGTTGTTGTGGTGGTGGTGGCGTTGTGGTGGTGGTGGCGTTGTGGTGGTGGTGGCGTTGTGGCGCTGGCGGCGTTGTGGTGGTGTGGTTGTTGTGGTGGTGTGGTTGTTGTGGTGGTGTGGTTGTTGTGGTGGTGTGGTTGTTGTGGTGGTGTGGTTGTTGTGGTGGTGTGGTTGTTGTGGTGGTGGTGGCGTTGTGGCGCTGGCGGCGTTGTGGTGGTGGTGGCGTTGTGGTGGTGGTGGCGTTGTGGCGCTGGCGGCGTTGTGGTGGTGTGGTTGTTGTGGTGGTGTGGTTGTTGTGGTGGTGTGGTTGTTGTGGTGGTGTGGTTGTTGTGGTGGTGGTGGCGTTGTGGCGCTGGTGGCGTTGTGGTGGTGACGGGGGTTGTGGTGGTGGTGTAATATGATCGCGGTGTTTACCTATCAGCGATTAGGAGGCAAATGAGTCTCAAACTCTTCATACAACGCCTCTCAGGCCCTAGTTCCTGGTGCATATTGAAAGTAAAATGACATTCGAGCTCTTTCTCGTGTGTGCGCTTGAAGCTGTGGAAAGAGGTGGCTTCCAAGACTTTAAAAAATCCACAAAATAAGTTATTTACCATAGAAGACGTTTGAGCATTTTGATAGACCTGAATATGTCCAATTTCAACGCCTCTCAAACATACTTTGTACAGAATTAAGTAAAAAAAAAAATTGTCCCCCTTCAATAAATTGCAAATTCTCTCCTCCCAGTTGTAATTTAAACTGGCCACGACATTGTGACGTTAGATAGAGAAAAAAAACAAATTTGCCTTACGCTCGGAGACGTCCTGCGCTCCTGGAGGAACTGGGCCACTTCGCTGTGAGACTTCCTTCTGGCGCAATCTTCAGCTGCCTCCTGCTGGAGGTTTTTAGAGCTGGCGTCAACGCCTTGCTGCAGCAGCCACTGTACCACCTGCAGCTGGTTGTTCTCCGCCGCCAGGTGGAGTGGGCTGGAGCCGTCTCTTGCTACAGCCTCCAGATCACACCCCTGCTTCCTCATCTCCTCCAGCAGCATCTTGTGCCCGGAGGCTGCAGCGTAGTGCACTGCGCGGCGCCCTGTGGCACAGTGACACAGTGACACAGTATACCTTAAACGCAACATATAGTGACGCAAGAGAGCAGTGGCTAACCGAAGATTTATTAATATGTAACTTTGAGGTTAAATTTACATTATTACGTAAAGGAGGTATAAGACTTTATACTCGTTAGAGTGGAGTTAGACAACTGTTGTGGAGTTCCATCCTGTGAAAGGTCAGTGGTTGTTAAAGACACCTCGATTAACGTAAGGGGACAGACTTCCTGCTAGTATTCTTCCCCTTTCCTGAGACAAGGGGGCATTATACCATCCCTAGTTTTCAAGAATTAAGAGATTATAGGTGAAACTGGGGCCAGATTCACGAAAGGACTTACGCAAGCACTTACGAACGTTTACATCTTTCCTCAATCTTTGACGGCTTTGGTTACATTTATTAAACAGTTTACAAGCATGAAAACTTGCCAATCAACTGTTGTTATTGTTATAAACAGCCTCCTGGTGCTTCGGAGCTCATTAACTGTTTAATAATTGTAAACAAAGCCGCCAAAGATTGAGAAAAGATGGACAGGTTCGTAAGTGCTTTCGTGAATCTGGCTCCTGGTCGTCAAGGTGAAATGAGGCAGCCTAGTAATATGGGCTCGTGGACACCGCAGCATTATTTAGCCTTTAACACGAATTGCAAGGATATGTGAAGGGAGGTAGTTACCTCGGTCATCCTCAGCTTCCAGAGAGGCCCCGTGGTGCAGCAGGTGACGAAGCACCTGGAGATGGTTGCTCCCAGCGGCAAGATGCAGCGGCTGGATACCTGGACACATACACGTATCACTAGCAAGAGAGACAGGTGTATCATTGGTCACTAACAAGAGAGAGAGAGAGAGAGAGAGACATATTACTCGTCATTTACTACAGATAACCACATCAATCCTGATACTCGGTACCTTTATGAATGTTAATAACTGTTCTCTGGTCAGGTAATTGCTTCTCCCAACCCCGGCTTTGGCCCATATATTCCTCTATTCGATGACCAAATCACACATTAGAAAATAGAGAAACGACAACGTTTCGGTCCGTCCTGGACCATTATCAAGACACGACTTGATAATGGTGGTGATAATTGATAATGATAATGGTTTGGTGGTCATATCTTCAGCCACGTTATGGAGACTAATCGTCTGCATGGCTTTATTCCTTCTATGTACAACCATCTATTCCCATACACCTTTAGTGGGGATGGAGGAGCAGGATAGCAATGCAGGTGACGATGATAGAGGATAATGATGGTATGATGGTGATGCATCAAGAGGCCTATGACGTGTATATGATGCTCGATGGTGAACAAGATGATGAAAATGAGAGGGATGAGGGTGGATGAAGATGACGGTGTCCAGCTATGATGGTGCTGGAGACCCACACGACCTCACCATCACTGTCCTTGGCGTCGACTCTCGCTTGGTTACGAACCAGCTCTACCACCACCTCCAGGTGTCCTGCCTCGGCGCTCAGATGCAACGCCGTTCGACCTGTCGAAGTTTTCACATAGTCTATGCTCAATTTACATTTTCTTTCATATATATCTCACTCTAATTATTTGATTTCATACACAGGTTGTCTGGAGAGGATATGAGACTTACCATTGTCGTCTTTCCTGTTGCTCTTCTCATTGACGTTGATACCGACAGATAATTGCGATTTCACGGTTGTTTTAGAGCCTCTGGCCGCTCCTTCTAGCATCGGCTGTCGTCCGTTTGACGACATATTGTTGTGGGTTGACAGTCCCGTCACCTGCGATAAGCTCGAGATGTGGATATCGCGCTCGCTCTCCCCCCCCCCTCTCTCTGTCTCTCTGTCTGTCTCTCTGTCTGTCTCTCTCTCTGTCTGTCTCTCTCTCTGTCTGTCTCTCTCTCTCTGTCTGTTTCTCTCTCTCTCTCTCTGTCTCTGTCTCTCTCTCTCTCTGTCTCTGTCTCTCTCTGTCTCTCTCTCTCTCTGTCTCTCTCTGTCTCTCTCTCTCTCTCTCTCTCTCTCTCTCTCTCTGTCTCTCTCTCTCTCTCTCTCTCTCTCTCTCTCTCTCTCTCTCTCTCTCTCTCTCTCTCTCTCTCTCTCTCTCTCTCTCTCTCTCTCTCTCTCTCTCTCTCTGAGTCACGATGACCTTCTTACCATCTGTCTGTTTCTTCGGGAATAATTTTTGAGAACTTCAGATAATTTACAAGTTAGGCCCTCTGGCAGATTAAGCCCAGTGGCAAGTTAGACTTAATGGTAACATGGGAGACTGTGGTAAGTTATGTACCACAGAAGCAAGTTAAGTTCAGAGGAAAGTTAGGGCACAACATTAAGCTACTGAAAAGTTAGCGCGAGTGGCAATTTAGGCTCTGTGATAAGTTAGGTGCAATGACGAGTTAGAGCCAGTACCAATGTAGGGACAGTCACAAGTTAGGGACGATATTAAACCAATATATAAACATTTAAACACTAATTGCACCAACAGTTATTCTACATAAACTTGACTCCATCTCCCTTTAGGAGACACTATGCATTTAGTCTAATGTAATTACAGTACAACAACAACAAAACTTTCACACTCACATTACAGTAATCTCGGGTCTGTCAGCTCCGGTGAGAAAACACACATTGATTGATTGATGAAGATTAAGCCACCCAAAAGGTGGCACGGGCATGAATAGCCCGTAAGTGGTGGCCCTTTTGAGCCATTACCAGTATCAAGAGCTGATACTGGAGATCTGTGGAGGTGCGACTGCACCCTGCGTGACGGGAGATGTTTCCCGTGTTAAAGAGGAATGATGATGATGATGAAGATTAAACCACCCAAAAGGTGGCACGGGCATGAATAGCCCGTAAGTGGTGGCCCTTTTGAGCCATTACCAGTATCAAGAGCTGATACTGGAGATCTGTGGAGGTGCGACTGCACCCTGCGTGAAAACACACAACTTGACCCCGCGTCCTATATTGATAGCCTTGATATCAGATACATCTCACTTAGTTGTAAATTATTTTCTTCTGAGATTTTAAATAGTGCTTTCAATAAATATTTTGATTTCAAACTATCGTCACTTCTAAGTGACGATAGTTTGAACGGTAGAGCGACAGGACTCGCTTCAGTGACTGGACGGTAGAGCGATGGTCTCGCTTCATGCAGGTCGGCGTTCAATCCCCGACCGTCCAAGTGGTTGGGCACCATTTCTTCCTTCCCCCCCCCCCGTCCCCATCCCAAATCCTTATCCCGACCCCCTTCCAAGTGCTATAAAGTCGTAATGGCTTGGTGCTTTCCCCATGATAAGTAAGAAGTCCTTCATTCTTGCCTGAGCTTCTGCTTTCACATTTTAGCGAGACCCTCGTGCAGTGCAGTTCATGGAAAAGCAGATTGGTTGATAAGTTCACCTGACATCTCATTTAAGCTCGAGTTATTGGCCTTCCGCTAAAATGTTAGTTTTCTCTTTTTTCTATCGCCACGTCCATGACTAACGCTCTCAAGAGCTTGCATATGGTGTAGCCCCACATAAAAGATATTGCTGATATGCTCACAGTGCAGCTTGTCACTGCCATGGTGTCTTTCGCTTATGCAAGCAGTTAATCGTTTTGCTGTGTTTACTTAGCCCATTCCACAGTCATCTTGTGGAATGGGCTACCACCCTTTCTCTCCCGTGGCACGAGTCGTCTGAGGAATATTTCCTTGACCTCTGGCATTCATTTGCCCTTTTCTCGGATCAGAAAAAAGGAGATTTAGTGAGACAATGAAAGGGCTTAACCCAGATATCAGTACCATTGAGGTCCGTCGATATGTCTGAAAGAGTTCCAAGGATTGACCAGCAACATCTCTGAAGAGTGAGGCCGGACCCGGTTGCAGAGCCGCAGATAAAAAGAGTGTTACAGAGATAGTACGTCAGTGCACGACACATCCTTATGGTTACATCTTTCTTGGGTAATTTAGAATATTAAGGCAAAGGCATACCCTGGATAACAAATTTAACGATCCCTGAACTCTAATCACAAAATTACAAACAAATATTTAGTTTTTAAAACTGGTTCAGATTGTTTTTGGGAACTAATATTCTAATATTCTAATATATAATAATAATACTAATAAACTAATATTAATATTTTGGGAAAATAATATTCTCGAATCCACAAATTCCCACGATCAAACACACAAGAATTCTTTCAAATACACACACACACACACACACACACACACACACACACACACACACACACACACACACACACACACACACACACACACACACACACACTCACATGGGTTCGTTCGAACGCACACAACAGCAATCAAACATGACATTTTTTTCCCACTTGCATTATGCTCGATCGAATACGCCGCTAGCTTGTCCCCTATGATCCCATGCGCCCACCTCGACTCACCGAACACTTGGTACCTCCACCTCGACTCACCGAACACTGGGTACCTCCACCTCGACTCACCGAACACTGGGTACCTCCACCTCGACTCACCGAACACTGGGTACCTCCACCTCGACTCACCGAACTCTGGGTACCTCCACCTCGACTCACCGAACACTGGGTACCTCCACCTCGAATCACCGAACACTGGGTACCTCCACCTTGACTCACCGAACACTGGGTACCTTCATCTTGACGAGACGCGATACTCCTCGACTCCTCAGCGGGTGAGTGATAGCACCAGCAAACAGTCAAGAGATAAGATAACAGACAACCAAACTGCATTCTCTGCTATGAATTATTTACGAATTGCCAAAGAAAAAATATCATTCAAACGCTGGAAGTGAACAACCATAGAGTAGAACAGAGAACAAATTTTATGCAGACTTGCGTTGAAGAGTGTGGAACTAACAGCGAAGTCTAAGACTGGATGACTCCGTCTTTCGCACGGAAATGATTCTTATCGCTCGGTCCACATCGTTCTGATAAGAGGCTCTTCACTACGAACGCCTGAGCTCCTCTAACAGCGCTTGTGATGGTTGAGTTCCAACAGTCCCAGAATATGGTACGGGGGCGGGCCCTGAAATAGCCTAAATACAGGTTTCCTGTGCAGTGTCCGACTGTACAACGGGGGTACAGTGTCATTTTGTAGGAAATGTGTTGTTGATACAGTGTATTTATTATTTGTGCCTGGAGGATCGAGCTCTTAGTTCTTGGACCCCGCCTTTCTAACCGTTAGTTTGTCTAAAGTTCTAACTCCTGGCTTGATTTCCTCTCATATCTGTTGTATATACTTCTCTCTAACAGATACACATATCCCCAGGAAGCAGCCCGTAGCAGTTATCTAATTCACAGGTTCCTATTTACTGCTAGGTGAACGGAGGCATCAGGATGCGAGAAACTCTGCCCAGTTGTTTCTGCCTTGGTTGGGGATCAAACCCGTCCCTTGGGATTACGACCGTTGAGCGTTCTCCACTCGGCCATGTGTGAAACACACATTGTATGTATGTAATTACCCAAGTGTAAATTACCTAAGTGTTGTTACAGGATGAGAGCTACAATCGTGGTGTCCCGTCTTCCCAGCACTCTTTGTCATATGTACCCACCTATTTGTGCTTGCGGGGGTTGAGTTCTGGCTCTTTGGTCCCGCCTCTCAACTGTCAATCAACTGGTGTACAGGTTCCTGAGCTTACTAGACTCTATCTTATCTACACTTGAAACAGTGTGTTTGTGTGTGTTTGTTTTGTATTCACCTCGGTGTATTCACCTAGTTGTGCTTGCGGGGGATGAGCTCTGCTCTTTCGACCCGCCTCTCAACTGTCAATCAACGATCATTTTTTCCACCCCCCCCCCCCCCCCCAGGAAACAGCCCATAACAGGTGTCTAACTCCCAGGTACGTATTTACTGCTAGGTGAACAGGTACATCAGGGTGAAAGAAACTCTGCCCATTTGTCTCCTCATAGTCGGGGATCGGTCCCCGGTCCCCAGATTGCGAGTCCCGAGTGCTGTCCACTTAGCTACCAGGCTGAGTGGACGAATTCCGCTCAGCTACCAGACGCCCCTTTGTGTGTGTGTGTGTGTGTGTGTGTGTGTGTGTGTGTGTGTGTGTGTGTGTGTGTGTGTGTGTGTGTGTGCGCGCGCGCCTCGGTTTTATAATCATAATTTATCTCAGATAAACTGTTATCGTTATCAACCAGTGATCCCTAGGACGCCCAACGTGCCTTCATTAGCTATGACATATAGGACACAGACACACTAAGAATCACCGAAGCAAACATACCTGTCCGAAAAACAAACAGACGTGGGCCTAAAAAAAACACGTATGTGTGTAAAACAAACACTCGGATCGAAGTACCGTACATTGAAACGGATTGTAAGCCAACGTGCGAAATCAGGCGTTTGGAAACGTGCCCATGCAACAGGAACGTAGATGCGCATTCGCTCAAACACACATGAAAACTGCCCTACAAGCACATACGCAGTTATTCATAGCGATGCGTATACCCGTACAGATAAATGCAGACAGAAATATACATCTATTCAAGCGCATAAATAATATATAAGCATTCACCCATACACACATGCACACACTCAAGAAAGTATATCCATACTAAGATACACATGAAGCAAATCACAGGGTTTGAGTCGGGACCAAAGAGCTGAAGTTCAACCATTTGCAAGCACAATTAGGTGAATACAAAGTATGCACTCATGCAAAATCATATATTTATACAAGGGGCATATACAATGTATGCGCCTATATAAATACAAAGAAATACACCTATACAATTGAATACACTCATACAAAGGCATCCCCTCTCATATTTATACATGAGCAAGGCATAGTCACATAAAAAGACATACATGCATACAGTCCACCCCCCTCCCCCCCCACACCCCCACTGCACCAATATTTATTTTGCTTCAAAAACTTACGGCAATAAGATAACCAACACATCGAGCAGATAACGTATGATCATTATCTATGTAACTGCCTCAAGACAGACGTAAATTGCTCGGGGTTAGAGAATATTGTGGCCCAGTTCTTGAACCAACTGTGCTCTTTAATTAAGACTGTTTATATATATAATTATATATATATATGTATATATATGGTGTGATTATATATAGGTGTATATATAGGTATATATATATAGGTGATTTGGTAAAAATGCTATGCCCAAGATTACTATCCGAGTGCCGGCGGTGGGGTGGTTCAAATAGCCTCGGCTATCACCTCATTTTGTCCGGTCGTGATGGTCAAGTGGATTAAGGCGTCTTGTACATACCAGTTGCGTTGCTTCTGGGAGTATGGGTTCGAGTCACTTCTGGGGTGTGAGTTTTCAGTTGCATATTGTCCTGGGGACCATTCAGGCTTGTTCGCATATATATATATATATATATATATATATATATATATATATATATATATATATATATATATATATATATATATATATATATATGCACCTTTTACTGTGTAACTAGCTTATGTAGATTATCTGATTGGCTAAATGAATTTTGGGGTTCATTTCCTGAGCCCATCATGTGCTTCTTTAACCTTTACCCACTACCGCCCATGGGATGGGTATGGGGTCCACTACCGCCCATGGGATGGGTATGGGGTCCACTACCGCCCATGGGATGGGTATGGGGTCCACTACCGCCCATGGGATGGGTATGGGGTCCACTACCGCCCATGGGATGGGTATGGGGTCCACTACCGCCCATGGGATGGGTATGGGGTCCGCTACCGCCCATGGGATGGGTATGGGGTCCACTACCGCCCATGGGATGGGTATGGGGTCCACTACCGCCCACGGGATGGGTATGGGGTCCACTACCGCCCATGGGATGGGTATGGGGTCCACTACCGCCCATGGGATGGGTATGGGGTCCACTACCGCCCACGGGATGGGTATGGGGTCCACTACCGCCCACGGGATGGGTATGGGGGTCCACTACCGCCCATGGGATAGGTATGGGGGTCCACTACCGCCAAGAAAATGGCCATTAGGTGCATAATAAATGAAATAAAAGACGAACCACGAGCAGCCCCACATTGCTGGGGGCAACATACTGTATCTAACATAGGGAAAGGTTTTAATATTTAAGCCAATTGACCGAACAGGATTGTTAATACTGCAATCTACCTTTCTTTCTATTACAGCAAACTTCTGGATCAAGGTAGAGGCTGTGTATATTTTATATATATATTATTTTACAATTTCCCAGTGTAATATAATTGATTGATAAAGATTAAGCCACCCAAGAGAGCAAAATAATTATTATGGTCTGATCTTATCAGCAAAGACTGAGGACTTCGTTATCATGTCGCCAGCGTTGAGATAGACGGAACTGCAGTATTGTGATAGTTCCCACCAGTGTTGTGGCGTTCTGCTTGTAATTATCAAACTGTGATGGAAACTGCGGACGATGGACGATGAGGAAGTACAGATGGATTCTTTTTGGGGAGAGATAATGGTGAGTTTAGTGTTGGGTTTAAGGCCTATCTATCATCCGCTGGAAGGGTGTTACGGCCACCACAATAGCTGGCTGATCCATCAGCAAGTATAATTTAGTTCCGAACAGAGTCCAGAATTAAAGTAAACTCGATGTATATAAATCGATTAATGGGGTAAACCCCCATTAATCGATTAATGGGGTATATATCCTTTGTTGTTGTGAGAGGTATGTCTTGGCTGACACTCCACTCCCCGAACCCCACTACTAACATCCTGTCAACAGTGCAAATGTTTTAAAGAATTAATTGTTTCCTGGTCCTCTTCACCTGTTTTTCTAGGTACCACTAAATGTAGAATATGATGACCAAACCACACAACAGAAGATGGAGGAACGACACCGTTTCGGTCCGTTCTGGAACATTCAACAGTCTCCGTGGTGTAGTGGTAAGACACTCGCCTGGCGTTCCGCGAGCGCTATGTCATGGGTTCGTATCCTGGCCGGGGAGGATTTACTGGGCGCAATTCCTTAACTGTAGCCTCTGTTTAACGCAACAGTAAAATGTGTACTTGGATGAAAAAACGATTCTTCGCGGCAGGGGATCGTATTCCAGGGACCATAGGATTAAGGACTTGCCCGAAACGCTACGCGTACTAGTGGCTGAACAAGAATGTAACAATTCTTGTATAGATCTCAAAAAAACCGTGTGTGATGGTCCAGGACGGACCGAAACGTCGTCATTTCTCCATCTTCTGCTGTGAGTTTTAGTCATCATATCTTCAGTCACGTTAATGTAACTCATCGACGAAATGTATAATACTTAATAGTGGCTAAGCTAATTGTTCAAGAGGTCACTTAACGACCACTGAAAGGCCAGTACTTAAACTGCTAGGGTAGATATTTGAAGTTATATAAAAGTTAACCAAGAGCAACTGATGACCTGTCTGGACATCATTTTTATGTTGTTTTTGTTGTTTAAGATTCAGCTACTGGGAACAAAAAGTTCCAAGTAGCACGGGCTATGGTGAGCCCGTATTAGACTTACCTGGCACAGGAGCGGGGCTGTAACTGCATCCTTTTTTTTTAAGCTCTTGCATTAATACTAATACAGAATCAGCATCCGGGTGAGATGAACCTGGAGGCGGTGACGAGTGCGCTGCAGCAGGGAGCTCCTGTGGATGGAGACGAAGGGGCCCTTCTGACGCCCCTTCAGCACGCAGCACACACTTCCAACCTCCGCCTCGCCCGGATCCTCTGTGATTTCAACGCCAGCCTGGAACTCCCAACCAGATTACACGAAGGTAACTCCTTCGGGAATGTGTGAAATCATATATACCTTTATTGAGGTAAAATACACACAAAGGGATGAGGTAGCTCAAGCTATTCTCACCCCGTTCAGTACAACGTGTTAGTACATACATAGACACACATCACAAACAATAAACCTGTTACCTGTATCCCATTATTGAACCTCGTATATGAGTTAATGAACAAATATGTAAATTTCTCAGATCTGATCTTAGATTATTTACTTGGTTAAGCAGGATGTACAGCAATGCACTTAGCTACGCGGGCAGGAAACGAGGCTATGGTGCTGCTGCTGGTGGCCATGGGTGCCCGAGTCGACGCCAAGGATGATAGAGGTAAATTAAAGCAGTTTACGGTATGAACTTTTAATTCCAACATTTACTGGAAAAGAAAACGTTCGTTTATGACAGGCAAGACTCTTCACTCGTCCATGTGGTCACAATTGTTCTGCTCATTATTGTTGTATCATTGTACCGTTTAATTACTGTTCACTGTATCACTATGTTATTTTCATCCATTTTACCATTTTTTTAGCTTACAGGCGCCACTGTATTTTTTTTTTATTTATTATTTTCTACCCCAAACGTGGCCACACATTTACAATGCTAAGCAGCATATATACATTATCTTCTGTCCTCCATGGACAGGGTTAGAGATCTATTAAACATATTGTTCAGTGATTTATTGAACAATCAACCACAGAAGATGATTGTAGTGCTTTTAAAAGGTTAATCAAGCCTACATACATAAATGCACAGAGTCGCTGTTGTGGTAGGAAAGAGTCGTGGTTTCATCAATTACGCAAGTACTTACAAACCTGTACAGCTTTTTTCCGTCTTTGGCGGCTTTGTTTACATTTATTACACAGTTTGAGCTACGGAGCACCAAGAGGCTGTTTATAACAACACCATTTGATTGGGAAGTTTCGATGTTTGTAAACATCGCTAGAAATTGAGAAAAGATGTGCAGGTTTGTAAATATTTGCGTAACTGCTTGATGAATCCTGGGTTAACCCAGCCGCTTGACTAATAGCAGGCTGAAGGGGAAGTCTTGGTCCTGGGAAATCGCCGTGGTGCAGAGTTCTATCTTCATTCTTGTAGGGTATCTTCTTTCCTCTTTTGGTGTCGTCATTCTTGGTGGTGTTGGCTCTCCTGCTAGTGCTGCTTCGTCTGAATCTTTTTTTCTGCTTCGCTGGACTCCTCGTAGTCACGCTGCTGGAATTATCATAACCGTCTGGTTAAAGTTGGTAGTATTGATAAGGTCTGAATGAAGAATGACGGTATCGCAGACCTGGAAGATTGTTTGGGATTAACTGGCATCGCTTTTTCACACGCTGGATCAATTTCGTTATCTTGCTTGTGTTTTTCAATAAAGACTGTGCTGGAGATTCTTCTGTTTTCTGGTGTTCCTTGAATTCCCTGGAGTATTTTTTATATTCGAGATCTTTGAATATGTGGATCCTCGATCTTCGCATAATAAAAATTATGCCTTGGGTGTCATAATTTTTGTATGTGGCTACTTGATCGGTAGATGTGGTGGATACATCAGTGTCATCCACTCGTATTTCGTCATCAAATGAAGTGAAGTCGTCGTTATCAGAAACCTCGGTTCCTGCAGCTGGTTTGGTGACTGGTGGTGCAGACGTTGAAGTTGCAAAGTTGCAGATGTAGGTGGTTGAGGCTGAGTTGCAAGGGTGACAGGATCAGCTGAAAGATCTGTGGGATCTGTAATCTCAGCAGACGGCATTGCTGGAGCAAGAAGCTCTGCTTTGCAAGTTTCAGGAAGTGCTGTTTTTTGCAAGTATTGTAGATTATCTGATGAGCTGTTGCTAGAACAGGAGGTTCTGGGGTCGATGGTGCGGTTTCAAGAGAAGTAAACAAATTATCTTGTATATAGACGGCTGGCAATCCCTGTCCAGCAAGTAAACTGTTGATTGTCATGAAGATCAGTTTGTTGATGGACCCAGCAATCCTTTTCGCAAGGTGAAGTAGTACAAGAACTGTACAGTTGTTTGGTTGGTGGTAGAGTAGGATTCTGGCTGTGGCTTCCCCAGGGAGTAGGCCGTAGTGTGATAGCACCATTGCTTGTTAAAGCTCGAAACATTTCTGGCTGCATGTTGTAGGATGTTGACGGTCGAGTGGTGGTTGAAACTTGTCTGTCGCCAGACAAGTTTCTGGATCTCTGTTTTTGTGATCGGGCATTCAGGTAAAATTACTATGTGTGCTTTATCACAGAGTATGTACCGTTTGTGCAGCACATTGCAGTTATTGTAGTTGTGATCGAGGGAACAGATGCTACACTTTCCCCTCTAGCAGGGTACACTTCTGGGTGTAGTGGTCGCATCTGTAGCGCTTGTAGCATTGCCGAAGTTGAAAGAACCTCTCTTTCGTTACTTGGTTGACTAAATATCAGAGTATTTGAATCCATTGTTTATAGAGAGGGTAGCTTTCATTAGCAAAGTTGAAGGTAAGCCTCAGTGTCGGTCGCTCGTGGCCTTCACTCTCAAAGATTTTTTCTGAAACCGCAATTGGTGCAGGATTTTGGGTTTTGATGTTATCGATGATGTCGACAGTAGGCCGGTCGGGGAGATAGAGGTGCTGAGGCGCCTAACAAAGACGATCCTCTCTGCCAGGTATCGTCGTAAAGGAGGGAAATAATGCTAAGTTGGCTTCATTTTGCTCGCTCAGGAGTGAAGGCGTCTGAAGTGCTTCCTCTCTACAGAACAGGAGTTGGGCGCCATTGCTGACTTATTTCATGTCACTCGGTGCAACTTCAGTGATGCTGCCAAGAATGCAGAGTATTTCCTTCCTGGTAAAGGTATCGGTTCCTCGAAACTGCACCTTAATTTTGTGAACTATGGTACCTGTTAACTTGAACCGTGAAAGAATTGATGAAGATTAAGCCACCCAAGAGGTGGCACGGGTATGAATAGCTCGTAAGTGGTGGCCCTTTTGAGCCATTTCCAGTATCAAGAGCTGATACTGGAGATCTGTGGAGGTGCGACTGCACCCTGCGTGACGGGAGATGTCTCCCGGACCAAGTGGTGACCAGATGGTGTTGAACCGTGGGCGAGAACTAATGCTGGAGCAATTCAGCTGCTGCCCACCTCAACGGCCCGCAATAGCAATGGAAGATTAGGTTGCTCTCTCACTTTTCGTAGAGATTGCCTACACTGTCATTTATATTTGGACCACATGGTTTTTTCGATTCAGCTACACGAAACTATAAATTCCGTGCAGCACACGCAATTATAATCTAGTCAACTTTTACTTCTTAAAACGGTTATTGTTAAAAATCCGTTATTTTGAACAAAAAGTTCTAAGTAACACGGGCTATGGTGAGCCCGTAGAGGACTTTTCTTAAATGTTGTTGTTTAACATTCGCTACCTGGAACAAAAAGTCCCAAGTAGCACGGGCTTTGGCGAGCACGTAGTAGACCCTTCTTACAACACCAGTAATACTTTAATTTGATACTACTGTGTACAATAAGCTTAGAGTATTACTGTGCCATATTATTATTCTTAGTATTCCTCACTATCACTTTAGGATAATATCACCATTATTTTGCCATAATATTATTATTACTTTATTACTTCATTCCTATTATCTACTATAATATCACTATTTGTGTGTGGCAGTATTTACATAGAACTAAGTGTAATATTTTCTCGCAGGACGAACACCGCTACACTTTGCTGCAGAGGCTGGTCATAACGATATAGTGGACCTCTTGCTTAGTTACGGAGCTCCCGTTGACGTCAAGGATGCAGCAGGTATATAACGACTACCTTTGTTTACAATTTGTTGCAAACTCTGACAACCAATTGTCTGCTGTCAGTGTCTGTTGCAAACTACTTACAGCTTGAACCCCTGTTTGCAACAAAAGTTCAAGATGCAAACTTTAACTATCCCTCATTATCTAATGTTTACATCAAAGACGCAGAGGTAAGCTCCGTTTAATATTTTATTTCCTGTGACATCTGTTCAGTCCTCTCATTACTCTAAGATGCACTATTTCCTTATTCTAAGTTTAGGGCTCTATAGTAAGTTATGGGTTTGTCTTTTTCATACGTAGACGATTTCTTTAAGTTTCACGCTGCCTGCATGCTGTATCTTGACTGGAGAAACTTTATTTCTGTTATATATTTTTTCTATATAAATATTTTATCGACGATCGTTCACATCTAACTTGTTTTTGTATCTGATACTGTTAGATTAAGTTAGTTTAGAAAAACTTAAGAGGCTTTTTATTCGAATTAATTTATGGCAGATTGACTGTGGTATTTGGGACAAACCACTGCAACCTTAAAGTTAACCAGGGCTTAGTATTCTTATCAGTGTGTCTACAGGTAATTTTATTTCTGTAATCTGTGGCATACTCTTGAATATCTTATCTCAGGTACTATCTGCACTACACTACCTTTATGCACTACATAATTTAACACAAATATTGTTTCCAATTTTTTTCCACCCACTTGGGCTGGACGGTAGAGCGACTGTCTTTCTTCATGTAGGTCGATGTTCAATCCCCGACCGTCCAAGTGGTTGGGCACCATTCCTTTCACCCGTCCCATCCCAAATCCTTATCCTGATCCCTTCCAAGTACTATATAGTCGTAATGCCTTGGCGATTTCTCCTGATCCCTTCATTCCCAATTATTTAATTTTATGTTTACTTTTATATTCCATATTGTAACTTTTCCAAAATTGTATTATGATACACTGTTTTTGCATTATAAATATTTTTTGATCGACTTCTGAGTTTTGGTTACACGTCAGGTTCTTAGTTTACCTCTGAAGAGGTGCAGGTGAAGAAAACAGTTTTGGAAATGTGGTATATAGAGTAAGTTATGACAGCAGGCGGGCTGCCCGCCTTTCTGACTTGCTTACCTATCTATGTTGGAGAATTTACACACAGCGACCACCTAACAACGGGTTACTTTAGGGGTAACTTTTTGAGCCATAAATGTTTTAACCGGACGAAATAATGTGTATGGCCCTCTCTCATCTCTGTATATAATAGTTATATATTTCCATACTAATATGTGTAATATCTATACTTATAAATCTGAATGTATCTGAGGTTGGGGCCAAACACTGGCCCCCAACTGTTGGGAATTGGATTAGAAGTTAGACGACTTCAAATTCTTTTGTACAGTCAGTGTGGCCTAGTGGTAACAGTACTGTACACCCCAAGGGGCATGGAGCCCTGGGTTCCAATCCTTCAGAGGTAAAGAGTATTTGATGCCAACTCAACCCACCTATTACGTACCTAACAGCAATTACTTGGACAAACATTTCCAATTATAAATGGCAAACACAAAAATACAGTCAACGTAAGTGCCCAACACTAATTGTAAATACTTAGGAAGCATTGATTTTGAACCTGCAAACACTGATCTATAGAAAGAATAAAACTGTGGTAGATGAGGCTTATTCTCTTTGTTTACTAATAAATAGGTCTCAACCTCTCCTCTCGAATAGTACATCTTTTTTTTAAGTAAAAATCCCAAACGTAAAAATATGATATACTATAAATCATAGCGGCTCGCTAAATTGACGACTGTCACGTTTCCTATTCATGGAGTTATCGGTTAAGTTCGGGCAAATTGGTTCATCATTTTTTTGATGTGGCAACTCGAGAGGCCGTGTAAATAGTTAACATTATTCACATTAAAGTTTAACATGGAATTTATCCTTAGTCTAAGGTATCGTAAGTAACCGCTTAAATAAATTGTTACGAAAATATAATCACCCGGTTCTTAAATCCTAATTACTTGAGTGTACCATAATTATAATTTTGACTCTTTTTATGCATTCAAATGAGTACTTCTCAGCATTTAGAGTCAAAAACGAATTTTGAATGTTGCAAATAAACATTATTAATTTGTAGATTATCGTTCTTGTGCTCTAAACGTCCTAGCATAATTATACAATTGGCATGAAACCCTATTTAATATGCTATCCGCAGTAGATTTATTTATATCAAAACAGTATATTTAATATATGTAGAATAAATCATTTAAATAAAATTTTCACGCCTTTTCAAAAGAGGTTAATTAAAAGTTATTAATAGTAGTACTTATGTAACGTATTGGAAAATGAATGAGGAAAGAAATGAAGTAATGGGTGAGTTTGGGGTAGAGAGGTGGATCATCATTGAAGTTCGAACTTAATAGCCAGAGTTGCCTAAGAAGACGAATTTTCCTGAAATATTTTTTTTTCTAATGGAATGATGATTTTTCGTTGTATTATATATTAAAAAAAAAATTATATGAATCAAAATTAACATGGAAATATGAAGAAACCTAACCTACCCAACCTAACTTAATCAAATAAGTCCTAACTAAACATAACAAAATTAGGAAAATAATTTATATTCCAAATATAAAATAATATTGTCATAGTAGAACTGATTTGAAAAGAACGAAAATCGCTCTTCCTGTTAAGCAAATCAGACCTTGCTATGATCGATTTGAACCATTTCTAAAAAAATATATGCATGTCAGTAACCTTTTGCAATCTTATAAACAAAGTGTTAAAATAATCCAAATTATAATGGTCTAATCCAAGTATTACAATATTATAAATTCATACGTAATAAAATATAGAAAATTATTTTGAAATTTTATATGATTATGAATCACGGAAAATAAGTCCTATGGCACATTGGCCAGCGAGTTCGAGTTCAATTCCCATGGCAGTAGAGAAGCGTTTGAGTACCGTTTCCTTTCCCCTGATGGTCTGTTCGCCAAGAAGTAAACAAGCACCCGTAATTCAGATATCGATGTTGGGTCGCATCCTGAGACTAGTCGATAGCTGGCCTAGAGGGATCTCAGTAATCCTAACAGACTATTAATCCCAGACCATTCGAAACCCCCAGAGTAATAAATCACAATGGAACATTACATTATAACGACATAGGAAAATATTCGACCTGAGATAGATACGCAGTTGATCGGAGAGACCTGTCAAGTAGCAGCATTGAAGCACATACTTTACAAGGGTACAGAAATGAAAACTGATGAAATTAGGATCTGGCTTGCAAAGGCCAATAGGCCTACTACAGTGCACTTTTCATCTAACGTTCATACAGATTGACCAGTGTGTTGCAAAGCAACTAGCAGCAATAATTACTAGTAAGTTCTAATATAATAATTCTGCAAAAATTATCAGATTATCTGATCAAGGAATTCCCCAGAGCAACATATTTCCGGTTTGAGGATAACATTACATTCCCTCTTGTCGTTACTGATAAGGTCGCCCAGATAGGTTAAGTGCTTGTTTATACTGATGAAACAATCAGTAAAATAGGTTTTGGTGTATTTGATTACGACTTTCAGCCTCTTAGATGCAGTGACCATATTTTCTGAATATTGCATATCATTGACATGTTCAATTGTATATATCAGTTAGCTGTTGCAAAGTCTCAACACGGGCAGGAAGGCGTGCCATACCTTCAATATAGCTTTGATTGTTAACACAAGCAATTTATAATTGAAAACAGCTGCAGAATCTAAGAAGCATGAGAACTCCGACGACCCTTTCTCTTTTGAGTTATGTGGTTACTTATAGTCCTCAGGATTTAGAATATGCATATCTTTGCACTAAGTTTTAAGTATGTTGTTAAGCGTAGATATTTTTTTTAGTATATGATTACTTAGTTAATTTAGCTTTCGATCATCATCAGAATACTAGTATTCTTACTGGTTGGTAAGTAAGCCATTTCGGTTGCCTTAATAACCCTCTAATAGCTTATAGGTGTAAACCCAACACCAAACCAAATCTTGTGTAAACCGAAATTGGGTGATTGTAGTTAATCCAGGATCAGAATTGTTAAACATTTGATTCCGTTGGGGTAATTGCTACAAGAATTAAATTTTATTTATTTTGTTGGATCTATTGTATTTGGTGTATTAACAACCTCAGCTCATTAGCACATGAATCTGGGTCAGCAAAATGTTAGCAAAGTACAGAACACACTAGACCATGCATTAAGGCTTTTATTAAAGGGTCTAAGTCAGACGATATCTATGAAAAATTATGTAAGGTATGTTTGCTTCCGGGGTTTTAATATAGTTATCACTGTACATGAATGAACACAAGAGTTGATAACGTACGATCGAAATGACTGTCCATAATTACAATGTCTTATGAGTAAGAGTACGTAGCATCTGGCTCACATTATAAAAGTTAATTTTGTTGTTTAAGTAGCTGATACTGCTACTCGTATACCATTGAAATTAAATAATGAAAGAAACAGAGTGTGTGTATGAGAAAAACACAAAATAGTTATACCAATTAAATACATAATCATTCTGTTCTCGGACAGGCCATACTCCTGTCCTGTACGCCGCGAGGGAAGGCCACACACACACTCTAAAGACACTGATCGACCATGGCTGTAGTCTTCACACCCTTGACCAAGATGGAGCGACGCCGCTCCACCTGGCGGCCGAGCGAGGTCACCTGCGCACCGTATGCATGCTCCTGGTGAGCGGTGTTTCGCCTGACATTGAGGACAACAACCGGTGCAAGGCCGAGGACCGAGCACTCCGCAGGGGATGGACTGTGGTGGTAGACTTGCTACAGCACCCACAGGACGCCGGCGACATCTTGGTCAGTATGATACGAGTCAATTTGATGTAAAATACTGGGGCCAGATTCACGAAAGCACTTACGCAAACACTTACGAACCTGTACATCTTTTTCTCAATCTTTGGAGGCTTTGTTTCCAATTATTAAACAGTTAATGAGCTCGGAAGCACCAGGAGGCTGTTTATAACAATAACAACAGTTGAATGGGAAGTTTTCATGCTTGTAAACTGTTTAATAAATGTAACCAAAGCCGTCAAAGATTGAGGAAAGATGTACACGATCGTAAGTGCTTTCGTGAATCTGGCCCCTGGTGTCTTAATTCATGGTGGCTGTCTCAGCTTATACACTCTTTCAATAATGATAGTCCTACAACAACTGTTTGGTTAAATGTATAAAAATGGACTGTTGGATCCCAAAAAATTCACGAATTGAATTGTTGAGTTAGCCCAAATGGCATACTAGAAAATGGAAAAGCAGCTAGGCTGCTAGAGAACCTAATCTGTCCAAAGCAATCCTAGGCCCATTATTCGTTATCTTAGGCCTAATTTAGCTCATATCTGTGCTATACTAGGCCTAGAAATGTTTACTTTGACTTTTGGCTTATTTTCTCATGCCCATCTCCAAATTCAGTAATACAAAACGTGAACATTTTACAAAACAGTCACACTTTGTACTTTCGACTAAATAGTTGCTTTTAAGTACTATCTTTTTATGAATAATTGCACTTAATTCCTGCATTAAATGTTCGGGGGTATCAATTACGATTGTGTGTATATGTGTACTCACCTTGTTGTGCTTGCGAGGGTTGAGCTATGGCTCTTTGTGTGTGTGTGTGTGTGTGTAATTACTATTTGTTTCTGCAGAATCGAGCTATTAGCTCTTGGACCCCGCCTTCTAACCAATTTATTTTCCCTCTATTATGTCTACTACATATATATTTCTCTTGTACTCGTGTACACACACACACACACACACACACACACACACACACACACACACACACACACACACACACACACACACACACACACACACACACACATCCCCAGGAAGCGGCCCATGGCAGCTGTCTAACTTCCTGGTGCCTATTCACTGCGAGGTGAACAGGTGAAGCGCATCAGGGTGAAATAAACTTTGCCCATTTGTTTCTGATTTCCCCTGGTAATCGAACCCGGACCCTAAGGACTATGACCCCCCGAGCGCTCTCCACTCAGCCGCGAGGCCCCCTATTTGGTCAGTATTTGTGTGTGTGTGTGTGTGTGTGTTAGTGCCATGCAGTGAAGATAGCGTTACACAACCAGTAGAATGCCATCAAACCGCAGAATTTTCTTTTGCTTCAGGAGCAATTTGCACTTGAGGAGAGAGCTGGAGGCGGCGATGAAGACGACAACCTCCTAGACAGCCTGGACGTTCGTAGCGAAGTCAGGGGCTATCTAAAACCTGATGACCGAACCGCTAGTGGAATGGAACCCGAGTTATCAGCTTTTGATGACAACACGAGAGTTGAGCCTTCATCTGCGTCCTTCGTTGATATTGATGTGGATCCAGAAGCTTCAGGTCTTGCAGAAGCTATTAATAAAATAAGATTAGTTCCTTTGGCAGCTCTTGATGATAATGGACCGGAATCCTTGGCTCCTCCTGCTTTTGATAATAACAATGACTCAAGAATGTCTTTTCTCCCTACTGCTGATGTCAAGCGTGTTGCCGAAAGTTGTATAGAACAAGAGTATTCGTATCCTGCTGGTGGTGATGATAAAAGCCCAGATCTCCTGAGGTTTGATGATAGAGATGATGGTACTTGCAAAGAATCCTCAGCTTCTTCGGCTGTTGGGGATAGTTTAGAAGCAGGGTCCTCGATTAGCACTTGTGGGGCTGGAAATATAGAACAAAGATCCTTACCTATTGCTAGAGGTGACAGTATGGAAGCACAGACTCTGTGTTTTTCCAGCGGTGATGATGGTATGGAACCAGAGCCTTCATGTCTTTCCAGCGGTGATGATGGATTGGAACAAGAGCCTTCGTGTCTTTCCAGCGGTGATGATGGATTGGAACAAGAGCCTTTGTGTCTTTCCAGCGGTGATGATGGATTGGAACCAGAGCCTTCGTGTCTTTCCAGCGGTGATGATGGATTGGAACAAGAACATAATGATGGTTGTAGCGTTAACACCGAGCCTAATCGTTCATCTGCTTTTGGTGGTGGATGTGTTGTGGAGCAACAGTCTCCAGCTAATACTTATGACTCTTGTACTACTGGAGATCCTCCAGGTAGAGGAAGTGGGGACCCAGGCCTCAACTTAGACAACATTAGGCCATCCAAACAGGATTTAAACAAAAAGGTAAGAAATTGGGAATTGTCATCTGTTGATAGTGTTTTTGTCATTATTACTTTTATCCGTTCTCCAATTTCATTATCTGAGGAGAATTCGGAATATAATAAGTGGCTCAGAAAGGAAGGGTTATGTTGCGAGAGATCACATTAGGGACATCGTTGACACTAACACACTCATTATCATCACCGAGGACGGCTTGGGGCTGTACTCTGCAGTGTACCAATATATATATATATATATATATATATATATATATATATATATATATATATATATATATATATATATATATGTATATGTCGTACCTAATAGCCAGAACGCACTTCTCAGCCTAATATGCAAGGCCCGATTTGCCTAATAAGCCAAGTTTTCATGAATTAATGTTTTTTCGACTACCTAACCTAACCTATTTTTTTCGGCTACCTAACCTAACCTAACCTATAAAGATAGGTTAGGTTAGGTTAGGTAGGGTTGGTTAGGTTCGGTCATATATCTACGTTAATTTTAACTCCAATAAAAAAATTGACCTCATACATAATGAAATGTGTAGCTTTATCATTTCATAAGAAAAAATTAGAGAAAATATATTAATTCAGTAAAACTTGGCTTATTAGGCAAATCGAGCCTTGCATAGTAGGCTGAGAAGTGCGTTCTGGGTACTAGGTACGACATATATATATATATATATATATATATATATATATATATATATATATATATATATATATATATATTATTGGTACTCTGGGGCCATTGGTACTTGTTATAATATTTATGATGTAAGGCAATCACTAATTACATCCATTGTTCTGTGTCAGCTGTTAGCAGCGGCGGCGGAGGGACTGGTGAGGGAGATGGAGTTAATGGTGGAGCGTGGGGCCGACCTCTCCAGCACCAGCACCAACCCTGGCGAGGAAGGTCAGTCTACACCCGCTCCTCTACACCTAAAACTACATCTACCAGACTTAGAATACACATTTTACCCGTCACTATATCTGAGAGCTCACCCGAAACACTGTTGTCCGCTAGACTTAGTGTGATATTACAGTACAGTCACTACAATCACGCCACCTTTACACCCAACCTACCGTCACAGTCTTCTTACCACAACACCCTACTAATTACAGTATTCTCCAAGTCATCAGTAACCTCCATACTCTCCACAGGGCTGCAGGCGCTTCACCTGGCGTGCTGGGGCGGCCACACCGAGGTGGTGGCGAAGCTCCTGGATTATGGTGTCGACCCCAGAGCTGTGGCAGCTGGTGAGACAGAGGTGTATCCTGTATCTCGGTGTTTATACAATGAGAATACACCTACTGGTTCACTAGTAAGCGTGTGTAGCAGTGATAACTATTCTGCTGCTCATACTCTCGTATCAATCCGTCAGGTCGCGAGGGTGTTCACTGGGCAGCATTTGGGGGTCACGTGACCGTGTTGCGACTACTGAAGGAGCGAGGGTGTGACGTCACTGCTGCTTCCACCCCGGACGGGTCGACACCACTCCATCTGGCGGCCGACAACGGCAACCTGGACGCTATCCGCTGGCTGGTCCAACATGGGGTTAAGATCCATGCCGTCGACGGCATGGGACGCACTGCACTGGAACTGGCTCAAGCTTCCAGAGCCAAGCTTGTGGTAGATTATCTGGAACGTAAAAGTGATGAGGTTAGTTCTGGCAAAATACAGAAGTTAGTTTTAGTTTAGTCCATGCATTATGAACCTGATACGCATCTGTAAATTGGCGACTCTTGATCTCTTGCCTTAACATCTTCATTTTAATTATAAATTGTTAATTTGAGTGTGATTTTGATGACAAAATATGTAACTTTATCAACCCTGATTGTCCTAATTTATAAATGTATTTATTTGTTATTTTTGTGTTTACTTTTTTCTCATTTAACTAGAGTCAAGAGCAAAAACAGAAATCATCTTTCAGTTGACAATGAAATCCGCATGTGTTTATTTAAGTACAACCCGGAATAATTTCAAGGGTACTTTCTAGGGGCCGATATCGATCTCCAGTTAAGAATGACTGGTACTATCGTTACAGTATATTTCAGATTTGAAAAGTAAAATATGCGAGGATAGGTTGGCCAAACTAAACTTGTAGTTCTTGGTGCATCGCAGATGAGCTTCTTCCTGGATCGTCTAGAAAGAAATTTAATCGAAAATGTTTATATTAAATGATATTATATTAAATGATATATTTATAATTGATGTTGAGGGTAAACCTACTCTTCAAATCCAGTTCTCAGACCTCTCAGCTTCTGATTCCCTACCTGTCTTCCTTGCCATCCTCCTTTCTCCTCCTACTTCAATCTCCTTCTCGTCCTCCAACCTCCCCCTCTACACGAAGGCGGGTGTGGTGAAGTCGGAAGGTATGGCTTAACATCTCTGGTTCCTTCACTAGGAGCTACTATTGCGAGCTGCCGCGTGTGGGCTGACTAACTCTGCAAAGACGCTGATAGAGAAGGGAGTGAACGTGAATGCTGGCAGTTACTTAGAGTCCCAGGAGGGTAAGACTTCGGTCAAACAATTATTATTATTATTAACATCTTTATTGACAAAATTAATTACAATTTTGCCCAATCTGAGGATTTCAATTAAAATCTTATTAAAGTGAGAATAATGCTGGTATAGATTGGTTTGATCTTGGGCTTAAGAGCTATTAACCGTGGGAAAGTTATTTGTAGGTTCAAAATAATAACAGAAAGATGGCACTATTAATTTAGAAATCAAGGTGATTTTCATATTCCATAAAGACTTCAGTTATATTTTATATGAGCTACATGTTGTGTATTTGCAGTAATACATGTTTCTATAAAAACACAGTTATGGAAATTTAACTTAATCTGAATGATTGTTATTTCTACTGACTGCTTACTGCATTGTAGAAATTTAAATTTATTTATAAATCTTTGTAATCGACCGACTCCAAGGGGGCCCGTCGGCCGAGCGGACAGCACGCGGGACTTGTGATCCTGTGGTCCTGGGTTCGATCCCAGGCGCCGGCGAGAAACAATGGGTAGAGTTTCTTTCACCCTATGCCCCTGTTACCTAGCAGTAAAATAGGTACCTGGGTGTTAGTCAGCTGTCACAGGCTGCTTCCTGGGGGTGGAGGCCTGGTCGAGGACCGGGCCGCGGGGACACTGAAGCCCCGAAATCATCTCAAGATAACCTCAAGATATAGCTGCGTTAGTCACAACTCTTTAGCGCTTCCTAACTTTTTAAGACCCTATTTTCTAATACTCAAAACACCTGCGTTCCCCTTCCTCCCCCGCAGTTTAATAATTTAAATAATTGCATAATGAAGATACCACTTACTAATTTTCCATGCTTCAGATATACTAGTACTCAGAATTTAGGTTCCGCGACTCAACAGAAAACGTTTCACGACCTACCAGAAAACGTTCGCAGTCTACCAGAAAACATTTCTCGACCCTCCGGTTGTGAACCCCTGCTGTAGAGGAACGCCAATATTAGAATAATAATGATAAAGTTTCCCCTGAAAGGTCTCAACCAAATTTAATCAAACCTTTCACAAGTTTTCTTAAAGAAGTTTAGTCTGGTCTTTGTTTTTCCATACAAAGTAGAATTTGGTCAGAGTTAAAACAAAATATATTTTAGATGTAATTGTGAACTAATGTAATCAAGAAAAACCAATTGAAATATTAAATTTCTTGTTCCTAAACCCTGTAAGTTAAGTTTCTTAAGTTTTACCACATTATTGAGTTTATTGAATAACATAAATTGAGTCGTGTTGGTTGATAAATGGTGAGGTTCAAACGTCACGTGAGTATTACATGTACAGGTATTCAAGGAACATGAATGTGTAGTTATTGCTTGATTCATACCTTTGTGTCAGTCATACCTTTGTGTCAGGATGGCGAGCGCTTCACCTGGCTGCTGACGGTGGTCACAAGGGAGTGGTAGAGGTCCTCCTCCAGGCCGGGGTCCTCCTCGACGTTACAAACGCTCAAGGTTAGTCTTGGAATATTTGCTGAGGAAAAAGTTCGAGAATGAGTATGTGTTTGGGGGTGGGTGGGTGGGGTGTACTCACCTTGGGAGCCGAGCGGACAGCACACTGGACTTGTGATCCTGTGGTCCCAGGTTCGATCCCGGACGCCGGCGAGAAACAATGGGCAGAGTTTCACCCTATGCCCCTGTTACCTAGCAGTAAAATAGGTACCTGGGTGTTAGTCAGCTGTCACGGGCTGCTTCCTGGGGGTGGAGGCCTGGTCGAGGACCGGGCCGCGGGGACACTAAAGCCCCGAAATCATCTCACGATAACCTCAAGATAAGATAACCTTTGTCGGAAACAAAAAACGCCACATGTTCCTTGTGTCAAATTCATCAATTTATTAGAATAATTCATGTATTAATGTAACCGTAATTAATAACCTCATTTGTGAAGTACTTAGAATAAATTAACGTAATTTTAATGTAAAGAATCAATTTCTCTTAGTCAACAAAAGCAGATTCCCATATAGAAGATGGGAATTATTTTTCAGTACACAGAAATTAAGTACCACCTTTGGTAATTCAGTAAATTAGAGAAATAAATTCAAGTATGATCCAGTATTGTAGTTATTAATCAACTCTGCTCAAGTATCTAGGTAATTTTCCAATGGTTTTGAATAATGATTAGGTCACCTTTAGTGACAAATACATGATTAAGTTAGTAAACATCTTTGAAGATTAATTTGGCAGCTAAGCCTAGGTTGAGCCATCCCTCTTAGCTTTGAAAGAGCAGGTTAAAGCCAATGTGGTGGGCTGGCATCTGAGGTCAATATCTACCTCCAGAAGGCCAGGCTAACATCTGGCTTGGCTTGGGATAACGGTAAAGTGCTTACGAGGTGGTACAGTTCCTTTTTAGATTCATTAATCACTGCCTCTATTTTAGAGAGAATGCCAGTTAGAATATATTTCAGTTGAGTGAGTGTTCATTTGTCTCATTATAATAATTTTGTTTCAATAAACATGAGTGATTTCAAGTTTAGTAAGTCTTACTCAAAAAGATATATATAGTCTTTATCACGGAATCCACGTGTCGGTAGTTTTTTGAATGAGTCGCCGGTGTACTTTTCAAGCAAACCTTATCTATTTAATATCGTATATATATTCCCTTGGGTTTCGAATTAATCCACACTTAACGTAAAGTCATCCATCCCTTTTCAATTAATTGTGGATCAACCCTCAAGTTCAAGTATGTTTATTGAGATAAGCAATAAATACATCTCAAAGGGATAGAGTAGCTTAGGCTATTTCTACCCCCCAAGGATCAACCCTCTCGGAATTAATATGTAATTGATTGACTCAGCCCGGAATCAATTATTAGTTAGAAGTAAGTCAGGTTGGTGGTGACAGCTGGAAGATCTTGAGTTTGCTAGGGACCCAGTACAGTGTTCTCGTGTATGTAGTATCTGGGGCGATCAACCGTCTAAGATCACGAGGATTGGACTGAAGTCTACAGTAGAACTCTGGTTTCTTAAGTATAGTTAACTAACGACCAGCATTTAATTAGTTAAGTGAGGTTAAAGCCTGCATGGTCCCCCGTTACAGCGCAAGCGGGTGCTAATCTAACTGTGCTTGTGATGACTGAGCTTTAGTTTCTGTGTCTCGCCTCGGAAACCTTATTCGACTAGAGTTGCAGTTCACTAGCCAATTGGTTCAGCCATATGAACCGGTAGGTATGAACATCAGAGGTCCACGGTTGTTCAACGTCCTACCAGCGAGCATCAGAAATATTACAGGAACAACCGTGGACATCTTCAAGAGGAAACTAGACTGTTTCATTCAAGGAGTGCCGGACCAACCGGGCTGTGGTGGGTATGTGGGCCTGCGGGCCGCTCCAAGCAACAGTCTGGTGGACCAAACTCTCACAAGTCAAGTCTGGCCTCGGGCCGGGCTTGGGGAGTCGAAGAACTCCCAGAACCCCATTAACCAGGTATATAGCTTCCTTAGCCAACGGGGAGACTGTTCGCCCAACAGTTTATTACCAGAACACGAGTGATCGAGTGACACACACATCAACCATTGAGCCAGTCTACTGAGTACTCTCCATTGTATGATGTGTCTGTAGCCAACCTTTTCACGCACTTCACTGCTCAAGGCATGCCGCTTATTCACTCATTAGTTACCAAACAAATTATGTCTATTGCTCATTCGACTTGTGCCCCTTTTGCTCGTGTACCAGCAACATCGTCATTAGGTCATCTCTGTGGCATCCGACGTACATAAGCCATCATTCATGGCTCTTATGGTATAAAGAGGCTTCGGCAATCACTATACAGAGGTGGTAAGAATAAAGAAAACATTTCATATATGATTTTCTTCCTAAAACACCCTTAAAGAATTCAGGATTAAAATGGACTTTTAGTGAATATATTTCTCTTGATGCATATACAATAAGTATATACACTTGCTTATTTTTGGTGTCGATCACCGTGTACTTAATCTCCAAACATTTCATAATTCCTAACAGAGATGAGGAAGAAAGTTAATGAAGTGAATATATAGTGAGATATACTCAACTCGGCATATTTACCTGTTAATGTTTAAGAACCTTTCCCTGTCAGCATCTTGTAGGCTGCAAACTATATTTTCAGGAATTTCTAACCTAACTGAGCCTGCGAGAAGTGTAGATGAATGTGTCCACTGGTGGTGGGTAAAGTGAGCCTGACTCACCTGACTCGCATGAGTGTTTGGCAATGGGATCTCTGATGATGTACTTAGATAATACAGATATTTTCTTTACAGGAATGACTGCGGCACATATAGCGGCCCAGGCGGGCCATCTGGAGATTCTCCAGCTCCTTATAGGCAAGTTGCCTCCCATAGAAGCAGAAAATAACGGTATGTTTATATTATAACTTATTTAATTATATAAATAATTCATGAGTCAATGTATACTCAGCAGTACAGTGAAGTAGTCTCTCAGGGCATCAGCTAGTGAACTCAGCAGTTATATATTGAATTAACGGGTTAATGCAATGGTGCATTGGACAGCTGTTAAGAAAACTAATCATTCTTTCAGGAACTTAGATGAAGAATTACTTGGGCAAATATTGGTTTAAAAAAAAAAAGGTTGTTGATTAACGGAACTAATACATGAGGTATCACTGTATTGTTTCAAGCGTAGGTTAGACATATGTGTAATTTTTGGTGATAATAAATAAGAGCTGTCTCGCATGGGTCAATAGAACTAAGGTGTTGTTTTTAGATTCAGCTATTCCGAACAAAAAGTTCCAAGCAGCACGGGCTATGGTGACCCCGTCGTACTTACCTGGCACATGAGATGTGCTCCGCACTCCTGTGGGTTATTATGTTCTTAGGGCCATAATGCAACTGTAACCCTTCCACCACCGCCCACAGGATGGCCATGGAGGGTCAGAAATTAATTAAGCTCACCTATCAGGGCGTCATCTGGTGCACTGGGCAGCTATAGGAGGGTACGTACCAGTGCTGAATTATCTCCAGACGAAAAAGTACAACTTGAAGGTTACAACCGGCAAGGAGGAGACAGCGTTGCACCTTGCGGCAGACCACGGTAACCTGGAAGCCGTCCAGTGGCTGGTCAAGCAAGGGATCAACTTCAACCTGAGAGATAACAAGGGATTCACGGCCGAAGACTTCGCCAGGAAGGAGCACCACAGGGAGGTTTACAGCTTCCTTCGTAACTTAGCCAAAGTACAAGAAGCCAAGGTAATTAGAACTATAAACTGACATTGCAATTATATTTCTTTTGATGAGTTTAAGAAGCTTGTTAGTGCATAAGAACATGCATGAATCGCCAAGGTTAGCTAGAGTGTATTAGTATAACATAGAGGGGAATAGGATTCCTCAAGGCTGTGATGAAGAGAGGGTTCTTTCCCACAGTTGCTGGAGGCAGCGAGTGAAGGCCACATGCGCGGGGTTTCGCGGCTGCTTGACTGCGGCGTCAACGTTGACTGCGCGTGTCAGGACGCCGACAACCGTGGTGAGTGGCAAACTGCCAATAGTTATAGGGCCTCGTTAATCGCTAACAGCTTAAGTAAGTGTGAAGCGAACCTGTTGCCGAACTGGACTATTCTACACTTATTTAAATAGCAATTAGAAAGTTTAGTTTAGTGCTTAACACAAGACTAACTTTAAACTTTTATATATAATTATAAAATATATTATATAATAGACTAGACGTATTTTGCATAAATAGAGACATTATTATTTTATTTTTTTTAAATAAAATATTAAAATTAATATTGATTTAAAACGTTAATATATAAAATAAATATTTGAATAACAGAACTTGTAAATTTTATTAATCAAGTCATTCCAGGTCGAAGACCGATACACTTCGCGGCTCATAAGGGTAACCTAGATGTCCTGCAGGCGCTTCTCCTGGCGGGCGCCAAACGCGAGGTAACCGACATCAAAGGTAAGTAGAGAACAACCTTCACGATTTAGCCATCATAACTCTGCCCCCTCAACTTGCTCTTCCTTGAGTTTTTCAACCCGTTCTCGCACTTTCGTATAGTCAATATTGACTTATTAAATACGTGCATATGTGACATACTAAACAAACTAGTTTACCATGAAAAGCTTCATAGAAAACACCGACCTTACCTAACCTTCTTAGTATGTTAAGATAAGCATCTTATTGCTTCGTAATTACAATTATTACTTAACCTATTATAGGTATAGGTTAAGTATTAATTGTAATTACGAAGCAAAAAGATGCTTATCTTGACATACTAAGAAGGTTAGGTAAGGTCGGTGTTTTCTATGGAGCTTTTCAAGGTTAACTAGTATGTTTAGTATGTCACATATGCACGTATTTAATAAGTCAATATTGACTGTAAGAAAGTGCAAGAACGGGTTGAGTTTTTAGGCCTGTCATATGGCTCAAGTCCCATCACCCACGGAAGGGTTATAATCCACCACAATAGCTTACTGACCAGCCAGCAAGCATACTTTAGCCTTGAACATAGTCCAGAACTAAAGAAAACAGTGTATACACACCAGGAAGTGGGAGACACGTGTTAATGTATAAATTCCTTCCTAGGAGGTTGGGCACTGGCTGTCGTGGGGTGAGGTCGTTTCACCTGACCCCGTGTTGTGGGCTCACACTGTCGGCCTCGAGTTTACTGGCAAGACTACCCTGCCGTGGAGCTGGTGTTTTGTGAGGTGCTGGATGTAGACATGGGGGTCATCCATGGTGTGGAACTAGTCTCTTCTCATCGAGCAATGGTGAAATTTGCTGCCGCTGAGGGTTATCGGGGTGTTTTTAAGCCGCTTAGTGGGGCGGTCTTTCTACGGCCGGACGGTGCTGGTTCGGTGGTTATCTCCGATCGGAGTGGTATCCTCACATACGTCATTGTCTATGGTGTGTGTTTTGAATTCCCGGAGGCACTGCTGAAGCCGTACTTCGGGCAGTTTGGCATTCTCTTGAGTGTGGGTTGAATGTGATTTCTTCCGGGCGGTTACGCGGCATACGGAATGGTATCCGGATTCTAGGGATGCGGCTGCGTTCAGACTTCCACAGCCGACTTCAGACTGTGAAGCGTATGGACTTGTGTACTATGTGCGGCAGCCTCTCACGTGCTTTCGATATGGATTCTCGGGCCACCTGGTTGCTGGCTGCCCGGCTGCTGTCGTCGTGAGGGCCAATCTTTTTTGAAAAGGATTTCCCACTGCTGGCTGTCGACGAGGTTCCGGCATGTGGGGCTGTGCAGGTGCCCGTGGATGTCGTGTCTCGCCAGGTATCGGATTTAGCGCCTGCTCTTGATGAGGTTCGGGCGCCAGATGCTGTGTAATTGCCAGGTGTGTGTTCGGTGGCTGTTGGTGGTGATGCTGGTGTGGATGTGGCCCGGTCGGAGGCTTTATCTCTGCCTCTGTCTTCTGTGGATGTTCTGTCCGGTTCTCCTGTGGCAGGGACCCTGTAGTGCCCGAGTCCCCTGCGGTCAAAATAAAAAATAAAATTCCTTCCCAGAGTTATGAGGGTCACAGCCCATTTTCAGAGATATTGGCCAAATGCTCGTTAATCCAGCCTCCAAACCCCCTGTTTATGAATAAAAAAAAACACTTTACACACGACTCGCCTGATTACTTTCCAACTTTTCTTGAACAGCGCTTTGCTCACTTCGTGTGTTCGAATCGGACCTCTCTAAATTCTTCAACCGCACTGTACTAATACAAATAATTGCCTATAGAATCAAAACACATAACCTGTCCTATGCTTAGGTATTCATCAAATTATATATTAACATTAATTATCGGGCAAATACTCTTATTAGATAAAGAGTAAGTTTAACACCTGCATCTTTGGGGTACATCGCAGCTTGGACGAGAACACTGATTACGGGATGGCTTCAATGGAGAAAACGTTTGCTGAATAAACTACTGTTTCAGCGGAGAAACTTATAATTTCATGGTATAATGTAGATCAGGTTTGACCGAAATTGGTCATGTTGTTAATGAGAATTGTCATCAGATCACTAGCTTACAAACCACACACACGAGGATGACCAAAGCTAATAAAATAAAGTGCAGATTAGTAGTGCAAACTTTGTTTACTTCAGTAATAAAAAGAATTATCTGGAAAGCAACAAAATTTATTAATTTAACCCATGTAATGAATTTATTGATGCCTCATTTTGTATTATTCACATGATTAATCAACTACATACAATATTTCCATGATTAATCAACTATATGCGATTTATTATGAAAATAATCCTTACTTTCGGTTGTCCCCCAGGAAACACAGCCATGCACTGGGCAGCACTCGGAGGGCAGCTCAAAACCATGCAATTTCTCCGGGCCAACAACTGTAAGGTAGCAGTTCTAAACTGCTGCAGGGAGACCCCTCTACACTTTGCTGCTTCGGCGAACCACCCGGAGGTGCTGAAGTGGCTACTGGCGCAGGGTGTCGACCGAAACATCAAGTCGAGTTCGGGGATCACAGCTGAAGACATAGCCAGCAGAAGACGCCATCATGAGGCTGCCGAAGTACTTCATAACTTCGGAAAGAACATCGATGCTATTACTGCCTAGAGCTTTAAGCCTGTGACAAAACAACCTTCTGTCCCCCTTTCGGTCTTTCATCAAAAGCTAAACACTGCTGGGGTTTTACGAAAAGGTGGGCCTTTTTTAAGTTTAATGAAAATTTAACTCCTATCAGATTTCATTGAAAACTTGGGATTGATTTTAGGTTTCATAAAAAGCTGTGCCCTTTTCAGGATTAATAAAAAAAATGCCTTTTTCAGGTTTCATCAAAGCCGAACCCTTTTCGTATTTCCAAACCAGCACATATCCAGGGGCCATGGAAAAACAGCTGTTCAATCCATGGTATTAACTTTTTCGGGGTCCAATTCGAAAAAAACATGACTCGAAGCAGTAAAAGTTTGCTGACAAACACAGAGTTGCTCAAAACATTGTGGTAATGTTGCATGTTTGCTGGGCAAAGATTACGAGAGACAGTAGGGTACTGCAAGAAAACCTTGACTATCTGCTGAAGGGAGATAAATTGATGCCTGAGTTCAAACCATAACTGTTACCAATGTTAACTGGTAACTGTTTAAACTGTTACCACTTTGGTAACTAACCCTTGTTGCCATACGGGGTACAGTAAATAGATGCAGACTTCAGGGAGTTATGTTGGATAGTGAATATATAACCGGCTTTTATGTTATGATGTGTGTATTGTTAAAGCTGTTCATTCCATAGCATCTGGTGCTGTGTAGCAAGATATCGTCTGGCCAGTGTTGGAAACTAGATGGCTGTTTTGTTTTTGTTGAAAGATTAGGGGGTGGGGGGACACGATGATGTAAGGCGTATACCTGCTTCTCAATTTCCAGTTTTTATGCTATTATTTTTTTTTTTACTAATGGAGACATTTATTAACTTTGTCAAGTTTTGTACTAGTTAAAATGATTTAATTGTTATTTTACCGATTGACCCCTTTATGATTAAAGTATAAATCCTGCATATTCGCAGTATAAATTCTACATATCCACATTATAAATCTCCAGTATATATGGGCTCACCATAGCCCGTGCTACTTGGAACTTCGTTCCAGGTAGCGAATCTTTAACAACAACAAATCTACAGTATAAATCCCGAGTATTAATCCTGCTTACAGACCAGCATGTATACTTTGGTCTTGAACCTAGACCAGAACTAAAGTAAATTTTCAGCATACACAGAAAACCGGGCTATACACCCCTCGGTGTGTATTTATCGCTTGATTCCTCGAATCACACACCTTTCAGTTTTGGGTCTAAATCTGCTGACATGCCTTTCAACTTTTTTCCAACTTAAATTTATGTGAGAGAATAGTTAAATGGATACATCGGTAGATAGATACATCACACTATTGTGATTTCTGTGTGTAATGAAGTAAGGGCGAAGAGGTAGAACAGCTTATTGACAGAGCTCTGGTGCATGGAATTGTGTAAAAACCTGGTTTGTGTCTTGGAGAGACTGCAGGATCCGTGGTAGGTCAAGTCGATTTCCCGGTTGCAGTTCTTATACCATGTCGTAGCTCAGTTGAATACGGCGCGTCTGGGATCCTCTCGGACGTAGGTTCGAACCCTCGTCACGGCCCTTGTAGATTTGTTCATTAGATATCTGACTCTTAAGTGAATATAGACACTTGTAAGTAAAATACATGTTGCAACATAGTGATTCGACAGTATATTTTTAATGGTAATGTATTGTGAGACACCAGTATGTTTACTGAGGCTGTAAAAGAAGGCAGGGATTTTACACCGTGCGAGGAAGGCAGTTGCAGGACTCAGGAAAAACATACAAATATGATAACACTGGCTGCATATAGAATGCAGTAAACACTCACACACCCAAGTTCGATTCCCGGCAGTGGCAGAAACAAACTGGCAGCGATTTTTTAACCTGATGCCTCTGTTCATCTTGTGAATAGGTACCTGTTGCGGGCTGCATCCTAGGGATGTGTGCGTGTGCAAATAAACGGACCGTCGGAAGGAGGGGCTGAGGAGTCCTCTTGGCAAGACACTCGCCCGGTGCTTCGCGAGCGCTTTGGCCTCGGTTCGTATCCTGACCGGGGAGGATTGACCAGGTGCCAATCCTTAACTGTAGCCTCTTTTCACCCAGCAGTGAATGGGTACCTGGTGGTTAAACGACTTGGCGGGACGTATTCCAGGGGGGAAAAATTGGGTTAAGGACCTGCCCGAAACGCTATGCGTGCTGGTGGCTGTACAAGACTGTAAGAACTTTTGTGTGACATTATATATATAAAGGGGGGGGGGGTGAGAGAAGACAATATGTGCCAGAGCACGAGAGCACGACAAGGCTCCCCAGGGTGCTGCATATCGTCTTCTTCGAGGCCTAAGGGTCTTTACAAACAAAAAGAGGTGGTACCGCATATATATATATATATATATATATATATATATATATATATATATATATATATATATATATATATATATATATATATATATATATATGTCGTACCTAGTAGCCAGAACTCACTTCTCAGCCTACTATGCAAGGCCCGATTTGCCTAATAAGCCAAGTTTTCATGAATTAATGTTTTTTCGTCTACCTAACCTACCTAACCTAACCTAACCTAGCTTTTTTTGGCTACCTAACCTAACCTTACCTATATATATAGGTTAGGTTAGGTTAGGTTAGGTAGGGTTGGTTAGGTTCGGTCATATATCTACGTTAATTTTAACTCCAATAAAAAAAAATTGACCTCATACATAGTGAAAAGGGTAGCTTTATCATTTCATAAGAAAAAAATTATAGTAAATATATTAATTCAGGAAAACTTGGCCTATTAGGCAAATCGGGCCTTGAATAGTAGGCTGAGAAGTGAGTTCTGGCTACTAGGTACGACATATATATATATATATATATATATATATATATATATATATATATATATATATATATATATATATATATATATATATATATATATATATATATATATATATATATATATATATATATATATATATATATATATATATAATACGGGTACCACCTCTGGTATATATAATATAAATAAGAGAATTCTCTCCACCCACAAGCACATTTACGTGATTACATTAAGATAAGCACATCACATATACACCTGTTACAACACCTGTCAATTCTTTACATTTTAGTAACTTTAATCTTAAGAGTGTTAAGTCTCAACAGATCTACTATTATTAAATCGCTAACGTAAAATCGCTAACCTTAAAAAAAAAAAATTTCATTAAATAATTAAGTTTACCAAACATTATTCTCGTTTTCATTGGTGTTATGTCTATAGAAAATTTTATTCTGCTATGGCTAATTTATTTAATTCAATTTTCTTGTTCTTACAAATAGTCTTGTAAAGCCACTAGCACGCATAGCTTTTCCGGCATCTCCTTAATCTTAATTTTCCCTGGAATACGACCCGCCAAATCATTTAACAACCAGGTACCCATTCACTGCTGGGTGAACAGAGGCATACAGTTACGGATTGGTGCCTGGTCAATCCTCCCCGGCCAGGATACGGCTCGAGAAGCGCAGGACAAGAGTTTATATTTATATATTGTATTTATTTAATTTACTTGTTCATAACTAAATGTGGTTATTAGGGATATCTGCCTGTGCATAGAGTGCATTGATTTGCTCTCATTTGCATTGATTTGGGATGCTGGGAACTCGTTTGCAAGACTGTGGTTGATGGCACTATACCCTTACCAAATAGGAATATTGATTTTTTTTATTATTCTTTATTATTTTTATTTATATACAAGAAGGTACATTGGGGTGTGAGTACTTAATAGGGATGTTCTTTCAGTATTGCAGTCACTAACACGCACAGCGTTTTGGACAGGTTTGATCCAAATATTTGGGGAATATAAATACTGTATATAATATAAGTACGTACTATAATGTAAGGCGTACTATAATATAAGTACGCCGTGTTAAGCTGTAAACGCAAGAACACTACAGCAGTTCAGAATGTAACTCGATATAATCAATAGGACAACTAACTAAAAACTAACCTCCCACACACAGCTCTTCTATATATTAATCACCTTCAGTGATTAAGTGCTTAATTGCACACTAGTTTCTCTGTCAGCTATCTCACCCTGTCAGAGTAAGAGACAAATGTATGTATATATGTATATGTACGTATGTGTGTATGTATATGTATGTGTATAAAGTATATATGGAAGCTGATCCATATATACTTTACATTTCACCTTTGTAAATGCACATTAATGACACTATGTAAAAGACACATCGAACACTTTATGTAGGGCATACGAAAATCTGTGTATCTATGTATTTACGTATGTAGGTTAGCTTAGTATTTTAAAAGCACCGAATCACCTTCTGTGGTTGAGTGTTCAATAAACCCTTGAACTATATGTTTAACACATCTCTAACTCTGTCCATGGTGGACAGAAGAAAATGTATATATGCTGATTAGCATTGTAAATGTGTGGCCACGTCTGTGGTAGAAAATGATGATAATAAAAAAAACAGCTCTTCTGTCCTCGGCGTGGCCACTAGAGAGATAGTGGCCCTCAAGTAGATTCAGGTATGTTATTTCGTGTTATCTTTCATTAGATTACATTCATTTTTATGATAGTTTGTTTCCGTTTTTTTGTTATATTGGCAGTAAAAAGCACGTCTTTGTTTATTTATTAGAGAATAACACATCCTGTATTGTGGTATTGAAGAATTTTGTTGATTTAAGTATGTCTTTAGTAAGCCTTGGGTTATTTATCCTTTGGCTTGTCTTGTTTAGGCAGCATAGGGCAGTGAATGTTAAAAAGAGGCTTAGATTTTTATGTCGAAATGATTACACACCTGTAAGTGTTTCACATTGAATTTTTCTTCATCCTAGAAAAATTAATATTTTCTATTTCTCAAAAAAGACCCGATCTTATGCCCTTATTATATTTTTAACAAGAACACGGACTTTTTAGTACTTGAAAAAAGTGTTGATTTGTATGTCCGTTTAGAGTAGAAACATTCAGTTTGACCCAAGGACACACCGGTGCTCCCTCTAGTATAGATGTATGCCTCTATTGTGTATATATTCCAAGATAGCTCTAGTTAATAGTGCAATCTTAGAATATATATGTACACTACAAGAAACTTGGAAAATATACACACTTGAGGAATCGCAAGTGACTCTATTGTCGCCTAGCTTGTCACATGTACTCGCCCAACCCGTTCTCGCACTTGCTTTCTGTCAATATTGGCTTATTTAATAAGTGCATATGTGACATACTAATTGATTGTGAATATTTTAGTTTACCTTGAAAAGCTTCATAGAAAACACCGACTTCACCTCACTCACCAGAGACCTATAGGAACATACACACTAGAGAGAAAACGCCAGTGACCTGTGGCTCGGTTAAAAATCAAAACTTTAAATTTTGACCCTAACGTCACAGTATTCGAATAAAATGATTGTAACATAAAGTAAAAAAACAAACACAATCCTTCGTACATTTTATTTTGTTATTATTTAAGGTACAAAAGAAATACATAATAGGCAAAAATTAAAGGATGTATGAAATTAAAATGCACGTCCAGGTAATGTTTATTTCTGACATCCGTTTTCATCGCTCTTGTGAGTTAGACGTTTCGGACACCTTATACGGCTATACACCGTGAGAGCGAGACATTTTGGACACGGCTGAACCCAGATGAAACACCACCAAAAAATTAGGGCATTTATAGTTTGTTAAAAATTGGGTGTTGACAATATGGCCTTTCAAAACCATTCGCTTATTGTTGATCATTATTTGTCCATTCCTAATCGTATATTTCTCCTACTTCCTCGTCTCCTCCTCTCTCGTCTCTTCCTCCCTCGTCTCCTCCTCCCTCGTCTCTTCCCCCCTCGTCTCTTCCCCCCTCGTCTCTTCCCCCCTCGTCTCCTCCTCCCTCGTCTCTTCCCCCCTCGTCTCTTCCCCCCTCGTCTCTTCCTCCCTCGTCTCTTCCTCCCTAGTCTCGTTTTCGTTAAAACGCCGTTTTTCCCATTGCTTATATGCAAGATCTATTAAGTGTTCTATACCTTCAAAACTTGCTGCTAGTTGCCTCTCGTTTTCTATGAAATATAAAATTAAAGTTTCCGCTCCTTTTTCTAGTTAAAAAGAAAACCTGCCTTTAATTGTGATAAAATCAATCTTAAATAGATTTACAACATTTTTTTACATCTTCCAAAAATATTCCCACAGCTTTGCCACAAACAAGTGTCAAAGTATATATCAATATTGCTTCAAAAGTGCTTCAGAATCTATCTCAAAATATATTCAACATTTGTCATAAACAGGCAGAGTAAGTCACGTTAACGTAGCTGAAAATTAGATACTCAACCCACACATATGATAAGAGTTGGAAACGTCGTCACAAAAAGATCCAGAACGGACGGACCGAAACGTTGTCACTTGCTTCTTTTTCAAATGTATTAGTTGGGTGTTTTGTTGTAAACATTCTTCAGTGTGTCTGAAAACGAGTACCAACTCAAACGTATTCTCCAATACGATTCTAAAATCTACGCTATATGGACTACAACCTGCACGCTTCACAGGTAATACATGTTTTCCCTACCCCAGCTAAGGGACTGAAGTACTTACTCCTGCTCTTACACTACTTAAAACAAAATAGGAACATCCATTTCACTTTGTACCTTAAACTCAACCTGATTTGTGTTTATGTAATATATATATATATATATATATATATATATATATATATATATATATATATATATATATATATATATGTCGTACCTAGTAGCCAGAACTCACTTTTCAGCCTACAATGCAAGGCCCGATTTGCCTAATAAGCCAAGTTTTCATGAATTAATATATTTTCTCTAATTTTTTTCTTATGAAATGATAAAGCAACTCATTTCATTATGTAAGATGTCAATTTTTTTTTATTGGAGTTAAAATTAACGTAGATATATGACCGAACCTAACCAACCCTACCTAACCTAACCTATCTTTATAGGTTAGGTTAGGTTAGGTAGCCGAAAAAGTTAGGTTAGGTTAGGTAGGTTAGGTAGTCGAAAAGCAATTAATTCATGAAAACTTGGCTTATTAGGCAAATCGGGCCTTGCATTGTAGGCTGAAAAGTGAGTTCTGGCTACTAGGTACGACATATATATATATATATATATATATATATATATATATATATATATATATATATAATGTCGTACCTAGTAGCCAGAACTCACTTTTCAGCCTACAATGCAAGGCCCGATTTGCCTAATAAGCCAAGTTTTCATGAATTAATATATTTTCTCTAATTTTTTTCTTATGAAATGATAAAGCAACTCATTTCATTATGTAAGATGTCAATTTTTTTTTATTGGAGTTAAAATTAACGTAGATATATGACCGAACCTAACCAACCCTACCTAACCTAACCTATCTTTATAGGTTAGGTTAGGTTAGGTAGCCGAAAAAGTTAGGTTAGGTTAGGTAGGTTAGGTAGTCGAAAAGCAATTAATTCATGAAAACTTGGCTTATTACGCAAATCGGGCCTTGCATTGTAGGCTGAAAAGTGAGTTCTGGCTACTAGGTACGACATATATATATATATATATATATATATATATATATATATATATATATATATATATATATATATATATATATATATATATATATATAAAGGAAGAAATCACAGAAATCATTTTGGCGTGATATATCAGTGAGGAAAACCTTTTTCTCACTGACATGTCAATGAGAACATTTTGATTTATTGATCACCCCATTGTGATTTCTTTGTTATCTGAAGGAGAGGCGTATGGGTGTAAACCCCCATTACCCGCAGGCCGTAGTGTAGGCAGACCGACTATAAAAATCCTAGTTGGGCTACAGCTCAGGGCCTCCAGAACCTCCCAGTGAATTCAGTAGTTAAGGATTGGTCGGCTTTTGGCCTATCGTGGCCGAATGGGTTAAGGCAGGTGTTTGGGAATCACCAGAACGCCAGTTCAATTCCCCCTATTGCCTCAAAATGATGACCTTATATATATATATATATATATATATATATATATATATATATATATATATATATATATATATATATATATATATATATACATACATACATTTATATATTTGACGACGTGGTTTCAAGCACCACTAAAAGCCCCTTAAATTGTTTTCTTACAAATTAGAGTAATTCTCTTTACACTTCAACACAGCGATCTGTCTCCGTTCTTAAAATGTATGGTGAAAGGCCCTTCACTGCTACATAACCGGAGTGGATAATTTTGTGCACTTCGCTAAGATTGATGATGATAATTAAGCCACCCAAGAGGTGGCACAAGCATGAATAGCCCGTAAATTACTAAGATTTGAGCCAAGTTTTATATAGGCAAGCCTCACCTCAGTTTATTGACAGATCCCTGGTAACTGTTGACAACGAAACATTGTCTTAAGGACCATACATATATAACATTTATATTAAAGGGAAAGGTACAAAATAAAAATTAACATTTATGTAAAAATAAATATTCTAAAAAGGCGTTCAAAGCAGGAATCCCCTCACCTTTTATCCGCCACAAATATTAAATGGCACCAAACCACGAGTTAAAACAAAATACGAGAGTTTGCTATTGGGCTTAGGGCCTGTCAACCTCTCAACCCGTTCTCGCAAATTTAATAAGTCAATATTGACTTATTAAATATGTGCATAGGTGACATACTTAACATAATAGTTTCCCTTGAAAAGCTTCATAGAAAACACCGACCTGACCTAACCTACTTAGTATGTTAAGATAAGCATCTTATTGCTTCGTAATTACAATTATTACCTAACCTATACCTATAATAGGTTAAGTAACAATTGTAATTACGAAGCTATAAGATGCTTATTTTAACATACTAAGTAGGTTAGGTAAGGTCGGTGTTTTCTATGAAGCTTTTCAAGGGAAACTATTATGTTTAGTATGTCACCTATGCACGCAACTAATAAGTCAATATTGACTTATTAAATTTGCGAGAACGGGTTGCAACCTCTGGGGGGTTATTAAGGCGGCTATAAGTGCTTACTGACCAACCAGCAAGTATTCTGTAGATACATTCATAAGCCAGGACTTAAATAATATCTCGTCGTATGTATATACGAGAACAGAGGAAAATCTTTCACTGTACCTAACCTTGAGAGAGGACCTAGACTTAAATTATAGGAAAGATTACCCAATAGGGGGAAGAGAAATAGATGGTGAAGATTTTAGTGGGAAAAATTACGCAAAGAAATTAGCCTGACGCTCTGAGCAGTTACTACTGAAGATTTCCTTGAGTTTGCCTCGTAGTGGACCTGAAGTTTGATGTTAATTTTTTCACTTTTCTCCTAGGCCCCTCTTCCTCTTTCTCTTCCTCCTCCTCCTGCTCTTCTCCCTCCTCTTCTTCCTCCAGATAACCAAACGGTAGTATATTTACATTCATGGTTGTTAAAATAAAGGCTATATAGAGAATATATTTTGTCTTGTGACAGACCTGATTACCACCGTCTACATAACTCAAAGCATCGCTGTTTGTACATTATGTAAGACAAACGCACAAATGTAGTTGTGTAAATAATAAAAGCACATTCAGAATTAACTCTAACTTTTTTGTACAAATGATCAGTGACGAGTTTGATGAAAGTACATAGATTTACGAGGCTTTGGTTACGATATAACTTTAAGTAATTATCTGCTCATAAAATCCTGAGATTAGACAGATAGTATAAGAAATTATAAGTCTTTCTTCGCGACAGGAGAAGCGTGGAGTCTCTCTCTATCTCTCGATATCTTTACTCGTACTAAGTAAAATATGGCATTATATATGCCCTGTTATATATTTCCTGTTACAGATGGCGAATCTTTTGGAAATAGATTAGTTAGGGGTAAAAGTTTAATATATGAAAATGAGTCATCAAAAATTTGTCAAAGAAAATGGTGAGCTGACTTTATTGAAACACTTTCCTCACAGGTCGCTTCCCTTTATAAGACATGCGGCCCATCAGCTCCCCTCAGTGGACTCGCGTCCTGTCACCTGCGAATGCACTCGCTCGCAAAAACTCGCTCGCAAAAATAACATCCAACCCACGGAACCATTGTGGACTGGAAAATATATACATTTATCTTCCAAACAATGGAATTTCACAATCTGAAGATTCCCCCAGAAAGCTTTCCCAGAAGAAACCCCATGAAGGAGTCTCTGAAGACGTCTCAAACAATGCCCACCAACACACTCCCGCTGGAGGTAATCACCAAGAGATACAGTATTTTCCCGGGGCACGCAACACAAGTCGCAAGATAAATGAGACCCACGAAAATACAAATTAACAAATAATCCCAAGCAAATACAAAAAAATTAAAAGTATTGATACAAAATGTTCTCGGTCCTGTAGTATGAATTGTAGTTATGAAAAATAGAAAGATGGTACAGAAAACGATGAAAGAAGAAAGAGATAAAGAGTGAGAATAAGAGACAGTTGAAATAAAAGTAATAAACTATAAATTTTTGAGATGAAAACAGGTGGTTAGGAAGAGTGATTGAAGTATATATATGTAATAAAATAAATGAACTATCAAGAAACTTTGTAGCTCTAACAAACTTCAGAATATCTTTCCTGAGATAAACTCGTACAATTCCAGTTGTAAACCCCATTGGTGTGGGGTCGCGTGTGCCTCTCTAGCAGGGGGTCAAGTGTACCTCTCTAGCAGGGGTTCAAGTGTACCCCTCTAGCAGGGGGTCAAGTGTACCCCTCTAGCAGGGGGTCAAGTGTACCCCTCTAGCAGGGGGTCATGTGTACCCCTCTAGCAGGGGTTCAAGTGTACCCCTCTAGCAGGGGGTCAAGTGTACCCCTCTAGCAGGGGGTCAAGTGTACCCCTCTAGCAGGGGGTCAAGTGTACCCCTCTAGCAGGGGGTCAAGTGTACCCCTCTAGCAGGGGGTCAAGTGTACCCCTCTAGCAGGGGGTCAAGTGTACCCCTCTAGCAGGGGGTCAAGTGTACCCCTCTAGCAGGGGGTCAAGTGTACCCCTCTAGCAGGGGGTCAAGTGTACCCCTCTAGCAAACCGGTACAACCATAAACATTTCCTGAGGTCCCACTCGTAATGGAACCAACTGCATTGTATTCAAGAGCAAGGCTATTAATGTTGATTTTACGTAAAATCAACACCGTTCTTGGATATAGCGCCCACTGCTGTCCAACTGGGAAGCACATCATCGCCGAAAATTGTTTTCCATCATAATGTGAACACAAATATAGAACAGTAAAGATCCCTGAAACTCTTGCTTCCAAAAAAAATAAGAGCTATAAAAAGTCAACATCGACGTCACAAAGCTTATTTTTTCTCAGTCATGCGCCCCCCCTCAAAGGAAGACTCGACAGCAGATCTAAAAAAAATAAGATCATTGGATTCCTTTGGCATCATCTTACACCTGTTTCCAGATTCTCTTGAGGACTTTCAGACTTTCTTGATGTAGAAGACGCAGAGGGCAACCTGGACGAGCAGGAGGAGGAGAATGATGACTCCGCTTATCACCGCTGCCCGTCCTGCTGCTCCTGCTGAGGCTGCTGCAGAAGCATGGTCTGATGCTGCTGAGTCTCTGTACCCATAGTCTCGTCCCCCCGCCACGCCTGGAGAAGCTAACCTCGAAGTGGCAGTATCCCTCTCTCCGGGCTCTGTGAAGGAAGGGAAGTATCAGGAGAAAGCGCCAAGCCGTTACGACTATATAGCACTTGGAATAGATCAGGATAAGGATTTGAGATGGGACGGTTGGGGCGGGGGGAAGGGGAAGGAATGGTGCCCAAGCACTTGGACGGTCGGGGATTGAACGCCGACCTGCTTGAAGAGAGACCGTCGTTCTTCCGTCCTTTCCAAGTGGTTGGGCATCATTCCTTTTCCCCCGACCCGTCCCATCCCAAATCCTTATCCTGATCTATTACAAGTGTTATACAGTCGTTCAATTTATTTATTTAACTTGAACGTTAATGATGGATATATAAGAATTTCTCTCTCTCACTCTCTCTCTCTCTCTCTCTTCTCTCTCTCTCTCTCTCTCTTCTCTCTTCTCTCTCTCTCTCTCTCTCTTCCTCTCTCTCTCTCTCTCTCTCTCTCTCTCTCTCTCCTCTCTCTCTCTCTCTCTCTCTCTTCTCTCTCTTCTCTCTTCTTCTCTCTCTCTCTCTCTCTTTCTCTCTCTCTATCTCTATCTTCTCTTCTTTCCTCTCTCTCTCTCTCTCTCTCTCTCTTCTCTCTCTCTCTCTCTCTCTCTCTCTCTCTCTCTCTCTCTCCTCCTCTCTCTCTCTCTCTCTCCTCTCTCTCTCTCTCTCTCTCTCTCTCTCTATCCTCTCTCTCTCTCTCTCTCTCTCTCTCTCTCTCTCTCTCCTCTCTCTCTCTCTCTCTCTCTCTCTCTTCTCTCTCTCTCTCTCTCTCCTCTCCTCTCTCTCTCTCTCTCTCTCTCTCTCTCTCTCTCTCTCTCTCTCTCTCTCTCTCTCTCTCTCTCTCTCTCTCTCTCTCTCTCTCTCTCTCTCTCTCTCTCCCCTTCTCTCACGTGTGGTCATGACGGTGAGGGTGACCCGATCCGGCTGAGCTTGTGGAGCGACGCAGGCGTACGTCCCTCCGTCCGACGGATGGAGCGACCTGACTTCAAGCTCCGACTCCACCACGGCACCTCCCCAGGACTCTCGCACCACCACCTGCATCACGATACGACCAGGTCAGCACCAGTCAACCAGGTCAGCACCAGTCAACCAGGTCAGCACCAGTCAACCAGGTCAGTACCAGTCAACCAGGTCAGTACCAGTCAACCAGGTCAGTACCAGTCAACCAGGTCAGCACCAGTCAACCAGGTCAGTACCAGTCAACCAGGTCAGTACCAGTCAACCAGGTCAGTACCAGTCAACCAGGTCAGCACGAGTCAACCAGGTCAGTACCAGTCAACCAGGTCAGTGCTTGTCAACCAGGTCCGTACCAGTCAACCAGGCCAGCACCAGTCAACCAGGCCAGCACCAGTCAACCAGGCCAGCACCAGTCAACCAGGCCAGCACCAGTCAACCTGGTCAGCACCAGTCAACCAGGCCAGCATCAGTCAACCAGGCCAGCATCAGTCAACCAGGCCAGCACCAGTCAACCTGGTCAGCACCAGTCAACCAGGCCAGCATCAGTCAACCAGGTCAGCACCAGTCAACCAGGTCAGTACCAGTCAACCAGGCCAGTACCAGTCAACCAGGCCAGCACCAGTCAACCAGGCCAGCACCAGTCAACCAGGTCAGCACCAGTCAACCAGGTCAGTACCAGTCAACCAGGCCAGCACCAGTCAACCAGGTCAGTACCAGTCAACCAGGCCAGCACCAGTCAACCAGGTCAGTACCAGTCAACCAGGTCAGCACCAGTCAACCAGGCCAGCACCAGTCAACCAGGTCAGCACCAGTCAACCAGGTCAGTACCAGTCAACCAGGCCAGCACCAGTCAACCAGGCCAGTACCAGTCAACCAGGCCAGCACCAGTCAACCAGGTCCGTACCAGTCAACCAGGTAAGCATTAAATATATATTCAGGGATAATATATCTTTTCATTTTTTAATTTATTGTTATTTGGTAATGAAACTAAAGTTCCAACAAATTATTGTTCTCGTGTAAATAATGGAACAGTTACTCAACAAGTTACATACATGAGTAATAAAGTGTACAAGGACAAAATTATTCAAGAAAGAACAATTAAATACTCATAAAAACCAAAGGAAATACAAAATATGAAAGGAGTAGAGGAAAATTTGAAAAAAAAATCAAAGTATAAAAATCACATTTGTAAGACTAGACAAATTAGAAATTATGTAAGAGACTAATTAGTAAATAATTGCACAAGAAACAGAGAAGTAGAGAAATAATGAAAAAGTGGAGAAGTAGGCTAAAAAGTAGAGAAGGCAAAAAAGTGAAGAAGTAGGCCAAAAAAAGTAGAGAAGTAGGCCAAAAAAAAATAGAAAAGTAGGCAAAAGTATGTCAAAAATTAGAGAAGTAGGCAAAAAAAGTAGAGAAGTAGGCCAAAAAAAGTAGAAAAGTGGGCAAAAGTAGAAAAGTATGTCAAAAATTAGAGAAGTAGGCACCAAAAACGGAAGAGAAGTAGTGTAGTAGTAGCATCACAACATCACCTTATTGTGATGCCAGAGTGTGGTGACAGGAATGCCGTCTAGGGTCCAGGAGATGAGCGGATCATTGTAGAGCAGCGAATACTCGTGCAGTTCCGTCAAGGCCTTGCCCGAGGCCTCGCATACCAGCCGCAGGGCGCCTCCCGCAGGCAGCCGCACCCACCGCTGCCCCAGCACCCGCAGCCGCAACGTCGCTTCGTCCTCTGCGGGTTTGGCTGGAGGTGGGGGAGAAGATAGGGGTTAGGCCGGGGTGTTGGTGGTCATTGTGGTGGTTATGGAAGAAATGGTGATGGGGGGAAATGGTGGTAGTGGTGATGGGGGAAATGGTGGTAGTGGTGATGGGGGAAATGGTGGTAGTGGTGATGGGGGAAATGGTGGTAGTGGTGATTGGGGAAATGGTGGTAGTGGTGATGGGGGAAATGGTGGTAGTGGTGATGGGGGAAATGGTGGTAGTGGTAATGGGGGAAATGGTGGTAGTGGTGATGGGGAAATGGTGGTAGTGGTGATGGGGGAAATGGTGGTAGTGGTGAAGGATTTCATAATGATTTTATTAAATGATTCCCCCCCCCACCCTTCACTGTATTTTGCATTATTAACTAAGTGTCTCACATAGTCACACACACACACACACACACACACACACACACACGCACGCACGCACACGCGCCTCTCATTTGAGAGGCGCGCCCAAAGAGCCAGAGCTCAATCCCCGCAAGCACAACTAGGTGAGTACACACACACACACACACACACACACACACACACACACACACACACACACACACACACACAGGTCTGGTAGCTGAGTGGACAGAGCGCAGGGCTCGTAATTCTGTGGTCCGGGTTCGATTCCCGGACCAGGCAGAAACAAATGGGCAAAGTTTCTTTGACCCTGATGCCTCTGTTACCTAGCAGTAAATAGGTACTTGGGATTAGCCAGCTGTTACGGGCTGCTTCCTGGGTATGTGGACCCTAGGATTATGAATCCCGAGCGCTGATTACTCAGCCACCAGATCCCACCCCCCCCCAAAATACCCAGGTTTGTGTGTGTGTGTGTGTGTGTGTGTGTGTGTGTGTGTGTGTGTGTGTGTGTGGTGTGTGTGTGTGTGTGTGTGTGTGTGTGTGAAAACATCTATTTATGGCGTAGACTGGTACATCGCAAATGAAATTCTAAGTTGTTGCTTTTGGAAGGAGTGTGTTTACACTGAGAGCCACACACGTGTAGGTAGAAATTCGTCACATTTAATACGTCCTGCGATGGCCCAAGTGAGTCGATCTTTACAAAATAATCAAAATAAATGTATGTAACCTGAGGGCCACTAACACTCTAGTGGCTTTGGGGTAAATTCAGGCAAATATCTGGATTAGGTTGATATCTTCATGCGTCTAGAAACCTCTCTCCTACTCTTACCCTCACATTACGCCTTATCTTGCAGTTTTGCCTCATCCCCTACCCTTGCCCTCCCATGCCTTCCCTCCCTTTCCCCTATCCCCTCCTTCATTTCCCCCACTTCCCCAATCCTCCCAAAGACCTCCCTTCCCCACAACTCGGTCACTTACCTTCGGGCTGGGAGATGACACCAGTGTCCGACACAGGGATGTCCAAGATCGACACTTGTCCTGCCAAGAAATAATAGATATGAAGGAACTTAGTCGAGAGGAAGACTGTACTAAAACACATTCATTATTTTTCAAGGTAATTGACGCTTTAGGCCCTAATGATTTGAAAGAGATTGACACATTGGCCTATTCGTTTGAAGGTGATTGACGCCTTAGGCACAATAGTTTGAAAAGTGATTGACGCCTTAGGCACAATAGTTTGAAAAGTGATTGACGCCTTAGGCACAATAGTTTGAAAAGTGACTGACACCTTGCTCTAATAGTTTGAAGGTGATTGACACCTTCACCTAATAGTAATTGTCTCCTTTGAGTTAATCATTTGATCTGGTTAAGATGTAGCCTTCGTTACAAAAGACCCTTACAAGAAAACTTACAAAACCCTACAAAAAGCTACAAAACTACCTTACCTCTAATGAGGAGGCTGGCTTACATTATATGTACTTGGTGGTCTAGATGAGTTGACAACACGTACATCCATTTTTGCTCAGAACTCCGCTCTAATCAAACATTTTCCAGCTAATATAATGAGTTGGGAATTCATAGACCCATTTCTAACACAATTTATGTATTTGCTGATTTATGGTGCCTACAGCTGTGTGGTGGTGAACTGGAGTGTAGTGTTCATGGTGAGATAATGTGCTCTTGAGCTGCATATAACTGTGAACTGGTAACTGTTCATTACATTACTGTGAACTGTAATTCGCAGTTCCTCTTTCTATGTAACATTATATATCTGTTTTCTGATTCACTTATTTTAGTTTTATACTTTACAAAACGAGGTTTTTTACTATGTACATAAAGGTATAGTACAAATATGAAGATGGATTGTATACTGCATATTGCATATAATAGAATGTAGGCTGCTTACCGTATGCAACGTACTGTATGATGAGAAAACGGGACATAACACTTGTGAAGGATGGATATTGTCAATGGCGCAGACGATCAGACACCAGTTAAGGCAACAGGTGGACCTTCTCTCGCTTGCAGGTATTACCTCACACAACAGTCTTGATTTAAGTAATTCCTTTTATCGTCGCTAATAATGTTTACAGTGGAAACCTGGCAATCACAGGAGTGTTTGGAGGGAGGGAGGTGATGGGAAAGGAAGGAGGGGTAACTGAAGCAAACACACAGCTATGCAGACCACAGCTGGTTAAAGAGCACCTTAATGAGGGTAGCACTAGAGTGCTTGATATTATCAAGCACTCTAGTGCTACCTGGTGAGGCAGTCTGCCTGGTGAGGCAGGCGAGGCAGACATTTATCACTAAATGCCCCGACCGAAAACATCTTCCGTGACCTTGTATGATTCTCGGGCGCCAGTCCAACATCTCGGACGGCAAACCAGCCCAGAAACAAAGCCCACCCTGGGAGGTTAAACTCGTGTGGGTCCTCCATGTTGAACTCAACATCGCTCGTCCCTTTGAGTGCGTTCACGGCACTGAACAAAAGCTTTGGTGGTTCATGCGTGGGTTCAAGATCTCTTGTTCGAAATCTTACGGTGGCTGTGGTAGTTTTTAGAGTTGTCTGAACGAGTTAGAGACCTCGCGCCCAAGATCTTCACATACAATAAAATAAGGTCGAGCAGTGCGTTGGTGTGCGTGAAGACTTCCGTTTTAGGTAGGACAATATACTCGGGATTTTCCATTAGCAACCCCGAAGGCAGTAAGAGGCACATGTTGTAAACCTCTAAACCTTCGCACTGCTGTGGTTCTCAGCCTTTCTGCCAAAATTCACACCGAATAAAGGGTTATTTGCGGCGAGTCAGAAACCGACAACAGACCACGATACACAACCTCAAAACCACCGCATTTGAAAGGAAAGAGTCACGTCTACGCCGGTGACCTGACACCAGAAAAATATCAATATTGTTCTTGTGGTAAAAAGTGCACTTCACCAGATCAATTAAGCACACAAGTATCTCCAGTGTAACATAGCCTGGACATGCAAATTGGACGCATAATCCCACAACATATCAATTATATTCGTAATTTGATATTTATAATAATAGCAGGTCCAAAATGGAGGCAAAATAACATATAATGTTAAATTAACCAGTGAAATCATTAACCAATAAAATCGTAATCCGATAAAATGTTATTAGATATTAAAATAATAGAAGACCCAATAAAATGTTAGTAACTTAATGACTGATAATTAACAGACTGTTAATGAATTAACCAATAAAATGTTAATAATTTCATTACGTCTGTGGTATCCGTGAAAACTGAAAGTTAAAATTAATGAAGTGGAGCTTTATGAATCGTGAAGGATGACCTTGAGGTCAAACTTGGCGTCCTTTAGGTATGATTCCAAGGCGGTCTGTGATGCACATGTGTAACACAGTCTCTTTGCCACTATGTAAATAACCCAACTAAACTATCGAGCCTGATGCATAGAAAACGCATATGTTTGTGACCGTTACCTTAAAAGGTGGCATTTGTAACGTCAATCGATAACGTAAAAAATGTGACCTATTGTGAGGGCGGGTTCCTGTTCAGTGGACTTGTTATGACAGAACTTGATGCACCTGTTCAGGGTAAAGGACCTTGATATGGAACTATCATAAGCCTCCGTATCAAGAAATAAATGGGTTAAGTTTGAACTTTTAAATACGCGTATCGGATGAGAGCCATTTAATGTGGAACTTGCGATACCTGTATTGGGTGGGGCAGCTAAAGATTCAGTGTGAACTTGGCCTACCTGTGTCAGGTAGGATCTTGAGGTGAAACTTGGTGGAAATCTTAGGGTGAGTATTTACTTGGCAATCATAGGTGCCATCGTCAGAGATCGTCACTCCACGCACTTCTAGTAGCCAGTCTTCGGTGTCCTCGGGGTGCACAACCTGAGGGCAAGACAGACTCATTACCACCTGAGGAAGAGAGCTTCATTATCATTTAGAGAGGAGGGACTCAAGAACACAATCTCCAAAGCTCTAGGACACACTCTCATCTCCAAAGCTCTAGGAAACAATCTCCGAAGCTCTAGGAAACAATCTCTAGCGCTCTAGAAAACAATCTCCATGGGCTCTCGCAAGAAATGTCCGATGCTCTTTGAAATAATCTCTGAGGGGTCTTGGTAAATATCTTTGAGGCTATTGACAATATCTCTGGGCACTTATCGTTATCTTTAAGTGTCACTTGGCACCCTGCCCGCCTCTCACTACAGTTTTTTGGGCATTCATCAATCTGGGAAGCGGAGGAAGATTACAGGGGAGGGATGGGTACAGGAAAGTTAGGGGTTACAGGGGAGGCAAGATTACAGGCGAGGCAGGGTTACAGGCGAGGCAGGGTTACAGGCGAGGCAGGGTTACAGGCGAGGCAGGGTTACAGGCGAGGCAGGGTTACAGGCGAGGCAGGGTTACAGGCGAGGCAGGGTTACAGACGAGGCAGGGTTACAGGCGAGGCAGGGTTACAGGTGAGGCAGGGTTACAGGCGAGGCAGGGTTACAGGCGAGGCAGGGTTACAGACGAGGCAGGGTTACAGACGAGGCAGGGTTACAGGCGAGGCAGGGTTACAGGCGAGGCAGGGTTACAGGCGAGGCAGGGTTACAGGCGAGGCAGGATTACAGGCGAGGCAGGGTTACAGGCGAGGCAGGGTTACACGCGAGGCAGGGTTACAGGCGAGGCAGGATTACAGGCGAGGCAGGGTTACAGGCGAGGCAAGGTTACAGGCGAAGAATGGTTACAAAATGTGATAAATGAATGCATCGTCGTATGTTCAAAGCGAACAGAAACAGCACGATGGAACACAGATGGAAAGTTCACCACACAAATAAGTCAATGAAGTGCAAGAAAGAACCTGATACGTAAGAGTAAATACAATTATAATTAAGATAACAGGGGTCATTAACGTAAATAATTAGTCCACGCACACACGCGCACGCACGCACGCACACACATAGGCGGGACCAAAGAGCCAGAGCTCAACCCCCGCAAGCACAATTAGGTGAGTACACAGATGAGTACCCAGATGAGTCACAGAGACGTTAGAAAGAATTGTTTCAGTGTCAGAGTAGTTAATAAATGGAATGCATTAGGAAGTGATGTGGTGGAGGCTGACTCCATACACAGTTTCAAAAGTAGATATGATAAGAGCCCAGTAGGCTCAGGAATCTGTACACCAGTTGATTGACAGTTGAGAGGCGGGACTAAAGAGCCAAAGCTCAACCCCCGCAAGCACAATTAGGTGAGTACAATTAGGTGAGTACACACAGTAAAGCAAAGGAAAGAAACAAAAGGGCGTTGAGGAAGTTCCTAAATAACAGAACAGAAGAAAGCAGAGAGAGATACCAGAGAGCCAAGAATAAGTATGTCAGAGTGAAAAGAGAAGCAGGGAGACAGTATGAAAATGATACAGCAAATAAAACTAAGACCGCACCAAAACTGCTCAACAGTCACATCAGGGGGAAAAACAACAGTGAAAGAACAGGTGTTGAAACTTAAAATGGGTGAGGACAGGTACACAGAGAATGACAAAGAGGTGTGTGAAGAACTCAACGAGAGGATCCAGGAGGTCTTCACAATAGAACGAGGTGAAGTCCTTGAGCTAGGAGAGGTGGTGGTAAACCATGAGGCCTTGGAAGGGTTCGAAATTACCAGAGATGAGGTTAAGAGGCATCTGTTGGATCTGGATGTGAGAAAGGCTGTTAATCCGGACGGAATCTCACCATGGGTACTGAAAGACTGTGCAGAAGTACTTTGCTTGCTACTCTCCATGGTGTATAGTAGGTCACTGGAGACGGGAAACATACCAGAAATATGGAAGACGGGTAATGGAGTCAAAATATACAAAAAGGGTGACACTACAGGCCAATGTCTTTAGTATACCGTGCAAGGTGATCGAGAAGATCATGAGAAAATACCTAGTAACACATCTGGAGAGAAGAGACTTCGTGACACACCATCAACATGGGTTCAGGGAAGATAAATCTTGCTTCACTGGTTTAATAGAATTTTACGATCAGGTGACAAAGATTTAGCTAGAAAGAAAAGGTTGGGCAGATTTAATTTTCTTGAACTGTCGGAAAGCGTTTGACACATTACCCCATAAGAGGCTGGTGCATAAGTTGGAGAAACAGGCAAGAGTAACTGGTAGGGCGCTCCAGTGGATAAGGGAAAACCTAAGCAATAGGAACCATGGAGTTACACTGAGGGGTGAGACCTCAGATTGGCGTGAAGTCACAAGCGGAGTCCCACAGGGTTCTGTACTCGGACCTATCCTGTTTCTGATATACGTAAATGATCTTCCAGAGAGTATAGACTCATTCCTCTCAATGTTTGCTGACGATGCCAAAATTATGAGAAGGATTAAGTCAGAGGAGGACAGCATGAGGCTTCAAGAAGACCTGGTTAAACTGAAGGAATGGTCCAACAAATGGTTGATAGAGTTTAACCAGCGCAAATGTAATGAAATAAAGATAGGTGTAGGGAGCAGAAGGCCAGATGTCATTTGGGAGATGAAATTCTTCTAAAATCAGAGAGGGAGAGAGAGAGAAAGACCTGGGGGTTGATATCACGCCAGACCTGTCCCATGCATGAAGCCCATACCAAGAGGATCACATCAGAAGCGTGTGCCAGGTTGGTCAACATAAGAACGGCCTTTAGAAACTTGTGTAAGGAATTATTCAGAATCTTGTATACCACGTACGTCAGACCAATTCTGAATTATGCAGCTCCAGCATGGAGTCCATATCTCGTCAAGCATAAAACTAAATTGGAGAAGGTTCAGAGGTTTGCCACCAAACTAGTGCTCGAATTGAGGGGCATGAGCTATGAGGAAAGACTACGGGAATTAAACCTCACGTCGCTGAAATACAGAAGAGTTAGGGGAGATATGATCACCACATACAAGATTCTCAATGGAATGGATAGGGTAGATAAAGGTAGAGTTTATTTAACACAAGGGGCTCACACACTAGGGGACAAAGGTGGAAATTGAGTACCCAAATGAGCCATAAAGACATTATAAAGAATTGTATAGTGTCAGAGTAATTAATAAATGGAATGCATTAGAAAGTGATGCGATGGAGGCAGAATCCACACAGAGTTTAAAATGAAGATATGATAAGAGCCCAGTAGGTTCAGGAATCGGGACACCAGTTGACTGACAGTTGAGAGGCGGGACCAAAGAGCCAGAGCTCAACCCCCTCAAGTACATCTAGATGAGTACAACTAGGTAAGTACAACTAGGTAAGTAAACACACACACATACACACACACACACACACACACACACACACACACACACACACACACACACACACACACACACACACACACACACACACACACACACACACTTACTCTCACTCTCACACATACACCTGTTGATGCACAGTACATATTTACTAACCGAAAACCGTGCATCTGTTGTAACGGTGAGCTGGTCCACCGCCAACACCGTAAGGTCCCGTGACCTTATCCATGACACCTGTAACGACACAGAAACACATCTATTAACAACGATCCACAATATCAAGAGATGATGATTCGTCACATCTGTCAGCCAGGACGGCACCTGTTATTAATGTTCAACAACACCTGTTAAAGGTTTTATACGCAGCTGTTGATAATCTTAACTGCTTGTGAATGATCAATACACATCTGTTAATAATGATCGAGTTATGCACCCGTTAAAAATTATCAGCAGACATCTCTCAGTATTGATCTAATACACACACACCTGTTAAAACTGATCCAGTAACTAGCTTTTGCTAAGTATTGATCACATGTGTTACTTTTATGTCACGTGTGTTAATATTGATCCCCAACATCTGTTAAGGGGACCAAAACATACGTAATTGCTATACCTTTATTATTTAAGTATCAGTATTTTAATTTTTTTCTCTATTATTTGTGTATCTAAATAACAAAACAATTGATAATTTTTTTTTAATGTTTTAAGACTAAAAAACAATAATCAGTAGTGGGCGTTTTCGTGTTAGGTGTAAAACCGTATTGATGTGAAATCTAAGTGTACTTAATTGTATAAACATTTGAACTGCTCAAGCAAGGTCCTGTTAGGACCTCAGTACATCAGTATGTGTGTGTGTGTGTGTGTGTGTGTGTGTGTGTGTGTGTGTGTGTGTGTGTGTGTGTGTGTGTGTGTGTGTGCTGGCTAAGAGCCACACTTCCGCTACAAATCCACTCTACTCATCTCGACAGCCAACACCCCTCCCCTCTATCCCCACACCCCCTAATACCCCTCTTTCCCATTTCCCCTCCCCCCATTTTCCCTCTTCCCCCATTTCCCAATGTTCCTTCCCTCCCCTGCACGTAGCATCCCCTAGAGATCACATCTCGGGAGAAGAAAAATGATCTTCGCTCCATCTGACATTATTTGTTCTCAGGTGGGCAATTCTACTCCAACAGATCTTCCAAGTTGAGATTAGTGTCCCAATTGCTGGCATCTTTGATCGAGCACGCTGTTATTGTCTGCAGGTTACCCTCAGGCAGCAGACTCCACCCCTGACGACAGCTGAGGTAGCAGACTCCACCCCTGACGACAGCTGAGGCAGCAGACCCTACACCTGACGACAGCTGAGGCAGCAGACCCCAGCACGTGACAACAGGACTTTTATGTAGATCTGCCTAATGGACTTGGTATAGTAACAATGACGCCAATGTCTGGAGAGTTTCCAAAGCTCTACTGCTGTTGTTACTTCTCCCTCTCTCCCTCCATCCCTCCCTCCCTCCCTCCCTCTCTCCCTCTCTCTCTCTTCCCCCCTCTCTCTCTCTTCCCCCCTCTCTCTCTCCCTCCCTCCCTCTCTCTTTCCCTCCCTCCCTCTCTCCCTCCCTCTCTCTCTCTCTCTCTCCCTCTCTCTCTCTCTCCCTCCCTCCCTCTTCTAAGCTATCAGGAGTGTTCTTGAAGGAATTCCTCTTCTAAGACCTGTACTATGTGTTCGACGCCATCCTGAAGGAATTTTTCTCCTCTCTGGGTACACCGATCACGTGGGCTTGGCTGGCTTCTTGGTGCTTTGCTTCCTTCCACACCGTGAACGTTCTCACAAAGTGAACTTACCAATAATGTGGAGATACTCATCGATAAAGTAGGCTTACTCATCAAGAAAGTAGACTTACTCATCGAGAATCATTAGTATGTTGTGGCGTAGTGGTCTGCGCAGGCGACTCTCAACCGAAAGGTTCTGGGTTCGATTCCCGAGCAGGACGAGACGTTTGGGCACGTTTCAAATGCACTTGATGCCTCTATTCACCTAACAGTAAATAGGTACCCGGGAGTTAGGCATCTGTTGTGGACTGCATCCTGGGGAAGGTCAGACGTTGGCTTAATTAAGGCGACCTCTATATAAGCCGTATATAAGGCTTCCTGTCCCCATCAATGGAACGCCAAGTATCATAGACAACTCAAGTAATTAGCACCAGGTCAAGATTGTATTATTGACGCGTCGAAATACGCCCAAAAATTTGTTAGAAATCAGTGACTAAATATGTCTTCAGACTAACATAGTTTCCCCCTTGACCAGGGCCTCCAGTCAGGCTGGACAACCGCCAGGTTGACTAGGCTTCTTTACCAATCTTTTGGGAAATGCACTTTAGCGCGCGGGAATGTATGATATTTACAACCTGGAGGTCAACCTCGGGGAGAAAATACACCAGATGGTATTTCAGGGGACGTAAATTCACTGGACAAGTGTGCGCGGTTAGCTTGGAGTACCGGCAGGTATTTTCAGTGAATTGTGTTGAGTATTTCTCGGTTCTCGTGGCTTTGTTTAACCTCAGATATATAAACAAGGTATTAGTCCTCCCACTCGTGAAGTGTTTTGTGTGCGTGCGTGCGTGTGTGCGTGCGTGCGTGTGTGTGTGTGTGTGTGTGTGTGTGTAATTACCTAAGTGTAGTTACAGGATGAGAGCCTACCGTGGTGTCCCGTCTTCCCAATAGTTTTTGTAATATTTTGAAACTGATGCTGGTATTGGCATCCACCACGAATGTACCTCTCATCCTGTAACTCCACTTTGGTAATTGCCCTCAGGTAATTACACACACAGAATCATGGCAGAGCTCATATTTATGACGCTTGAGAATGGTCTAAATCTCACATGAACGTACAAAATTAAAAATAACTAACCCGGTTCCCTGCGAATGTGCTGAACGAATGTCATCTACACATCCCTCCATTATTTGCGAACGGAGAGGGTGAACGACCTTCCCTTCGAACACACAAAATATTTTTTTCTGAAGTGTGAAACACTCCAAAAGTCAACGGCTTATTGATTTAGTTATACTTGTATTATTCACTCATAGAAAACGAAATATATACATCGAGATGCATTTGGGTTATGCATTGGGATTAAGGCCTATCATCCTCTGAAGGATTATTGATTCCACCGTAAGAGTTTACTAATCAACCAGCAAGTATACATTAGTCTTGAATATAGTCCAAGGTTAAAGTAAACTCAGTGAATTTACACCAAGCGGCAGTACACATCTCGTTGAATATGCTGGTTGAGAGTCGTTTTCCGCTTATCAGTGTGTTACTTACTGAGATTTAATACGCACTCCACAGTCATCTTGTAAGCAGTAGCGCAAAAAAAAAAAATACAGAGGGCACAGAAGATCTTAATCAGACTTCAGCGGAGACATTTACATTAATAATAACATCTAACTTGCACACTTATAATTATAATGACACCTAGTTACAAACACTTTTATTACAATATCCATGTATTTACAATAGAATATATTGTTCATTGAAGGTAGGTAATTTGTTAACAAATAAAATCATTTCTGAGAGTATTCTTTAGTTCTGGACTATACTCAGTACTAAAGTATACTTAAGATATAAGCCCACACACACACACACACACACACACACAAAATAAAAAATTCTGATCATAATATTTTTCGTTTGGCTTGTCGTAGGATGAATAAAGTATCAAGTGATTGCAGAAATAATGCTGAATGATGACATTGAATAAAAGACCAAGTGTGGTAGAAATTTTACAAAGGGGATTTGTTCATGTTACACAAAATACTGAAAGAATGAAATACAATGAAATACAATGAAAGAATGAAATAATGAAATACTCAAAGTAACGCTAGTTCACCGCATTTCTAACATGCTTAAGAAATTATATGTTTTGTAGAAACTATCTTAATAGACTGGGAGAGCTAGCTTATGGGGATTTCTGAGAGGAGCATTTGCTTGAGTGTTTTACATATGTACAAAATGTATTTAATAGGTTAATATGTTAGGTTTTGTGTTGGGCTTAAGACAAATCAACCTCTGGAGAGTTTGCTGTCCAGCCAGCAATTATTAAGACCAAGTCTTCAAACAAACAAAAAATAAGTTCCTTCGACAGTAGGGTCGCATCTTCTATTTGTATGCAGGCGATGAGTCACAATAACGTGGCTAAAGTATGTTGACCAAACCACACACTAGAAGGTGAAGGGACGACGACGTTACGGTCCTTCCTGGACCATTCTCAAGTCGATTGTGTTAAGAGAGTCGACTTGAGAATGGTCCAGAACGGACCGAAACGTCGTCGTCCCTTCACCTTCTAGTGTGTAGTCTGGTCAACATTCTATTTGTATGTTGTTTTAGATTTAGCTTCTCAGAACGAAATGTCGACGTAGCGCGGGCTATGGTGAACCTGTAATTCTATGTGTGAGACATATGCCTCCATATTCATAAGGCCTGATTCTTCATTAACAAGTGAACGTGAGGCCCTGGAAACACAAACCTTAACTGTCTCTATTTTCCGCTTGTTACAACTTGTAATAAAGTTGTTACATCTTGGCTTAACGTGTTTATGACGTATTAGAACGTTGTTACAACTTGCTATATTGGTTGTTATAACTGGTTAGGAGGTGTTAAAACTTGTTCGAACGTTGTACCAACGTCGTAGTTTCGGTGTGTGTTTGGCGGGGGGTCTAATCTTTCATAAATAAATTCCCCACATCTAGGCAATAGCTTAAGAGATTAGAATCACGGCTGCAACCACCTCTTTCACTTCCCCCATAATCCACCACCCCCAAACCAGAGACTTCCCCCATTTAGACCGACCCCCACCAATGCAAGACACCCATACTAAGAACCCCCTCTGTGAGATCAACACCTTAAGACACCCCTCCCCCACTTCCCAATCCCCAATACACTCTCGCCATTCTCCGCCCTGTCGGAGTATATCAAGCTCCATACTAAAGATATACTGTGTTTTCTCAGTCAGTATATTCAGTCCTTTTTTAATTATAAAGACGTAGTATGTCGCATACCTTTCTGCGTGATGGTAGATATTGAAGGGGTAGTAGGGTCTCCCTGGTAAGAGCAACTGAGATATCTTCCACTCTTGTGTTGGTATATTCTATATGTTGTGTGTGGATTGGTATATCATCCGTTTTGGTATATTCTGTTTGTTGTGTATAAGTTGCGTCAACTTGAGTTAACTGGAAGTGTTTCGAACCAGGTATAC